AATGTCACATTCAGTTTTTAAATGCTATGCAAAATGTACAATAAGTCATTTACATAAATGCAGTGGTTCAGTCCACTTAAAATATCACAGCATCCATTTTTATTATATTTACATAAACATTTATTACATAGACATAAATCTGTTTTTGGTGTTAATGTCACAAAATGTAGGTAGTAATAAATCCAAAACAGTTCTTAAGACATCTTTTCACATCTTTTGGACCCATACAAAATAAAAAAATTAAATAGCACATTCAAGCAAACAAACAAATTAAACTAAATGAAATGGCAATTTATAAAACTATTTTTTCAGTCTAAGCGACACTGGAAGAAAGTCTGCTTTAGGGGTGTCTTTGAAACACAAGCCAAACATTATTTTTGCTTATTTTAGCCCATTTATTACACAAAGTGTCATTTACATACCATGATTAAAGATATTTTAATGTTTTCACACCCCTCATCTTCCAGGAGCTTTTGGTTCATTCATTCATTCATGCATTACAAACTTGACTCAACACATGAAACCTGCTTGACATTGAGATGTGAAAGACATTGTTTTTACCTTGCTGCACACTGAAGAAAAAAGAAGAAAAAAGAAAGAAAAGGCATGCTTTAGAAAAAGTTAATGTGATTTGCAGTAAAAAAAAAAATGCAAAAACACCAGAATATTTCAGGTAAACAACCACGTTAGTCTGGCATATATTTAAAACCAAACAGCCTGAAAGACTTAATTTAGAAAATTTCAAATATCAGTCAGGGAGCCAAATCAGCATGACTCAATCCCTTTAATACCATTCAACTTATATTATCCAAACACCACAAGATGGCTAATTAATTTCCAAATATACAGGTTGGCATTTTGCTCCCATCCTATGGTTGTAAATTTGGGCCACTGTAGACATCAAGGGAATCATTGGGAAATGGGTGAAAAGTATAAAATGGCCTGTGAACATCAGCTTATCCTAGCACTCCTTATATTTACGAGAATCTACCTGGCCAGAACGAAAACAACCAATCAGAGCCGAGAAGGATAGTGGATTGTTGAGTCTCACTCACACTGGATTCTTGCAAATGCCATTAGGAGCAATCAGAGGAACCTGATTGTTTCACAGATTATCTGCCTCATGGACTACTATCAGGATATAGTGAACGTTTCAGTGAATATGACAAAAGGTTATTTTAATAAACGTTACCTACTGCAGCTTTAAGCTAAATATGGAAGTGTATGCACACAGACAAGTCAAATGTTATTGAACAAATTCATAATTTCAGTCACATGTATCTGCAGTCCCCCGTGGCTTGGCTTGCAAATTGTCTTACAAGCAACACAAACACACACAAAAAGTGCAACAGTATTACTATCTACAGTAAGTACTACCCAACTTAAATGTTTTGTTTCATCTGTCTGCAGATAGAGCCTACTGTCTGAACTCAAAAACCATCATCCAGTGTAGCCTCACCCCTAAACACTTCAACACCCAAAGTGCATACATTTATATTTCTAATTCATAGTCTGTGGATGGATTTTGACACCAGTTTTAAAAACATATGAACACACACACATACACAGTCTGTTTTACGAGTTTGTAGGTTTTGTGTTAGAAAAAAAAGCAATATAAGGAAAAAAAGCCCTACAATATCGTTTACAAATATATTACCTCATTAATAAATCATATTGCAGGTTTTTCCCAAAAGGTACCCTAAGTCAACTCCAACCTCAACCACATACAATAGTCCCTTTAACAATCCAGTGCTAGTTAAAATGCCTTACAGTTTGAAAACACGCCTTTAGAGGTCCCAGCAAAGCCCCATGCAGGGGTCTGATTTGGTAAAAACCAACTCATAGGCACTGGTTTAGTCCTCTGTTAGAAACAGTGTAAAAGAAGGTCCTTCTGTTAAATATACAGTATGTCTGTGTGTAAATAACATGCATAACTTGCAGGAGGCTGCAGGTTCAGCTGTAGCGCAGCAGGGAACGTGGGAAGAACTGCCAGGAGGGTCCTCTTGCGACTGTAGCAGCCTACAACACAAAATGGAATATATTATTCTTTTTTTTTTTTAAATATAGTAGAAGAAAAAACACAAACATTTGGCTTCGGAGAGGGCCAAATGGAGGGCAAGTTGTAATTATTTTTCATGTCAGCTAGTATTGGCTTCACACGTGGGTAATAATAATAATAATAATAATAATACATTTTATTATTTTAGTGAAATGGTTGCTGCGCTAGATCTTTTTTGAGTGCAGTCATGTACTGTTTTGTTACAGGCGATAATAATGTTGAGGAAGAAATAAAAAATCACGCTTGACTTTTCTAAATCGAGACAGAATCGTTCAAGTGAGAATCGTGATGCAAGAATCAAACTTTTCCCCCACCCCTAATGTGTTAAAAATAAAAGCAATCTAATATCTGATCATTATCTAACCTAATAATAAAGCTGCTATGTGTATAACTTAGTTTCCAACGTTGGCGGCCCCCAGTGGTAGTGTTATAGGAATATTCTGGGATAATTTTTGGAATTAAATTATGTTGTCTGAAAAATTAAAATTTGATTGCTGCTTTTGTTTTGCTGTGAGTGGCTTCCCTCTCTTTGTGATCTAGTCTCTTCTGTATGGATTTCTCCATTGCCCCATAGCCATTTTTTATTTCATTTCATTTCATCTTCCACTTCCCAATCCAGCCACCCGGCAGATGAGCGAGAGCTCTGCAAAGTTAAATATTTGGCTGTAGTGGAATCATTGTGTCACAGGGAGTTTTGGGGGATGCCAGTTGAGAATGTCACATTTTATAAAATGCAATGTCATCTCACCCCGTCCCGTTGAGCAGCAGTGTGGAAACATGACCTTGGGCGCCAGACAAGCCATTCAGAGATACACTAATCCGTCAGTGTAATGACTCAGTCTCAGTCTACTTCACTTCGTCAATCCCTCCGTCTCTCACCCCATCACTCCTCATAACTGCTGGCAAACAAAGAGTGGCCTGTGTGTCACACTTCAGCCTGTTCTAAGATCAGGTCTAACAGTAAACTGACACACAGGTAATCATGTCAAGTCATTTTGGATGATTAATTTGCTCGCCTTCATGTCAGCTGAGTTTGCATCTGTGGCTCCATCACAGCCTTCTCCCAAACTATTTACAGCTCAGAAAAAAAGGAACCAAATGTCCTTCACATTTGTAAACAGCCAAAAGGAATGACACTAGAGTGCACTGCCTCCATAAGTTGCAATCTGTAATGTTTAGGTGTAGCAGTGCACAGCAGGGAGTGTAGGCATGGTGATCATGTGTTCTCGGTAGAGCTGCTTCCCCAAACGTGATGATTTGAGTCATCAGTTAGGAGGGCAACTGGTCGACTCAGATTTTGTCAGTCAAATCAAAGCTGTGTCATTGTACACAGAGTGACAGCATGGCAGGCTGTAAACTTTACAAACTGTTAAAGTGTTAATTAATGGAGTGCAGCGTGACACAGGACAACAAGGAAGGCCAGCGGCGAAGTTGGCTAAGTAACCAGACAGTGGTACAACCTCATCTGCTAACGTCCAGCTGTGACTGCGCTGTGTGGCGCTGAACAGAAAAAAAAGAAGAAAAAAGGAACGAATAAACCAGAACCATCCAACGCACTATCCCTTACGTAGGTCCCCCTTCTTCTTCTTCACTGGTTTAATATAACACATACAGTAGAATAATACTGCCATAATAGTGTAGTGACCAACAGTCAGAATTACATCACGTTTATTTATGTTTCCAACAGTTAGCATCCACAGTCATCCAACAGTTCAATCACAACCCTGCACCAAATGTATTAGTGTGTTCCAGTTTGTCCGGTGAATAACCCGGGTGGGTGAGTGGGAGTTGTTTATTTGTTGTTTTTCTTTTTGTGTTTGTGAATCAGTGTTGGACTGAACTGCGTTTGGTTGTGGGGAAAACTAAACAGACATTTTGAACTCTTGATACTGTGGAACAGTCTCACACACAGTCTCACACACAGACACAGACACACAGTCACAGACACACACACACCTTTGTGAAAACACCTATTGAAAAATGTGTCTATTTGTTTTTGCAGTGTTTGTTTTTATTTCATTGCAAGTTGCTATTGGCTTGTATGGTTTGACTTCTGGATGAAGAGCTGACTGTAGCATGGTGAAATATAGTACTAATATTTAGAGAAAGCTTAACATGACATTTTACTGCTCATGAATTTCGGTAAAATTTGTAGTTCTGTTGGTGCTGCGAATAGATGCCTTCTGTATTCTGAGACGACTGAGCTGGGACAGTTGAGGTATGTTCGATTTTCACCTCATGAAACTTCAGTGGAGGTTCATTTGAATGATTCTCTATGAAGTCTTTAAGCTGCAATAACAGATTGTGTTATCTGAATCTGTTAAGAGATGGCACTATTCAGGGGAAAGAGGACGGTGGAACTGCCACTGTAAAAGAAAATACCCAGAGTTTGGTAAATTAAGATGATGTTAAGCATGGAGAAACACTCAGCGAACAGCGTCTCCATTTTCATTCTAATTATTCACAGTTATCCAGCAGAAAGTTAGTGTCCATATGTTGCCAATTTCAGTAGTATCCCAACGTGTTTACTGACATTTAAATCCTGATAATGTGAAAAAAGACTAACTAATTGAACACAGCTTGTATCTGTATTTGACAACCTGGAAATGCAAACAGGCTGTAAAATGTTTGGGTGAAACTACGATGGCTTGTGAAGAAACAGAAAGGTCCTATCTATATAATTGGAGAGGTTTTGAGTAGGGCTGGGACAATCGTTTTAATTTACTTAATTTTATTAAAATTTCTGTGATTTTTCCGTTTTAATGAAAAGCCTTAGCTTACTCAAAATCAAGTATGGACTCTCCTTTACCTTTTTCAGGTGAGCTTGTCTGCGGGAAGATGAGCTCCTCCTGTGTGCAGTGACTCAACATAGGCCAAGGCACTCTGCATGGAGGTGAGACAGTAGCCTTCCTCTCCTATCAAATAGCTGAAAAGGAGAACAAATGTTAGCTGGCAACAAGACATCTGTAAGTAAAACATGATAAACACGGTGGTGATCTCTTCCGTTAATTTGAACTTTTTGATGTTAAAGAAAACTAAGAAGTCAAATAGGGACACAAACAAAAACAACTTCATTCTGACAGAACTAAACAAAAATCCCAAACATCTAAGCACATAATAGAACACCAGTTTATTCATTTTGCTGAAACCACATCTGCTTTTTCCTGTAGTGACTAAAGGACTAAACATCTCTGCTCAACCTTGATCTCATTAGTTTGTGAAAGAGATCGTTAAAGAGAGCCGTTAAAAGGGTGGGCAGCATTAAGAAACGAAGGGAGTGATGGATGGAAGGTTGATATGTGAGTAGAACAAGTGATGAGGGAGGAGGTTTGCTTAGAGACAGCAGACGAGAGAGAGCGAGAGAGAGAGAGAGAACAGGGCTGGAGAGCAAGTCAACTCTGGCTGACCTTTGACTAACGAGAGCAAGACACGAGAGAGACTGCAGCCAGGACGCTGCACGGACGGACACAGAGAGTGAGAGGCTGAGAAAGGAAAGCAGATAAGAAGATGCTTATCCCTTGAATGTGGTCAGTAAATTATCAATAAAAAGGTAGCTAATGTGGCGTTAGCTTGGCACAATACCTTAATGTTTATTATATGGAGTATTCCATTATAGAGCCGCAATGATTGGCTGATTAGCGGTCAACTATTAAATTAATCCCCAACTATTCAACGATCATCAATTCAGTTACTTAATAAATAAAAATGTCCAAATTATCCGATTTCAGCTTCTCAAATGTGAATATATTTGTTTCTTTAGTCCTCTATGACAGTAAACTGAATGGTCAAAACACCTTGGACTGATCAGTATTTTTCACCAATTTCTGATTTATTTCTGATTTATGGACCAAGCAACAACAAGTGTCCCAGAAGTGTCTCTCCTCTCTGCTCTGTGTAGAATACGAAGCTAGTCTATTTTTGACGGAAGCCGCAAACCCACTCGAGTCAAGCAGCACAGAGCAGATTGCACTGGCAGGAAGTCACACACGGAAACAGCATAGAGAATCTGGTCAATTTGCAAAACAAAGTACCGCATAATGACTCCGGACCAAGTTTAGATCAACGTTAGATTTTAAGTGGAGGAACACACCGTTTTGTAAACTTTTAAGGACAAAATACACAAGTAAACAACATATGGCAGGCAACACGGTCTGAAAATGCCTTGCTTCTGAAAGGATATTGCGGGATTTAAAGATACGCGGATTACAGAGTCAAACCACGTTGCAGACATGACATCATCTTCGAGCCTGGAGAAGCAGCAACAAAACTGCTGATGCAAACCGTAAAAACAGGCCAGCACACCAACATTAATTAACAGGTAAGTTAACTAAACGCAATGTTGTCAAGCCAACAGAAAACCTGTGATAGGTTCTGTTTTCTATCAATGTTAGAACAGTTTTTGTTATTGCACTACAGAGATTTATCTGTGCTGTGCTTTTCTTGCTGGTTTGTGGATGCACCAATCAGGGTTTAGCAACCGTTGAATCAGAATCTGAAGACAGTTGGTGGGTTGTTTAGTTGATCAAACCACACCCACACAGTCCTGAGTGAGTAGGTCCTGAGTTTCTGACTGCTAAACTCTTCATAAATCATACCTAAAAATGTTGTTTATGAACTTTAAACAAGATTCTTGCTTATGTAGTGATTATGATTTCAGGTGCCCATGAATTAGTGTTGAAAAAGTGTTTTTATCTTATATGTCTTGCGCTGTACGTCATCTATACAGGCTGGTATTCCGGCCCAACAATAATTAGATTTAGTCATTTCCTGAAGAATTATTTTTTTAAAAAAGGTTGATGACTCATCCTGCACATGGATGCGTATAGTAATTCTGCTGTGTGTTCTCACTTTTTTTTATGATACTGCCAGAGTGGAGTGTTTTTGGGGGGAGAAAATATTTTCTGGTTTTCCCACTGATATACTCTGGTGGCTCAGCTTCAACTTTATAGAGTTTTTGAGGGACAAATATCTTTAGCTACCGGCTGAAGAAGCTAACTGCTAAACGTATCTGCTGTTAATATATCAACCCTCTCATAGCGTTGTGGCACGTCTTGGTTCCACCTCTCCCTTCACTTGAACCCTTCCAACCCACTGAACTACATAAACATCAAGTGGGACTTTATTTGTATTTTTATAGAGAAGAAAAACCAAATCCCAAATTTCCTGACATTCCTTTGCCACTGCCAATCTAACCAGCTGGCTTTTACAACCCACTGTTTTTATGGCCGGGAGTGAGTCTTGGGTGTGGTCTGAACTCACACGCAGTGACACTTAGTGTGATGTAGTACCTTGACTCAAGACCACGAGCCGTTCCCAAACTGTTGGTCTGTGTTCAACCCATTCACTGTACATAAAGATGGACGACATGACAGCTCCCCAATAGTGAGGCCAAAACATCTCGATCTGCCCCTGGTGGCTGGCTGCAGTAACCCCCCCAGGTTAGCAAATGGGACATGGGTTAAACTGTAAATCAAAGTACACGTCAAATAAATATCACTCAAAGATGGTTTCTGTCACTTTAGGTATTTTACATCTCCTGGATCGAAGGATCCCTTAAATTTGGTTATTAAAATATTGTGACAAAGATCTCTACAGAGCAAGACATTGTTAAAAAACGTGCCGGTGCTTTCTGGTTGACTGACATATTATCACCATATGAAATTGTTATGGTGACTGCATCAGCAACAATTGCCTAAATACATATCCAGCAGACACAGAGCAACATTGGCATTCATTTGGAGTTTTGTTTCTGGCCACATGATGACGGTAACTGTCCAACATTCACTCAGTTTTTAGCTCTGAGAAAAATATCTGGCTTTTTGGCTGCTTTTGTCTGTCACAAATGTTTTTGTGCATTTGGTGCAAACAAAGGAGATGGGTCATTCAGCATCTTTTTCCATTATGATGACTCACCCTTCATGAATGAACTCCTCCAAGGCAGCGCATTCAGATACCAGCTGAGGACACTGGGACCGCAGAGCCACGAAGGACAGGATGGGCAACAGGTCATCTGCACCGCTGTCAGAAGAAAGGAAGAAGGAGTCGATGAGATCAAGCAAAAGAGGAAAACAGAATTAAATAAATAGAGCAGACGGGGGAGAAAATAGAGTGACATTTACAGAGTATGATGGCATGTGCTCCCCGGGGGACTGAATGGAAACTAAATCGAGAGTAGCTCTTAATGGGATGCGTGTTCAGGGATGGAAATGATAAAGCTTTTTTTCTCTCACTGAGATCTGTTGGGAGGACAAATTGCAGCCGGGGAGATGATGACAGCCTGATAGCATTCTGCCTGTGTGCAGACAGTGACCATTTGTTTATCGGGACTCACACGCAGGGCTAACTGCTTGCTGGCTAGTTTGCGTGAGAAGGTAAGTTGCTGGCCCCCGACTGACCCGGCCGCATGCAACTGGATATTCTCCTCCTGCAGGTTCTGGAAGGTGTGGACAGGCTCATGTAACCACTGCTGGACCTCACACGCACAATCGCAACCCTGAATTATAATCTTCTGACTTCACTACTGTAAACACACACATCGATTCTCTCACACGAAAACTGGTGTCTCTGCATTCCAAGGATACAATGCACTCTTCCCACATGCATAAATACTGATTTCAGTGGGAAGATTAGGCTCTATTATGGGTTTGCATTCCAATTGAGGAGAGGATAAGTGGACACAAGTCAGAAAAAAGCAGAAACATGCAGAGGGGGCTAAATATTCTTAATTAAGATATGGAAGGAGAGGAGACCAGTTTAGCAGCACAATAGAGGAGAGAAAGGAAAGGGATGTAGACAAAAGCACACAAGAGAACAAATGAGTTCCTAGTTGGTCGAGGACAAAGAACTGACAAAAATGGTACTGCTGTTCATTGAATAAAGGAGGGCAGCGAGTACAATAAAGTGCGTTTGTGTGTGTGAGATTGTGAATTAGACATTTAAGCGTAAAGGGGTGGCAAAAAAAATAAGCAGAAACTAGGTCTGCACAATTTATCCAAATCACTATATGGCCACATGCAATATCTAAATCCCAGTAACTGTAGTTTTTTGATGAAAGGTAAAATGTGACATTATAATGAAGTACTGTAGTGCTGCAGAGATTCCCTCGCCTACAAATCTTTTTGCGAGGGGTGGCGTCTGAACGAGGAGCCCTGAGATCCTGGCTAAAATATGAAGCTCAACAGGTTCAGAAAAGCTCAAAATCGTAGGTCCTTCTTTTTAGTATGATTGACTAGACTGTCAGCAGAACACTGCGATTAGTTATAAATCCACTTCCAAATTCTAACTGTCAGGACATGACCAAAAACACTGAGTCACAGTGGCACACAGAAAGGAAACCTATAGTTAGATGACTAAGATAAGCAGTGACATGTGGGCATGTACTGAGTTGCAGATTTCAGGCAGGAAAGTACACAGTCACACATACTCTCTTAAACTGAGCTTAGAATCAAAGTAAGACTGGAAATTTTAGTTTGCTTCTGAATTAAAGTGTTACTGAATTTGAACTGCGAGGGGCCACTGGGTAGATTATGACACTGTAAGAATGAAATGGAGCAGTGATCAGTTAGCAGGTTACCTTTGAAAAACGGTGTGAAATGCTGGTTTTGATTCATTATTTTACTTAGGATATAATCTGCAATTGTCTTTGATGAAAATCATTGCAGCTTGGCCTGAGATGTCAGACATGATTGTATTCTTGGTCTCCAAAAAATAAACAAGGAAAAGAATAAATCGTCTTCTGTGGTTTGGCCCTGTTTGACTCATGTTTCCAGGTAACAAAACAAATTCCACACGGCGCAATTCAGCTTTCATTTCTTGGACCCACAGTTTGTTACTAAGCTGTATATTTTAGAGTTCACAACAGTACACACAAAAATCTTCAACGTCACAAGTTTTTTGCATACAAAGCTTTGAGAAGTGCTATGCCCGGTCAACTCTTCTACTCCGCCGTCTCTAATCACTTCACACAGGCGCCAATACAAGGAGACAGATATGGAGCAGGAGACATGGCCTCAGACATTCTCAAAATAACATTAGTGGACCCAACAAAAGAGGAAAAAGGGATGAGGACAAGAGTGTATGAAAAAAGACAAGATATCAAATAACACAAAACACACAACAAAATAAATAAATCATGCTCCTTTCTCCAGACACTGGATGTTTGTGTGTTGCATTGCCCTCAACACAGATGACTTACACAAGCATTACTGGAGCATACACATTAAACCCTTTAAATGTTGGTGACATATCCCAACTGATTAAGCCCTAGTAAAAAAAGTGTCTAACCTTAACCGAACCTACTGGCTCTCCAGACAACCCAGTAAATACTCCTATTCTAGGACTAAGATCCCCACCCAGTTTGGAAAAAGAAATACTGGAATACTGATCACTTTGTTTACTTGTGTGTTTACTAGCATCACTGTACAACTGATGCAAACTTACAGATGAGAGTTAGGCAGTGACAGGTGACTGCTTTCTCTCTTGAATGTGAAGCAACAACAAGACACATTAAATTCTCTGTGTTTCATTAAAACTTTGTCAGCACACAACAATTTAGGTCCACGGTGCACTGCCTGTTCTCCATAATCGGTGCTACAACCCACTGAGCCTTTGTCTGACTTTGTGCATCATCATGGATTCCTCAAAACCTCCATCTCTTTTCTTCTCTTCCCCAAGCCCCTTATTGGACCCTGGGTCTGTTCCAAACCCAGACAGGACGACCCACTTTTAGGCCTGGCCAGGAAGGGGCACTCTATAGGGGGGCAAAAGACCTAGGAAATCCCCTGCTGGGGCAGGCTTAGCAGAGCACTGATGAGTCCTGACAGGGCAGCTACCAAGGCAGAGAGCCCTTAAATGATGTTTGGGTACTGTCACTGGGCTTTGGGGCAGTGTTTCTCTCCCCATCATAAGCATGTGGAGAAAGGGCTTTTATTTTGAAGTTTAATGGAGGTATACTTCGGAGGAATTCTACTAAAATTATAACTCAACCCCCAACACTCTACACTGTTCCGTACAATGTTCTTAATCATCAAGGTGTTCAGTGTAGTGTATTGGGTTTATTGTAGGGGTCTTTTTTGATTTCCATTTTCCATTAAAAATTCCAGCATAAAGTGAGTGGTTTAATATTTTCTGCAGAGACAAACACTTCTGAGCAGATGATTTACTCACATGGCAGCTGTTTTAGGTGTAGAGTCCACCTCATGAAGACACCTGTAATCCTCAGCACAGGCACAGATCAGCCGTAACGTCCGAACTGTAGGGAAACACAGTAGAAATATGTTAACCCCTGTCCTTGGACAAAACTTTAAAAATAGATACAGAAAGACAGCAATGACGCTCTTAAAAGTGGTGTGTTAAGAGGGAATTTAGTATAGTCTTTTCATTATGTTTTCCTGTGAGTTTTATAATGTGTTTTAAGATTATTTGTTTCAATTGAACACATTACGTGTCATTTTAAATTCATTCAAACTTGATTTTTTGAACAAGAGACAGTCCTACTTGCCCCATTATGATGCGATAGGCTAACAGTGTTTCTTACAGGTCTGACTGTGCTGACTGAAACTCCACAAAAAAGGATTGAACAGCCCCTGCTGTAATCTAATGTCTACTGTGATTCCTCTTTTAGTTTATAGGTGAATAACGCCTCCTGACAGCCTGCAATTGGATACTTACTTGAGAAATTAAGGCTTTTTAATACCTTCTAAGGCTTTTTCCTTTAAGGGAACTGACTTCAATACTTTTTAAGACTTTTCAAAGCCTGCACATATCCTGAAAAAAAGAAACTATCTGAAGTGACTAGGAGAACAGGCTGTAAGTCTGAGGTCATGGTACGCAGCCAGAAAAGGGTGGATCGCCTCCTTCGGGGTTGAATGAACACACCCCAGGAGAAGCTATCCTGTCCTGAAAGGCAGCCTTTGTGTGATGAAGAATAAAAACAACGCAACCTGACTCACCAATACATTCCAACTTCCTCTGTGGACAGCGGTCTATAATGAGAAGCCTAAGCTCCTGAACAGCAGACTCGTAGGGGTAGGACCCTTGTAGTGCGCCAGGGTCCTGGGGGAACAGTTTCAAAGAAACCCCGACATCTCCGGGTGAGATGTCCCCGTACAGCTTCATGCTTGTCTCAAAGGCCTGCTCCCTTTCCCTGTGGACCTTCCTGAGAAAGAAAGCCAAAGGGTACCAGACAGAAAACCCAGGCAGGGAAAACATCTCAAAAATGGCTGTTTGTAAGTGAGGCACACTGCCAGGCATTATGGAAAGAGGAGGCAATATAGCTGCTGTCACTGACAATTTTTTTTTCATGGGTACAGATGAGTCAAGCATTATATTTTTGGCAAGATGAAGAAACATCAAGAGCAATCTGATCACAGGACGTTAAACAACAAAACAACTAACCAAAACAGAAAACTCATGGGGGTGCAGGGGTCTAATTTCGAGTGGTCTGGGTATTTGTTCAATAACAATTAGCTGTTTTTGTAGGTGGTAGGGATGGATTGATATTTTCTTCAAGGCCAATATGGATATTAGTAATCAAAGAAACCGATAACTGATAATTGGAATCAATATATATTTGTAGTAAAAACTAAAATCTTCCATCCAAATTTAGAATTTTTTGAGGTACTTGTACTTTACTTGAGTATTTTTAATTTTATGCTATTTTATACTTATTTGATAACGTTACTCATTTTGCATATTGACAATATTAATACAAAATATAAAACTAATACATTAATATGGATTCATCTATTTTTTAGTATTAGTATATTTTTTGGGGGCTTTTATTGCCTTTATTATAGCAACAGCTGAAGATAGACAGGAAAGGGGACAGAGAGAGGGGATGACACACAGCAAAGGGCCGCAGGTCGGATTCGAACTCCGGGCCGCTGCAGCAAGGACTCGGCCTCGGTACATGGGTCGCCAGCTCTACCCACTGAGCTATCTGGGCGCCCAATATGGATTAATCTACCCAGCAGTATAAAGTAATCAATATGAGCTCCACCGTTACCAGTGTGTGATCTTGTGACATGCAACCATTCAGATGGTGCTGTGGGCGGGGCATTGAGCAAAATCACAGAGGACCCCCTTTTCCACCAAATTAGTTCTGGTTCTTGAACCAGTGTCGTTTGTTGCAAACACCTCTAGCCTGCCTGCCTATCAACATTTCCTAAAAACACAACTCTGGCCTGAAGAACTAAACTTTTCATTTAAACGCCTTTAGCAGTTCACTGTGAGTAAATCACAGTGAACTTGTCAATCTATCATTTGTCCCCCAAGTAACTGACGGCATCATTTTGATTTCAGATGGTTGGCTATGGGCTCCGACCGAACAAAACCAGTCCAATCACTTCTTAGTTACCAACATCAGTATTTATGTCTAAATACTATGCGAAACCAAGAGGTCCTCTTTGAGAATATGAAATAGAGAAAATAGCACATTAGTGAATAGTATTGCAATATGTCCTGGGATAATGTGAAAAGAGGTATGTGTACATTCACAAGTCAGTAATGGTCGTAGTATTAATTTCGGAACTCAACTGATAATTTTCAAGCCTCTATTGGTGTAATGAGTCAAGCCATCAATAGAAGATGGAAGATGCTGACATACTCAGAGTAGCACTGCCACATGCAGGTCACTGAGAGACCTTCACCCATGCTGTATTTCTAAGAAAAACTTCATGCCAAACCTTAATAGTGGCTTTGAATGCAGTGTAACACAACCTTTACCAGTACTATCTGAACTCCTCCAATTCATTTGAAAACAACCCACCTGATCCGCTGACTTACATGTATTTCTGAATTGGTTCACTCAAACATATTCAATGTGCAGTTGTTTCCTTTTCCATATACTGCTGTGGCTTTGCCTGGGGTCACAATAACTGAATATTCTCCATCACTCACTGAATTTTATTAACAATGAGGAAAATTAACACTGAGGGAGATCTAAGTAGTAATTCACATGCAAATGTGGCTAATGTTAAGGGGGGGTGTCTCTTAAGACAAAACTGTTTAATCGAAAGTGCTTTTAGAGATCTTATTCTGATCAAGCTCTTCGTCCAACTGAAGCAAAGCGTATTTGATTTGGAAAAGCAGGGAGAAATATTTCATGTTTAAGACAACACTTCAAAGTATAAAGAAGTGTTTCAGGTCACAAGGATTTAGATTGCATTACCTGAAAAGAGCCACAAGGGCGCTCCACAGGGGCGTAAAGAAGGCCTCCTCTATGCTGGCGAGGCACAGGTCTTTAGAGTTGGCTGTGTTTAGACACTCAAAGGACAGCAAACACAGTGACAGAAGCTGATCTGAAATATAAAGACACACCCCTAACATTTAATATCCAACAACTTTTACATTGACTGTAAAATTCCACCATTTTCAACAGCATCGGGAAATTGTTGCTGTTGAAAATCAACAGGACACTTTCTACGCATGCAAACAAAAACACAAGTGCCCTCTATCCTCATGCTCACCAATTGCAATATGGATGTCCTTGACAACGGCCTTCAGGTGCTCCGTCAACGCTCTAATCTCCAGCTCCTGGATGTTTCCTTCTTCCTGCTCCGGCTGCATCAAGGGATCACAGGTTGTGTCTAGATCTGAGCCGGTGTCATCTGCACTGCCGTGGGGCGGGGCCCAGTCCAACTGGGTGAGGAACTGCTCCAGGTCTTCAAACGAGTTCTCACGATCCACCGTCACCTGTGTGTGAGGCTCGTCCCCATCCTCGTCATCATAGTTGGCGTGGAGGTCGTGAGAGAGTGAGGGGGATGAGTCGGCGCTGAAACTCTGGCCACCAACGCTACTGCCTACAGTCCTGGTGGGCTTCCTCTGGATCTCTGTATGATCAATAACATGTTCACATTAACAACTGTATTAAAGCTGCAGTAGTTCATTTTATAAAAATAATTTGTCATATTTTCGGAATCTTTCACTGTATTTCACATATACACACTATGATAGTGATTAATAGGGATTTGACCTATAGCTACAAGTCAGAAACACAGCCCCTGATTGATCAAATGTCTCAACCCAAGGCATACCTGGATTGTCAGTAGACTGCTGACACCTTGCTAAAAACAACAACAACACTTAAATATCGATGAATTATCACAGAAAACATTCAGTGTTGGATTGGTCATAAAACCGCAGGGATGCATTGTCCATACCAGAACTCTTGCCCTACCTGCATGAAGAAGGTTGTGAGTGCTACGAGAAGGCCTCAGAGACAAGGCGGGACTCTGGGGGAGGCCTTTACTGACGATGGGGTAGAGCCTGTTGTAAATCCGGTACTGGTGTTTCCTCAGGAGCTTCACCACTGGGTGGTCAGACCGGCTGAGGACACAGTGCAAATGTTAGCAGACCATCATTTGGCCTGAAAACGATCAATGTCTTTTTGCATAGTGTGATGATAAATGTAAATGTATATATAGTAAGGGACAACAGTTGGGCAGTTTGGGGGGTGTTGAAGTTTTTCTTTCTTTCTTTTCCCCCCTATGGCTGACGTAACACATTGTAAATCAAAATCATTTTGGTTTGTCCTCATTTTGTTTTGGATGCTTGACAAATGTAGGGTGAGGAGGACCTGAACAAACAACACAGTGAGCACAAATATAAAAGAGGACATTTTGGAAAACTTTAACTCTAGGAGGAATCCAGTGTGTACCATAGGTTTGTAAGAACTGACACATTCTCTCCCTCTCTCTGTCTGTTCTATAATTATTTGCATAGTAACAAGCTTGAGTCATTCTTTCTGCAGCCATCACTTAAGATAACATAAGCAAAACACACACTATTGTGTATTGACGGGGCTGATGCAAGACAACCAATCAAGTTTGAGTCGACCTTTTGAACGCAACAAAACTGTGTTGTGTGGTGATGTGACCGCACAACAAAAGCCTATCATTCAGGCGAGTGTCAAAATATGAACGCTGCTGAACGTGTGAATATGACAGTTATATAAGCATGTGGACTGTTGCATCCTGTCATCCTCTCTACACTGAGCTCAGGCAGCTCAGGAGCATCTTCAGCCACAGACTGACCCAGCCCCGAGCCTCAAAGCGGTTTGGAGGCTCATTTGTACCATCTGCCATCAGACTCCACAACGCCACAGCTCCCAGTTCCTCCAACCCCAGCAGATAAAGACTGGTTTAGAACTCCTACCTACAACGCGCAAACCTTTTGCTCTATTTACATTTGATTTCCACTTTAGTAGTTTAGTAGGTTTAGTTTTAGTTTAGATACTTTAATTTATAGTTTTTATATCTTCTAATATTAATAATATTTACTGGGATTTTGCACTGCTTGGCCCTATTGCTGTGTCAAAATGAATTTCTCCTTAAGGGGATAAATAAAGGAATTATCTTATCTTATCTTATCTTATCTATCTTATGGGGAGATCCAGTTTCAAGCCAGTTGAAGCCTCAAAACTGGTCTGGGAACAGGGGTTATATTACAGATTAGTTTTGGGGCATAAGTTGCAAAAGTGACAAAGATATTGCTTGGTATGAACAAAGGACTTTCAAGGCCAGGGAAACTCTCCCTGAATTTCAGCTTCAACTAAATCCTTAAAGCTATTACATGTAACATTTCTGCATAAAATGTGGATCCTTTGTCTGTCCAACAGTGTGGGAGAAGCAGTGATTTTTAAGGTGGAACTGCTTTATTCAGTGTTTTTAGTGGTTTTAATCAGCGGGTCTGTTTGTTTTGGAGAGGAGGAGACCTCTGTGGATAATTGGGCTCCCGGTAGAAACCTCCTGAACCATGAACACTGAAGGCAATGGTGGTGAAGACAACAACTCCCATGATCCCACGCTGCTTCACAATTACCTCAAACTTTGTCTTTTTGTTATTGTTTCAATTGTATTGTATTGTGAGAGACCCCTAGCAGCAGAAATTACAGAATGTATTTTTAATCTCATCTCTGTAGTAGCCCCTTACGTACTGCATCTAAAAACTGTATCACACAGGGACGAAACCCTCCATCGACAGACAAATATGTATAAACTGTATATAAAATGTTCATGTTGCAGTCAGTTACCTGAGCAGGTAGGAGACTAGACCTGACACTAATGTCATGTCATCAAGATTCTTCCTCATGTTGGCTTTCCACAGTTTGGGCCAATCCTAAATAGACAATAAAAAAAACATAAATATATGACTTATTGGCAACTATATCTTTAGTTTCATACAACAATTAGTTGATTCATTTTAATTTAACCGATCAATGCCAAATCTGACAGTTGTCTTCGGTTATAAGAAACAGCTACACACAGGCATAGAGTTGTATGCCTTTTAACATATCATATAATTCAAGGTTCATGGTAATTTACTGAATTACTTACATTACATACATACATTGAATACTTGTTACTGGGTTTGCTTGTCAGACATATTTATAGGAATTACTCGCAAACGTACATGGTCTTGCTCGTATTCCAGTACATTGGTATAGAGAATACGCTGCTCTTGCTCCTCTGCAGTCATTGCGCCAGAAGCTGCAAATCGCCTGTATTGACAAAAACACAGAGAAAATATTTATGTCCAACTTTTGATCTATCACCCATTTCTGTTTATGAATGTGAAGAGTCACCACAGTATGAAACCTGCATCTTTGTGGACTGATTTAGTGTAGAAAGCAAATATATCTACAAATATTTACCAAATTACTGCACAGGTTAATTTGATTATTTTCTTTACAAATTGGTCTACAGGTTATGAACATTCGCAGCTATGACCACTGAGCTAAACACACAAATAACAGAGTGAGGACATGCTGATTTATTTAACAGTCTTTGTGTTGTTGCAAAGTTGAATGCCATATCTCAGTGGTTCCCAACCTTTAAGGGACCCCTTTTTTATCATTGAGTAAACTGACTCAGAGACATATTTGATGGATATTTCATATTATATTTAAACTGTACAATGAACACAAACAGTAAACTCAGTAACTGCAGGAAGTTAGATTTCCTGTTTAGAGAACTTTTTAAACAAATTCTCTGTATGATGTTTTTTTAAATCATCTTTACCAAGCACTTAAACCTAATAGGCTTATTTTTTTATTTTTTGTTTTTCTTGTCCTTGACGTTTGGCCGTATTTGTTCTATTAAGACAATTTATTTTACTTTACATTTCTTCACAGAAGTGAACGAAATGCTGAGATATAGACCTACTGTGTAGGTTTTTTCACATGACCTAAAATCTCACCCAAGTAAAGTCTTATGTGGGAGACGGACAAAATTTTTTGATGGTTAACTGAAAATCTGGTTCTAAATAAAAGGAGAAAAATTATCAACCTTTAATTTGTCAAGTATATAATCCAAAATGTAATAAGAAATAGGTCTTTCCATTTGGTCACTTTGTATAAACTTTTCATTGAATTTCAGAAAATGTGCTATATCATGATATCATTATCTTGATACGAGATGACCTATATTGGGATATGAGAGTTTGATCATATTGAACAGCCCTAAGAACTGTAGTATACAATCATATCTCACTTCCTATCCAACTCAATCTAGGCATTGTTAGAATGCCTATCATCGTCTCATCATCATTCCACCCCTGAGATTTTTGTGTGTGTATTTTTGGTGAAACAGCAAAAGTGTGACTTTAAAACTTCAAAACTCTGAATGACTGACTAAACCCTTTCCAAGAATTGACTGTGTGCTTTACCCTTAGATAACAACACAAATGAACTGGATAATACCACAAGCCTTTCAAATGCACTTTGGAGCACATCAATTTCGTTTCAAAGTTTAGGAGACACTGGAAGGAACTAACTTGAGACAGGGTACTTGAAACAATTACTATTCTCAATTACTTCTATGAACTTTCAAAAACCAAACATACAGTTTGCAGCATTTGTAGAATTACGCCAACTAACCAAACATCAAAGTCTAAGTCAGGTCAGCCACATGTTAAGCTTGAATTGTTGTGGTAGTAGCAAAAGTAAGTTCTGGATAGCATTTCAAAAGAAGCTTGTAGCTCTGTATTTGAGTATCATGTATTCCTGTAAAGAGGCATACTCCATACTTAACCGAAAGAAGGCAGTAGCTGAAAACAGAATAAAGTTTGAACCTAATTCAGTGTGTTGATAGAGAACTGTGTTGTACCTGTTGGCCTCTTCCTGCAGTCTCAGTCTTCTTTCCTCCATCTTCCGCTGGAGCTAATGTTCCGACAAACATTAAGGAAACCTCACATGGGTCAGCTGTAAGTGATGATGTCTTTTAGGTTAAATCAGGGGTATCACGAAAAACCAGCAAACACGAGCATCCCATTCTGTAAATATCAATATCCCACAGCCACATCCATCCTCCACTCCTCTGTAAAATATCCCAGCTTTAAGGGAAAGAAAAAAATTAAGAAAAATATTTTTTTGGTAAACCTTTGAAGGGGCAAAAGTTAGTGAACCCTGAGCTGCACTGTTTAAAAACAAGCAGGAAAATACAAATCAGGTGACACAAAATTGCTGGCTAAATTAACCAATGAAATGAGAGCTCTTTAGGGGAGAAACTGTGCAGCACTGATCAAACCAGTGAACCCATACAGGTCAATCATGCCAAGAGGTTCACAGTACACACACACACACACACACACACACACACATTTAAGCAGCACTGTATAGTAAACAGTGTGGAACCACAGTGCCCCCTTGTGACCCTGTAGGACTGTTAATCAGGGAGATTTAGAAAGAGTAAGGAGTTACAGCAACCCTCAGCAACCTAAAGGTCTGTGTCATAAATCTACCTCACATGAGCCTCTCTCTTCTCCTGGACTGTTTCCAAGCAATGAACAATAAAACACTATTTTAAGAATGAATGCTGATTTCTGGTGATCTGGGAGCTAAAACTTATAAGTTGCTGAATATCCGAGCAGCTAAACAGTCTCTTTACCTTTTAAATATTTGTTTCCTTAGAGACTAATATGTGCCATCTGTCCATACCTACACACAGCTCACCACTCCCACTTAAAGGATTTGGAAAGCTGGGAAAACGTTACCAATTAGGACAAATTGGGAATAAAGCATCACTCACTGCCTTAAATGATATTAAGAAAGCTATCCATCACCTGTCAAGCAACAAAGATGGAGACTTCTACAACCCAGTGAAAACACAAGGATACAGCATCCTGTCTGGCTTTAGCTATGATGAGATTCTCCATCATCTGCCGCTGGAGGGAGAGCGTCTGCATTGGAAAAGAGGAGAGGAAATAATGTCAAATGACAAAGGAAAAATACTTTGTAAAGTTGTATTAAAATGCAAGTTGTTTCTATAGAGAAAAATCCAGTTAATTTTAGCACAAACAGGGCTGGAATTTAACATTCTCGGCAGTTACCGCCCACATACTGCGCTTAGAATAATGAAGTTGAATGTAAAGCCACAATGTCATGTCCCATCTCAATTACCATCTAAAATCTTTCAACAAAGTTAGTAAATGAAGCTTTATCTTAAAGCGAGACACTTTTACATTTTGGGATATTTTGCAGAAAGAAAACACCCAAAATACACAATTGTGTGTATTATTGTCTATTTGCATATGCAGATTTCTCCTAAATTCACCAAAAGTTAGTTTTACATTATGCCTAATTTGCATATTTTAACATAAATCATCTGTAGTGTTTTACAAAATGCATACTCATACTCACAAATCTCCACTTCAGTAGCACTTACATATGCCAAACCTTCCAGTTATATTCTTATCTATAGTCTTTTTCCAAAAGGGCTTTGTTCCAGTGTTGAATACCCAGGATGAATATCCAAAGGCATAAAAGGTAGCATGCACACAATATTCGAGGACAAAGTTGACTAATCTCAATTTCACCAATTTATTTAGGCCATATCAAATAAACATGCTAATGTTTCAGCCTGATTTACAGAACATTTTATTCCTAAAAACATGGCCAAAATGGATTTATTATGGTTGCTGACAGGGTTTTCTAATTTATGGAGTAATAAATCTCCAAAATTATAATGGAAAAATATATCAAGATAATTACTCTTTCACACTGAAACATTTTAAACCTGGCCTTATCCAATGTTTACATTTATGTCCCAAAAATGTAGGCAAATTAGCATTTTTAAGTAGATAATACCGGATTTGCACTGTTTTAAGAAAGAGTTTTCCCTCTCTGTGAGTGTGTATTTTTGGTGAAATAGCCAAACTGTGACCGTAAAGCGTGTTCAAAACTGATTTCCAAAACTGATTAAACCCTTTCCAAGAATTGAAGAAGAGTGCTTTACCCTTAGATGACAACACAAATGAACTGAAGAATACCACAGGCTCTTTCGGGAGCCTTTCAAATGCACCTTGGATCCATTTTATTTTAAAATTTAGGAGACACTGGAAGAAACTAACAGTATATGAAACAATAACCACTCTAAATTAAGGGATTACTTTTATTTTTCATTTTGAAGTAGATATTTCCTAATCTAAATATTTAAACATAGGATTTCAGAGAACAAGCAATACAAAAAATAATAATCTCAATGTAAGTAATAAACTCTAAATTGTGATATCTATTATTATTTTTCATCCTTTTCCCCTGTAGTGTCTCACACAGTAACACCACGTCACAACCTGCAATGCAACTGCAACACCAAAAAGACTAAATTACACCTTAACCATCACAACAAGGAACTAAATACTGAAACGTTACTGTCTGTAGTGAGAGCTGCTAGAGTAACGTTAGGCTGCGTCATCAGTGACGTTTCCAACCTGGCAGACTCCATTTACTGAACCAACACAAACCATCGAGTACCGCTCACCCCGTCAGGTCAAGGTGTAGTCTTTAAATTTAAGATTTCATTAAATTAAAAGATGCAATAAATGATGCCGAACAGCTCGTGGCGTTTATCAATCTTGGTGTGAGGACTTAAATTAACGTTAGTACTCAACAATTTTGGGGGACAGTTAGAAAAGCAATCATTTCAAAGTATTTTTTAAGGACTTCAGTGAGACGTGTTAATTAGCTAGCATAGCTGACCAGACTTTACCTTTACAAATGCCTTTAGTTTTCTCCAGTAAGCACGGAGCTCCACTTGACGCCGAAACATTTTCCGCATCTGAATGACGAGTTGACATGAATTTAAAAATCTCCAGATGAATACAAAATTGATGTCGGAATTAAAATAAGTTAACTTATTAAGCGTTGCAATTAAGAGCGCTTTGATAATAAAATGTCTTGTCTCTCGTTTACCATCATGTTTTCTGCCTGGAGATTTCACCAAAGGGATGAAGCCGAGCAGGAGAAAGTTGGGCTTTTTAGCTGAGAACTTATCTAGCCTTACACAACTCCTGCGGTACACAGAATAAATCCACACACAGCCCACGCCCACTCCCACTCCCACTGCCCTCCGCTGCTCAAAAAGAGCGGCAAGCTAGCCGACGTACATACAGGCCGGAAGGGACACGAGACATTCACAATAAAAGCACACACGAGGTCGCTTAAAAATGCTAACACTACTTTTGAAAAAACATGCATCAAATATACGTTTAGGCAGTATGGAGACAGGAAAAAATACATTGGGGGGAAGACAAAAAAATGTGTGTTCCCCATGAGAAAATATTTTGAGTGTAAAAGAGTCTTCTTCTGGGCAAAACTCAAGGGTCAAAACATGAGCACCCAGGACAGACAGGGTGCAGTTTTATTGTATTCATGTATTTTATTTCCTCCTCCATGTCCCCTAAGGGACTCCATAAGACTGAGTGTAGTGCTTCCTAAGAATGAGAACAGTTTAACTACTCACCTAAGTAATGTCTTAATGGTAAATTTACAGAGTAATATATTAACTTCTACTGCTCACTTTTAAGGCAAAGTGTACAACTGTTGATTTGTGCAGACGGCCAGAAAGTCCTTGAATGGTATAATTATGGTTTCGGTTAGGAGCAGTGGCCTAAATGTGTATTTTTAGACTACTTACACATTCAGTCAGTCCGCTATTGTCTGCCACACTGTGTCTGGATTTCTTTTTTTACATAATACATGCTTAATGTAAGACTCCATTATGTAAAGTATGTTTAATGCGTCTTCTCCATTTCTGATAAAAGCCGTGAACGTGCATTTATCCCAATTAGTTAAACCTGGCTTCACCTAGTTGCACCTCCTCAGCCTGGCTTGGCCTACATGAAACGTATAAAGCCAGGACTAGACTAGACTAGACTAGACTAGACTAGGTCAAGCCAAATCTTTTCAGTTATCTTGGATTTCTAAATTCGTGTTTTGTGAAAAAGCCACTGATCCACAAATATAGGCTTAGACAAACTCTGCTAATTTGGTCCTCTTATTCATACATACAAGCCTCATTTTGTTTTGAAATGTTTTTATAAGATTTCAAATTTTTGCTGCTGTGTCTGGAAGCACTGTGCACAATGTCACAGTATTTCACACACAGCTTATGGGTATATATCAGGTACGGAAAAAATAGGAAGAGGTCATACCAGAAGCAAAACATGGATGATTTCTGTGCCATTAAACAAACTGTAACTTGGACCATAATGCATCATGTAATGAACTCATCTTCCAGTTTGTCTGCTGGTCCAGTCTCGAGAAGGTAATGTTGTCAAAAAAATGGGACACTTTTGCTACAAGTCAGCTTTTAGTGGGCCTTTAGCTCAAGTCAACAACACACATACACATACAAGCACACACTCATTCACATACCAAAGACGTCTTCTGGTAGGCCTGACCAGGTGTGAGCCTTGCCAGACGAGCTTCATAATTGGCTTTCAACTTCTGGTTTAAACGTGATGCTTCTTCAATGGGTGTCAGCTCCCTGGGACACACACAAAATACAAACAAGCAACATGTCCCTTGTCAATGTGGCGGGGCAGCGTGACATTGTTATTATTTTGAGTAAAACATTTTTAGAAAAAGCTCACACAAGCACCAATGAAACTGACATATGGTGACGACAAGGTTCTGTGAGTCAAATCAAATAATTAGGGATATTTTTGTCACTTTAGAATGAAGACTTGTAAAAACTATCCTCAGGCATTAAGAGAACTGAGCGTGAAGATGAAAAGGAGCAACATTTTTAAACCTGGTAAACAGTGGTGTAGTGGTGTCTGGAGAAGTGGGTGTACTAATTGATAACCTCAGTTTTATTTTTAAGCGTCCTGTCCAGCAAAGGATAGACGCTGTGTGTTACAGACAGTGACATGTAACGCTTCATATTTAGCTCACCCGAAAGTGGGCCAGTAGTTTTGGCACTGTCACTTAACCTCTGCTGCTTAGCTTAAGGGTGTAAGGATTATAATGAAACATTAACACAGAAGAGGAGCAGATTGGGCAATCATTACTGGCCCACAGACGGTTGAGAAAACGACATAATTAAACATTTAGAGTGAAGTATTCCAATAAAAAAATGGTGACAGGGTAAAGATTTTGGAATGACTGGAAAGATGTGGACTCCCCCTCAGTATAGGATATTTATGAAAATCCCAATTCACAATAATGCAAATTCACCATGAGAGTTTTTTATTGCAATATACAATAATATCGCATATCGTCCCATCCCTAGAAGTGGGTACACCCACTGCTAACTGAAAGATAAGTGGGTATACTCTGTATACCTGTGTATCCCCTACACTACACCACTGCTTGTAAACCATATTATATAGGGCTGTGTATTCAAAAGAATCTGCCGATACGAAACGTATCACAATACAGAGGTTACGATTCAATATATTGCGATACTGTAAGCAAGGCGATCTTTATTGAGATTTTTTAAGAACAGTGGGATCTGCGTTATCACAGTCTGTGTAACATCAAACATCACAGCCCTTAGTTTACATTTACAACTGCTATCTAGCGGTCGGGGGTTCAAATACAAAAATCCATACGGTGTTACAGTTCGAGAATCGGTACAATATGACAAAACAAAATATGGCGATACTAATGTGTATCGATATTTTCTTACACCCCTAGGGTTAAAGAGTAGAAATATATTTTATTTTATTTCCAAGCGCAGGTTTAAAATTCAGATAAGTGAACTGAAGACATTAAAGAGTGTAAGAATCTGTTTGACCTGGTTGGACGGTTTCAAACATTGTGCTCGTCAGTGGAAGCTGTAACTGACTGGTTCTTAGAAATCTGTTATCTCTGCTGTGTTGTTCACTTAAGCGGATATCTGTCATTGATTGGAGCAATATCTGCCCTCCTTGATAAAAACTGGCCCTTACTTTTTGCTTGTGTCCTGTGACTCCACTGTTTGTATTCTCTGGAAGATTTCAGGAGGCAGAAAAGGAGAGAGCTCCCCGCCACCTTCTGACATTACCCTGCGGTGACCGGTCTTTGTTGGGCTGGTTGCTTTACGCCCTGCGTCAACAGGAATATCAGATGGAGGGACTGTGACAGCAAAGGGGAAAAAAGAGCAGTGATTGGCTTACAGGACAGAAATCATGTGGCTACACATTGGCTGATTTGGATTTGTGAGCCCTAGGGCAGGCTCCAAGTTAGCAGTGATTGAATGGTATGTTAATAAAAGAAATGCTTCTGATTGGAAGGGGATGTATTCACCAGTGCTCGCAGCAGTGGCGACTGGGAGGGCAGGAGTCTGATGGGGTTCTGATTGGCCAGGTGAACAGGAAGAGGAAGCGGAGACGGAGGCAGAGAGGTCGGGGGGGTCAGCGCTCTTCCCTATAAATGACTTGGCTCGCTCCAGACACTGCTCAGCCAGCCTCAACATCCGCTCCACCTCCACCGCCACTATCTCCCTCTCCTCTGAGGCCGGGACGGAAAGAAACAGAAGACAGAGAGTTTAAGATTAATCTAATGCAGGTCTGCTATATAAAGGTCATCACATGGCATTTGAGATCTGACTCAATTTTGTGCTAACAATCAACTACTGTATTCAAACTGATTAGCTCAAGTCTGGTTAAAATGATTAGCTCTGTTAGAAGGGGGTGCTGCTTGTGATTTGGACTGAAGCCTGGACTGGTCCAACCCACCAATCCACTGACTACCACATGTTCAAACCTTAGAGGCTTTTCTCATGGTTTATAAATATCTCATTAGCCTCATCTGAGATCCTCATCGTGGTCCAGAAGAGAACTGACTGTGCACAAATCTGAATATCACAACACGCAGGTTGATTAAAGATACCCCCAGCCATAAATACAGCATATACAAATCTGCAATATATCAAATGAGCATTTCATTATATGTATATACGGATACAGTTTTTATAAAAATAACTTGTTGTCATTATTGCTGAAATGTTCACTGTGTTCTGACAGTAGTACAAAATCAGGTTCCTCTGGCTCCTCCGGCTCCTCCTAGGTGGATTCTTGTAAATGCCATTAGGAGCACTAGGAGGAGCCAGAGGAACCTGATTGTTTCACACATTATCTGTCTTATCTGTTGGCACTAGAGGGTAGAAGAAGGAGGAGAAATCTAGATGCTGCTTTAATGCTACGGTTAGCCTCTATTGTAACATAGTTCCAATTTAATTAAATGTGAATTTGTGAAGAAAAGGGCAACAAGCCCAAAAAGATCAACAGGATATAAGGAATAGGAGCCACAGCACAGCATTAATGCAGATGATATCAGGTGCCCACAGTGTCTGTCTGACCACATTATACTGGAGATGTACACCAATTAGCCATAACATTATGAGCACTGACTGAAGTGAATAACACTGATTATCTGGTTATCATGGCTCCTGTCAGTGGGTGGCATATATCAGGCAGCAGAAGGAAGGAAAAGAACCAGAGACAGTGTCATGGGCAGCCAAGGCTCATTCATGCACGTGGGGAGTGAAGGCTGGCCCGTGTGGTCCGATCCAACAGACGAGCTACTGTAGCTCAAACTGCTGAAACAGTTAATGCTGGTTCTGATAGAAAGGGGTCAGAACACACAGTGCAGCAGAGTCTGTTGGTATGGGGCTGCAGAACATTCTGACCACCAGGGTGCCCAGAATGTTATGGCTGATCGGTGTATACAGTCTCTAAAGAGTCTAAAAGTTTAAACACATAATTGTCCTTTTGATAGAAATTTGCTTTGGTGAGCTAAAATAAAATAAAATAAAAATCCTCAGGACTTGAAGGCATGAAATCAGCACGCTGTTATGACAGACAATCTAAAATGGGGCTACTTATCCACTGATGACCAATGTCAGCTATAACATTGATCCAAGCTGCAACCTCTATGGCTGACAAAGGAAGCCTAGAAATGCCACAAACGGCAGTTCCTCAAACGGCCACTAGAGGCTGGCTCCAGCAGTGAGTCAATCTCCATAACCCCCCATATTAAAATACTTTACAACAGAAATAACCATGCTTACAGCCTGGTACAAACAACAGTTTGTATAGCTAATTTCCCTGTTCACAACTGTACTCACCCTTTAAGTTATATTAAGGCTTAAAGTTAAGCATAACCACCCATTCTCCATCTCATTTCCCATTTTTGGATTAGCCAGGAGCCGTGGAGTCAGGACTGCCAAGATGGTGATGGCCATAGCCGACCATCTGAACCACCTTCAGAAACCTATGGGTGACGTAATGACTGCGTCCATTTTTAATTATACAGTCTATGCTTAAAGCCCATTTCAAAGTCTGTACCGATGTAATAGGTCTTACAGTATAACCTCATAATAAAGCAGGTTCAACTGTTACATATGTGGATGGAGGCTCTTAAAAGTGGCATGTTAACTTTTTTACTATATGAAATGTTGCATTTATTAGACAATACTGCAGTAATAACTCTGCAGTACAGTCAGCAAAACTGAGTAAATATACCAAAGACATAATAGTGAAAACAATCATGAGATTAGATTTAATAGTAAAACTCTGTACATTCATTTATCATCAGTCATATGTCACTACATATATCTTACTTTGTGACACAACTTCTTCCAAAAGTGCATGTGATATGAAGTTGATAGTCCGGAGATATTCACAGTAAGCTTCCTGCAGAAAGAGCACAAGCATGTAGTATCTTATTATTGTTATGGTACACAGTAAAACATAATAATATATTATAACTACTGCTGATCAGGGAACATGGCCATACAGCAGTAACAATTCAGTCACAATGTTCTTGCACCATATGGTGCTGTGATGCTATTCTTAAAGTCCACCATATATGTGTTTTGTTATGTGTTGCTTGTTGGATCGTCTCAATGCCAAATTTTATAAATACACTCAGATGATTATGTCTGGCCAATATTTTATAAGCAAGACCTAAACACCAGACCTCATTTTGCTGACTAGGCACTATTATTTGAGGAAACATCATGACTTTACTTGTTTTTCCAGTTCCTTATTTACTTTTCTGTATTTGCAAGTCACTACTGAACAAGTGCAGGAACCTATTCTAAACTAAGGCACTTTAAAGCTCACTGATAGACCTAATAAATAGTGGTTATTGAATTTTAATAAACCTTTGATTCAATATCAAGATAAACAGTTTTATGGTTACTAGACTCGTTTTAATAGCACTATTCACATACACTATGTATACCACGCTATCTAGACTCTACATAAAGTCATTTGGCTCACATCAGCATCACATTTGGCTGTTTTTAACCAACGTGGGTGTTTTTTTTGACCAACTTCTATATCCATAATAAATCTTTTACACTTTGCTTACAATGTTTGGTTCTATGGGGTCAGACATGGTAGTAGACCTTTTTCACAGCAGCAATTGTGACAAGAAATAGTAGGGTAAACAATCAGGGTACTGTGCGTCCAACAAATTTTCCCTTTCAAATATGAAAACCAAAATCGTGAAATAAGCTGTTTCCCAACTACCATTTATATATATGGGGAACAATTAGGTCATTTTTTCATTTAAAAAATAATAATAATAATCGGAACACAGGTCTTTTTTTTTGTCTGACCGGTGTGTTGACTTTGTTTACCCTACTATTTCATGTCAAAATGACTGCTGTGAAAAAGGTTTATAGGTTTATAGTGACAAGTCAGAGCTGAACATACAATTAGCTATTGACTAAATATGCTGAAAATGCAACAAGAGAAGAAGATAGCAGTGGGGCCAAAATTCTAATAGTCAAATGTCCTAATTGACTTGATATCTTAATAACTAATTAATAACATACATTACAATTTTCTGTGAAGACATGATAGTGATGATAAAAACGTAGTGTAATGTTTGAGCTTATTGCGTCAAGTTATCAAGTCCAAAATAAGCTAAATGTTTATTAGTTTTTAGTTGTAGTATTAAAAATTACAAAGTGCTCATGCTTTCCCTTACAAAATTGATCTACAGTATTACTATAGTATAGTACAAGAACTGTATAATGTTTTTTTCTGTAGTGTTGTTTTATTAGCTATAGTAGCCCTGTAATATTTTATGATTAATACTCTGTATCTAGATTGTTTCTAGATTCCTATACATTTTAAATAGTATTAATATTGTATTATAAAGTGTTTCTGTAGTTATTTTTTGAACGTACTATAGAACATTCCTATAGTAATATTATGATGATGTTTTTACTATATGAAAAACATAGTATACCTATAGTAAATACAGTGTAACTATAGTAAAACCATATAAATGCTACAGGAATGACGACAGCGATAACTATAACTCATACACTCAACAGTCTGCATCAATTCTTTTGAGTTATGACAACTTTTAATGAAATTAAAATTAGCTTTTTTAAAGTACCACTTACTTAATAACTGCCAGTATAAACACGTTTTTAAGTTGATGGGGCTACTCATAAAATCAACTTGTTCCAATTAGTTTTTCCCACATTATTTATGTAAACACAACTCATCAACATAATGTTTGCAACTTCAAACGTTTATCTAAATCAATAAACTACAAGTTTTGTCTTGCAACCATGCATTTATCTGATATATTTGTATTTGGTTTATTTGTTATACTATATTTGTAACAAGCTGTTACTTCTACAAGTGTAGTATAACGTTATTGGTGATAGGACAACAGTGAGTAGTCAATGAAGAACAAGTCAGTATTAATGACAGGTGACATTTGTAGAATAAAGCGCTGAAAGGCTTGAAGGTGTGCAGCCCTGAACCCCAGCAGGTGACTTTATTACATGTAAACAACATAACGTTACTCAAGTGACAGTTTAGCTAGCTAACCCCCCCCCTCCCGCCCCTCCCTCTGTTTACAGCCCCACAGACTGCTTCCTGTGGGGCTCAACCTTCGTCGTATCGTTGCAGTCCGGCTGTGGAGCTCACTACCTTGTGTTTGTTCCCTCCGTCCAGCTGTATTGCTACTTTAGCCATTTTCATGGCATTCTGAAGAGGCTTCGGCCCGCTGTCAGCTGTAGCCATGGTTAGTCCCGGATCCTCCTCTTCTTCTCTTCCCCCTTCTCCTCTTCCTTCTTCTTCTTTCAGTCCAGATTGTAAACACATTTCAAAGGTGTACACTGCCTCCTACTGTACAGGACTGGTAGAGGCAAGGCACTGATGCAGTGGTTCCCAACCTCCTCTATCACTGAGTAGACTAATTCACATATTTTATGGGTGTTTCATTTTATATTAAATGTATAAGACTAACATTAAAGGACAACTGATAAACTGTACAATGAACCCAAACAGTCAACACAGCAGGAAGTTTATGAGAGTTTTAGAGGAATTTTGAGCAGATTACTTCCTGTGAAGGTTTTCCTGATATGTTTTGGAACGTTAATACAATTATCTGCCTGTATTAAATATTTTTTTAACCCTATTTTTAACAATCATACATACTTAATTGGCTTTTTTTTTTTTTACAGATTCTGTCTTTTCTTCTTATTGTTCTAAAGCAGGATGAGGCTGTGAGAGTGAAGGCTCTGTGAATATTGCTTGTGTTCACGTCTTCAAAGTTTAGATCTTAAATAATAATATAAACTTATAGAAAGTAGAAAGAAGAGCAAGATTCTGCTTCGGATGACTTCTTTATGGGTCGAGTGATATATAAAATCAACACAGAAAATGCATGTAGGTAGGCTATTTGTGTGTAACACTATATTTTGTTAAGATAGCCATGTCACAATTATTCAACCCCTATATAATTTTGCTGTTTTTAAAGATGTCTGATAGTTTTTATGGCCTAAAGTGGAGTTGAAACATAATTAAGCCTTTGGGAACCCTATAATGACCCTTCATTTGTTTGAGCTCTGATACATATATAAACCCCACCTATGAAGGTATTCAAGGTGAGTTGCAATCAAGGGAAAGACAAAGGAGCTTCCACAAAAGCTGAGAGAGGAGATTATTTCATCACACCTGAAGGGCCTTGTGCATAAGAAGATTTCCAAAACAAATAATATTCAAAGAGACAGAAGTTTAAAACTTATGGAACAGCTGCAAACCTGCCTGGCCATGGAAGAAAGCCCAACATTCCATCAAGGGCCCTTAGCAACTTAGTCAGAACAACTAAGAGAAACCCCTGTGTGACTGCATACACCTACAGGATGACCTGATGCTATAGTGGCAACAATAAGACGTGCACTGAATGAACAAGGACTTCATGGCCGGACTCAAAGATGCACTACACTCTTGACCACAACGAACATCAAAAGTCTACTAGAATATGCCAGGAGGAATTTGGATAAGAATACAGAGTTTTGGGAGACAGTTCTATGGACCGATGAAACCAAACTGGAACTGTTTGGATATATGGACCAGCGGTATGTCTGCCGTGTGAAAGGCCAGGCTTATGACCAGAAGAATACCATCCCCACGGTCAATTTTTTGTATGTTGTTTGAACTCTTTAATTTCTTTTTAGCAAGTTTAACTCAAATTTCACAGAGGATTAAGGAAATTATCAAGAATTTAAAACACAGAAAGGTTTATATTATTAAATAATTCTGTCTATTTAGACCAAGTTATACTGACTAAATGACAGTCAGTGTTTTCATTAGTGATACTCACCTGAATATAGGAATTGTTTTTGTTACCTTATAATGATACGCTTACATCTACAGATGCTATATCTATGTAAATTCAATGTATTCATAAGTAGCAGTAATAGTATTATTTGTAGCAGCTTTGATAATACTGTGGTAGTTGCATTAGCTCGTGAACTCGTCATCATGACTTTGCAAAAGAAGGAAAGAGCTTTAGGAGGGTCTGCAGATGTTCTATTTAAATACATTTTTGCTTTGCTGTTTAATAACTAAATCTTTCATAATTATTCAAAATAAACCGACCCATTAGATTACAATCTGGAAGCCGAAGCATCGCTGACTCTGCCATAGACTTTCGAACCAGGGCTCATCAAAGTGAGTGGAACGCTACCGCCCACTGCGATGCCTTCATGATGGGTCTGGGTGACTACATCAAGGATGAGTTGGTGTCTCACGACGTTGCTTCGTCATTGGATGGACTCATTGAGCTCACGACACGACTGGATCGACTCATCCAGGCGAGACATCAGGAGAGGCGATGGCGGCAGGCTTCCTGGTCCCAGTCCTGCTTCCTTCCCGAGACTGGATTTCCCTCGGCGAGTCCGCAGTTGGCCACCGGAACCCATGAAGGTGGGCCGCACCAGCCTCACGACGGAGGAATAGGAATGTCGCCATCAGGGAAACCTCTGCCTCTACTGTGGCCAGGCCAGCCATTTTGTCTCCCGGTGCCCAGCAAAAGGTCGGACTCACAAGTAGAAGGGGGAATATTGGTGAGTCGTGCCTGCAACCTCTCCAATCTACGTGTTTTGTGCCATGCCCAGCTGCTGCTGCCCGAGGGTTCCCACACCCTCGCCACATTCATAGACTCTGGTTCAGATGTCAGCCTGATTGATGACAACTTGGCTAGACAACTGCGCCATAGACCTGCAACCTGGCTCGACTCCTCCTAGGGGTCGCCTGTACTCTCTGTCTGCCCCCAAGAGAGAAGCCATGGACACTTACATCAGCAGCAGGTATCATCCGTCCCTCCTCTTCTCCTGCCGGTGCAGGATTCTTCTTCGTCCCTGCGACCCTGCATCGACTACCGAGGCCTTAAGGACATCACTGTCAAGAACTGTTACACTCTCCCTCTCCCTCTCATCTCCTCGGCGTTCAAGTGCCTGGAAGGTGCCACTAAGTGTTGACTAAGCTGGACCTGCGCAACGCTTACCACCTGGTCCGCATCCAAGAGGGGGACGAGTGGAAGACGGCCTTCAAGACACCCCCAGGGCATTATGATCACCAACGCCCCGGCAGTCTTCCAGGCTCTGGTCAACGACTTGCTCAGGGACATGTTAAATAAGCATGTCTTTGTCTACCTGTCGCAGGACCTGGATGCAAGCCAGAACCTCCCTCCTACGCTCTGCTGAATGTTACTCTGCTACTGCTAACCGCCACCGCTCCAAGGCCCCCACCAGAAGGTAGGGCTGTCCACCCGGGACCTCCCTCTACGAGTGGAATCCAAGAAACTGGCACGAGGTTCATCGGCCCCTTCGAAGTGGAGAGGGTCATCAACCCTGCAGCAGTGAGACTAAAGTTGCCTCGGTCCATGCGGATCCACCCCACGTTCCACGTCTCCAGGCTCAAACCGACCTGTGAGAGTCCGCTGGTCCCCGCTGCTCCGTCTCCTGGGTTCCAGCACAGCACGTCCCGGACAACAACCTCATCAGGGATTCCCATCGCCGCCACCCTGACCAACCCTTCAAAACGGCTATTTCCGCCAGGGGGAGTGGCCGAAGGGCTCCGCGTCCTCAGCTGTCCAAACCGCCTGACGATGACAATGATGATGTGGGCTCCTACTCTGAGGATGAAGCACTCCCGAGTACCAAGATGGAGGCTGACAACTACTTCTCGGATGAGTATTGTGCCTGTTAGTATCACACTATGGTAGTGTGTGGAATTCGGTGGTACCCTGTGGCAGCTAGTAGCACTTGGTGGCAGCTTGTGACACCCTGGGAAAGCTACTGCCAGTCTGTGCCAGCTTGTAGAACTCTGTTCTGAGCTGTCAAACCCTGTGGCAGGTACTGGCAACCTTTGCCATTCAGAAGCACACAGCAGAAGCTTATGGCATCCTGTGGAAGCCCAGTGGTAGTCTTTGGAATCTTCTGGTAACCTGTTCCACACTGTGGCAACTACTGGCACTCTGTGACAACTACTGTAACTCTGTTGCAGCTAGTGCTATGCTGTGGCAGCTTTTGACAAGCTGTAGCACCCTGTGCCTGTAATTATCACCCTTTGGTATTCTGTGGCACCCTGTGGAAGCTACTAGCACTTGATGGCAGCTTGTGACACCCCATGGCAGCTACTGGATACCTGTGCCATTCAGAAGCACACAAAAATATAACTTATGGCACCCCGTGGAAGCTTGTGGCACTTCATGGCAGCTTGTGGTACTCTCTGGAATCTTCTGGTAACCTGAGGCACTCTGTGGCAACTACTGCCACTCTGTGGCAACTACTGTAACTCTGTTTCAGCTAGTGCCATGCTGCTGCTTCGAGAACCCCTGGAGCTAAGACTGGGACCGCAAGATACCCAGTTTCCGTGTGTGGCCCTGGGGAGGCAATGCAGCAGTCTTGGGGGTGGAGAGTCTCTTTACTTACATGCTTCTCTTTTCACCCTCTATCAAGAAGGCTAGCCAGCAGCACTAGCTATAAGCAGAGATTAGCAGGCAGAGAGCACAATGCAGCATGCAACATGCACTAACTACCAGCACTACTACACTACTACACTGCTACACTATGCTTCACAAGCTGCCACTAACCATGACAAAAACCTACCACCATAGAGTGCCACTAGCTGCCACAGAGTGTCCCAGGGTGCCATACGCTGCCACAAAGTTCCATGGTACTCTCTAACAGTCTGTGGCAGCTAGTAGCACTATGTAGCAGCCTGTGTCACACTGTGGCAGCTAGTGGTATACTCAAGCAGTGTGTGGAACTCTTTGGCAGCTTGTGGCACCTTTTGTTAGCTAGTTTCACTCTATGATAATATGTTTCATCTTATGACAGCTCGTGGCACTCTGTGATAGGTAGTAGCACTAAGCGCCAGCTTGTGGAACTCTGTAGCAGGTTGTCAAATTCTGTGGCATCTAGTGGCGCTCTTTGGTGATCATTTCGGTCAACAAAAATAATACAGATTTCTGTCATGGTTAATGTCATGTCATTCCCTGGTGTTTATTGTTTTCCCTTCTATCTCTCTCTCTGTGTATGTTTGTGTGTTTGTGAATGGACCGTGGCTCTCCTCTCTCTTTCCCAGCTGTCTGATTGCCAGATCACCTGCATCCTACCTGATTGCCGGCTCGCCTTCTATCCATCAGCTCATCATCCCAGCAGTCCTTCATCTACTCTTCGCCAGATCGTTGCTTCAGCCACTACCAAGTGCTCTCTGCTGCCGTAAGTATTGTGTATTACCTTTTTGTTTTTAATGCTTGTTTTACCGTGCCTCAGGATCATCCTATGCTCACCTGTCACCCTGCCCAACTGTCCATCTGCAACTTTCACTGTTTAGTGTATCAAGTTCCTGCCCCTCTGCCTCTAAGCCACCCTCCATTCTCCCTTTACCTTCCACCTTCACCTGCTGGAGCTCACCCTCACCCTCTCATCCTCTAGTTCTGAGCTTTTGCAATAAACTCTTCTATTGGTCATTTTATGTGAAAAATATTATCTATATTATCTCACATATTATCATGTTTGTAATTAATGCCCAAATTATTTAGCTATGTCTAAATGCACTGAACAATATTAAAAATAGGAAACTTTGGATTGAACATTGTCAGAGGGTTGGACTCTCCTCAAGCCTTAGTTCACTACAGACAAACATGACACAACTGTTTTTATGGGACATTTAATTCATTAATGATGAGCCCTTTGCTGTATGTTGTCCCTCTTTCTCTCCTCTCTTTAATGTCTTCCTTGAGCTGTCCTGTCCAATAAAGACATAAACATGATACAAACAAGTATTAGTTTGGGAGCCAATTAATGCTTGGTTGTTGAATCCTTGAGTCATTGCAACTGGGGAGAGCTAAGTTATCAGTAACAAGAATTTAGGGTGAGGGAAATGGACTTTTTTTTTTTTTTACGGTCTAGTCATGCCAGGCAATATCTCAAAGTAATAGACAACCAATTTTAAGATGTAACATATGCTGGAAGATTGGACTATGGAACCCAAAACAGATGCTGAGAGCATTTTAACATGCTGCTGTACAACTATTATGTTGCACACCTTTTGTCTTTTTCTCATTGCTAACTTCCTGTGGTTACTTTTGTCACTATATCGTGACCTATTATGTACTAACTACCTCCTAATTGACTTATGGAGTTAAAAACAAAATCCAGAAAGTCCAGAAAAAAAACTAAAGCACTCAGTCTTGAATTAATTAATTTATTCTTCCAACCCCTAGGCAAGCGAACATGGAATGTTTTGTTACCTCAACTTATTAATGACTTGTCTGGATTTAATGTTTAGACATTGAATCAGTGTGAAGTCAAAGCTATACTAGACTTGTGTGCAGCTCCTCTTCTTTGTAAGATATGAAAAGTTAAAGACTAAAATTACACACTTACATTATGGACCCACTGCCAATTTAAAAAATCAAATGCATTTAAATATTTCACAAATCTGTGACAGTTACTTAAGTGACATTCAATTCATTTTTATATATATTTATAATTATTCTTTTCAAGAATCCATAACAAGACAAATGTATTGATAGTAGTAGTAGTAGGATCATATCGGAAAACCAGGATTATCATAGGAATTTCCCTCAATAGTTTACATCAGACGGAGCTTTATCATGGCCAGAGGTTGAGCAGCTGGAGATCATTTATGATGACCAATTTGCTGGTTAGCAAAAGCTTCCTGTGCCCAGGTCTGATTCAGGCTAACACAGATCTTCCCTCTAGCAGTAGTGACCCTGCAGAAAAATCAATAGAGTTAGGACTGGGAGATATCATTTTGTTTACTTATTATACAATAATTAATTAATTCTTCTAATTTTGTTCTCAGACAAAAACAGGCTAACCATCCGGTCATTGTTCTGGTGAGGATCATTCAAGTGACGTAAACAAGTGTCAAAGTAAAGCACATACACAAATCCCTGCTGAGCACATGTTCTGTGTGTCTTGGTGATGGAGATAATTTGTTGCCTTGGCATCCTTCCAGCAAAGAATGTAAAGCAGCATGCCATAATATTATTATTCACTCCTGGGGGAAAAAAAGAAAAGACACGGCTCATTTAGCAATATACACAGTTATTCACTGACTTGCACTGAACTGTGTTGCTGCATGCTGTAACCTTTCCATCAATATTAAGTACATAAAAAAAACCACAACAAAATCTTGCTTCAGACTATTAAAACTGAAAGCCATAACTTCTGTTATCGTGTTACTAGGGTGGACCCAAGGACAGAACACAAAAACAGGGGCAAGGTAAAGGGGTGGCCACAAAACACACAGCTTCCCAGCACCCCAGAGCCTCATCTGCCCAGCATCTTGGCCTCTTCGCTGTCCAGTGCCATAAAGCTGCCATTGGTGCTGTCTGGTTCCCCGTTGCTTGTCCCGTGTCACCTGCTGCTGGTCTTCAGTTAGCGGCCCAGCCAATCACACGCATTGTGACATCTGTGGCATTGTGTTGTGTAATAAAAACTGCACATTCAAGAGTGGCATGACACACCTTTGCAATAATCATGCTGTTTAATCAGCACATTCATATGCCACACCTGTCAGGTGGATAGGTTATCTTGGCAAAGGTGTAGTGTATACGGAATATGTTGCTTACCATAAAGGGCTTGAATCCTTCGCCTGTCTTGATCTGGCAGCCTGTATCCGATGGTGTTGACGTAATTATAATGACCGAACATTAGTGCTTGGCTGTCATCGGAATGATCAAGACCCAGAGAATGGCCAATCTCATGGGCCGCCACCAGCAGTAGATTCACACCTCAACACAACAATGAATCTAGTCAGACATATTTGATTTCATATACAGGAAGAAACTACTATGAAAATTGTACAGAATATATAGGCTAATTATTTTCCTCAAACACTTTTTGCAGTTCTTATTAATTAATTAACTAAACTACAACAGGGAACTGCAGAGACAGGATCTTCTCCAGTGGACAGAGCAGAGTATTCATACTTTGCAGTCACGTGGTTACCATGGTTACCTGGCGGGCAAGAAACATATATATTTACATATATCCGTCACCTTACACCGCACAAAAAATGAAAGCCTACAAAAGTATGGATAGATATCTTTTCTTCAAGAGTGGATGGGTTAACAGTGCTGTCGTATGGGAGGTGAACAACAGGAATATCTTCATAATGAAAGCAAACGGGAGTGTTACTAGTTAGCCAGCTAACGTTACCCGCTAACGTTGCATGTTTGTAGCTCTACACAAAGTGACATCTGTTCTGTCGTGTGATGAAGTCTTCATCTGAATATGTACACTCTGCCTGCCGGTTAATGACAGCTTGATAAGTAACATTAGTTTAAAAAAAACCTTATGCCAACTATGCTGTATCATATATGGCTAACAGGATGTCAGACATTGTAGCCTACCTGCTCATCCACTCCACATAGCATCAGACAACAGACAAGAGCAGCTGGAGCAGCGAAATGCCTTTAACCCTGTTAGCAATCTGTTAGGTTGTAACGTTAATGTAGTAGTAATAACTGTATCATAGTATGTATGCAAAGTAACTGTAAGTAAGTAAGTAACGTTAACATGACGCAGTACAACAGTAACTGTCTTCTGTATCATGCATATCATATTAAATCATCATATCATATCAAATCACGTATATATATATATATATATATATATACTTTTGTATAGTAAAACTGGCGACGTCCTGGCAAGATCTTTGATTAGTTTACTGGGTTTCGTTGCTGGAGAACAATGTTCTTGCCCGCCAGCTAGTAGTTGTGACGTCACGTGCAAAGTATGAATATTTACCTGTTTCGGTAAGACTCCAGGTTTCATCGTCATCAAAGTGTGCATCCCCTCCATCACTCGGTCCAGGTTTGTAAGCATGAGCAAGGACTCCGTCCGGCCCATCGAAAGGGTAAAAGTCCCCATGAACTGCAAATGGATAAAGAAGATAATGTAATCTATAGTTGTACAGTGCAAGTCTATAATTGCATTCAGAGAAAGGGATTCCTGCAAAGATCAGCTGGTATCACTTATGTAACTGTAATAAGTACAAAGCAAGGCAATGGATGAACAAGAAAACTTCTTATTTAATCTAGACTCACATCTGGCCTGGAAGAGGATTATGATGTCCGCAGTATCGTCGTGGACCTGTCTAAAGTCCAGTGGGGTGACATCACTGTAGAGCTGGAAGGCTTGAGCAATGGTTGTATCCACCTGACTCTGGGTCAGATCTGAAGTGTACCTAGTGATCCTGTTGAAACCATATTATACAGTATGTTGTTATCAACAATCTTTGGGAGGATGTTTATTCAACCATAAAAAATACAATTACTTGACTAATGTATGACTACATTAACATGCTCCTACAGAATGTAACCTCCAGTTACCTGTATGTGATTAGATTTTTCTCCCATTTGCGAGTTCCAGAGAAGTGTTCGTAGTTGCTGACATCTGGCACACCACACCGAAGAGTCTTCACCTCAACACTAGTCACCTGGTAGTCACATTATGATACGAGGTATTTTGAAGTGAGGTTCAAAACTTTTTGATATTTTTTATATGATTTCTAGAATGAATCCTTTGTCAGTGTTGAAGGTAGTAGCCATAGCCACAATTTACAAAAAGACAAATAAAAACACTTTGGACACAAAGAGGTTTGCTCCCATTGGGAGTGGGAACTGTTCCCCTGCTCCCCTGCCTCACAGAGAAAACGTAATAGACAAAAAGTAAATAAAAACAGCTGCCATTACTTTGTTTCTCCTTGTCCTCTTTTTGTTCCCATTCATTTTCTCTCTCTATTTATCTGTTTCCATTTTTCTCTCTCCTCTGTTAATTAGTCTGTCTGTATGGGTCTCATCTCACAAAAATAAAAAAATGATATAAATTCAAGATGTATTGACCTGGTTAGTCCAGACAGTTCCCTGCTGCTAATATTTCTATTCTATTCTATTTCTATATTACTATTTGCTGCATTACCTGAGCTGGGTTTCCCGCCTCCTGTGTAACAATAGGTGCTGCAAGACACACAGTCAAACAACCCCCCAGCACTACCCAAAAATCCACGAGAGACATCTTATTAAAATTTTTTTCTCTTTCCTCCACTCTCCTCTGATAAAAGCTGATCAAGAGTATGTTGTGTCCTCTTGAGCATTCACGTTATCTGTGCCATAGGGTAAGGGGAGTAAATAGTGGCCCCTCTGACAACACAGTGAGAGGAGGGGATCATTTCAGGTCACTGATGAAACATTTGTGAAGCCGTTAAATTGTGTTTTGTCTGTGTTATGTGCACAGTGTAATAAACTAGGTTTTAAAATATACTGTAGAATATACTGTTGACACATATTAATCAGCTAAACTCAAAACCTGAACAACTACAAAACAGCCTCTTCAGAGTCCAGTTCGGTGGGTAAATATGTTCACGACGTGTGCAGTTAACCATGTGCAGATTTCAACAATATAGGGGCACCTAAAGGACCAGTGTGCAGGTGTGTTAGTTGACATATTATTTTTGGTTATGTTTAGGGTGCAAAACCACTTGATTAGTAAAAGATCAGGGTTTGTTTTGGCTATGCCATCCTGGGTGAAAATACCATAGCAACATTGATTCCAACACTTGGGTGCCAATAACTTTACAATTTGTTACATTTTGATCAACTGATTTCTTCTCCACAATAAAGCCTATGCTGAATGCATAGGTAGGGTCAAAAGATATTTGTAGTGAATAACACTGATTATCTGGTTATCATGTCTCCTGTCTGTGGGTGGGATTTATTAGGCAGTAAGTGAACATTGTGTCCTGCAGTTGATGTGTGTGGTGGCAATTTGTTTAATAAAGCATACAAAGTATGATCTTGTCTTTCTTTAAGGTTTTATTCAAGTCATCCATTAATAGACTCAGCGCAGCCGTCACACACTATCGAATGTTAGAGAAGCAGTATGGTTTTATCCCTGTTGGAGCGACAGTTCTGGGACGCTGTTTACTTGGACATGCAGTGTAGATAGAAACAGGGCTAAAGGTTATATGCATATAATAGCCTCTTCAACAGTTGCGTATGGTTTAACAATGACCAGGTCAAAGGGTTGTATAGGTTCTTAACCCTCCTGTGGTCTTCGGGTCAATTTGACCCGATTTCGAAATCTAAAATATCATAACTTTGGTTTTCTTCCATATAATTGTCTGAAAATTACAGACACACACAAACATGCACGCATTAACACACACACACACACACACACACACACACACACACACACACACACTTCAAAACAACTTCCAACTCTCAGATGTGCATCACTTTGGATAATAGAATTTGTAAATTTATAAAATATACAACCTCTGATGTGCATTTGGCCTCCAGACAACACACGATTTCCAAGCTACACATTTGTAAACATGTTCATTTGACACCTTTTATGTGGTACATCTTCAAGGAACTACACCACATCCAGTTGCCCTTAGACTCAACTGACTCTGACATCCTTGATATGCCTTTCTCCAATTGGGGACAAGATAAAAATAAACAAAAAAACTGAGCTGATGAGTACAGCATCCTCGGAGCATTTCACATTTCACTCTGAGACAGCACAATGAAGAGGACCTTGCTTTGCAAATCATATATGTTTACTGAACTTAATGATTTATAAATACAATTGCATCAGTCAATTTTGACCTGGGGATATCCTGGCTAATATTTGACATATACCTGTCAGTGGTTATCCAAAATAACTAAACATTTCTGCTTATTTTGTTCAAAAACATGGTATGATTTCATGTAAATTAGGTTTATTGTCCATAAATAGAGGTGTAAAAGAAGTTTAAAATTTGTGGTAATGAGTTGGAATGAAGTTGGCTAAAAATATGGAACACAGAATGGTGTGATCATTTTACACTTTATGGTTTATAAACAGTCGAACTAGATGGGTCAATTTGACCTGGGAGGACAACAGGTGTTATACTATTTGCTGCCATTAAAAAAACTGAAATGGTTTCAAAACAATATCCTGACTAAACTTTGACATATACCAGTCTGTGATAATGCATCAACATATGTGCCTCTGATCATAACCATCGTGAAAATAATTCACAATTTGTGCTTTTTTTACTCAAAAATGATTTGTAATTTTATGTAAATTAGGTCTATCACACCATACATTACAAAAATAAGTGTAAAATATATCTTAATGTGTTGGAAACAAGTTCACTAAAAAGGTCAGACAAAAAAATTGGTGATCATTTTATACCTCATGCTTTATAAACTTTGGGCTGTGTGAGGATCTGAGCGACTTCGACAAGGGCCACATTGTGATGGCTAGACGACTGGGTCCTGCAAACCTGCAGCTCTTGTGGGGTGTTCCCAGTCTGCAGTGGTCAGTACCTATCAAAAGTGGTCCAAGGAAGGAAAAGAACCAGAGACAGGGTCATGGGGGTCCAAGGCTCACTGATGCAGGTGGGGAGTGAAGGCTGGCCCGTGTGGTCTGATCCAACAGACGAGCTACTGTAGCTCAAACTGCTGAAACAGTTAATGCTGGTTCTGATAGAAAGGGGTCAGAACACACAGTGTAGCAGGGTCTGTTGGTATGGGGCTGCAGAACATTCTGACCACCAGGGTGCCCAGGTGCTCATGATGTTATGGTTGATTGGTATATCTACTTATCTCTCATATGCACAAATGAATCAAAATGTGGGAACAAATTGTATGCTGTGCGCACACAATACCATGTTAAGCACTCAGTGTAGTAAAATGTGGCTATATATTTTTCTCTGTGGCCATAGATAGAATAGAGACATCTTGTAATCAAGACACAGAAAATGATTCATATTGTCTCCAATTTACTATGTATCTATATAGTAAAGTACTTCTATTCACAAGTTCAAATTGGTAAATTCAACTTCACACACAGAAGATCATGTATATGATTTAAAAGCAATGATTTCTGGGTTAACAGTGGGGAAATCTAACATGCTGCAGTGTTGCTATCATGCTTGTGCATTTCTTCCCCTTTTCTCATTGTTAACTTCCTTTGTCAATACACTGTGACCAGTAATGCACTTACTAGGCCCTAACTGACTTACGGAACATTTTGTTACCTCTCCTCAATATGGAGATGTCTGGCATTCCACCTTATATAATGGACCCAACACTTTTTATTTTCCTTTTTATTTTATTAATGCATATATCAATATATTTAGTATATATAAGCACACAATGCAAAGCTTCTCAGAAAAACATGTTTTCATTAGTATAAAAAAGTGCTATCAAGCATAGAGGGCAGAGCTTTATCATGGCCAGAGTAGCTGGAGATGTTTGATCATTTAGTACTGGACGGCGTGCTGTCGCTTGAAAGCTTCCTGTGCCCAGTTGAGATTCTGCCTCACACACACCTGGGTCCCTTTAGCGGTGCTAACCCTGCAGAAAAATCAACAGAGTTACGACGGGAAAATATCATTTGTCACTTTGAAATGTGATATTTATGTACGTTTTTCTGTTGTGTGCTCAGACAAAAACTGGATAAACGTGGTCATTGTTCTGGTGGGGATCATAAAGTGTCAGAATAAAGTACATACACAAATGCCTTCTCAACACATTTGCTGTGAGTCTTGGTGGTGGACTTAATTTGCTTCTGCGGTATTCTTCCATTGAAGAATTGAAAGCAGCACTTTGCAGGCGTTATATCATTCACTGCATGAGCTGGAAAACAACCAAGAAAACAAGACTCATTTAGCAATATACACAATAAGAAACATACTCTAGCCTTTGTAGCCCTGTTGGAGACTTTGGAGATAAAATAATAATAATCTTAAAAATACCAGTCATGCATAATTAATAATTAATAAATAATAATAAGTTCAATTTAAAAAAAGTAAATGTAAGTTTGATAAACCACATTTTATATTTAATATTTCTATTTTCAATGCAGTAATGACAAAGAATGACAACACTTAAATGCTTTTTCTTGTCTCTTATTTATTTCTTAATTTTCCTTTTTATTTCCTATTTATTTATTTTTTATTTTTTTTAAATATTTATTTGACTTATGTAACTTCTACTTTATAATTTATTTTATGTTTTCATTCTTCTGGGGGTTTTTTTTTTTTTATTTTTTTTACTGATTCATAATAGCATATTAATTGTGACAACTATATTGTTGCTGTAAACTGAATAAATAAACATGGAGGGAAAAAAAGCAATATACACAGTCACTCTCAGATCTCAACACACAAGTCAGTCTGTGTGTTGCTTCCTGCTGGCAACAGCGTGTCATTCCAAATAGAGGTGTTAACGCACACACACACAAATATTCACACTGAGGGCCCTATCTTGCCGATCTGAAACGCAAGTAGCTTTGTGGGTGGATCTCGGCGCTGTTGCTATTTTGCCGGCGGGATAAATGACTCTTGCGCCCGGCGCAAATCTAAAATGGGTTGGTCTGAAGTAGCTACATTAGTCATAGGTGTGGTTTGGGCGTAACATGCAATAAACCAATCAGAGCGTCATCTCACATTCCCTTTAAAAGCAGGCGCGCTTCTTCCATGGCGGATTGATATTATAACGGCGGATTGGCCAGGAGCGGTTCACTGCCGAGGAGACCGACGTTCTCGTCAGGGCCGTAAAAGACCAAGAAGTGACATTATTGACATGAAATAAATGTAACACAGCCATACAATAAATCGCCACCCGTTCCTGCAGCAAACCGGGTTTGACATGCTGGAGCGGGAGCTGTCCGGGATGCGGCAAAGTATTAATGCTCTTGACCGGGTGGCGATGTCGCTGCTGCCTCTCAGGCGCTTCCCCTCAAGTCTGCGCCCTTAAAATAGCATCTGAATAAGCGCCACTGACTTTAGACTAGGTTTTTCCTGGTCTGTGGCGGAATTGTTTTCTGAAACAGCAAAATAGCACCAGGGAACGTTTGCACCGGAACACGCCTCCTCTTTTCGCTGAACCGCCCCCCGGAGCGCAAGTTCATTCACTAATTTAAGGACGTGCGTCGGTGGAGGGAAAATTCAAATGTGCGTCGAGTGCAAAATAGGAATTATACAAGCGCCAGTGTACAAAGTCAATTGCGCTGAGTGCAAGATAGAGCCCTGAATGCTAAAAGTGATTTAAATATATTGAGTCATTATCGACTGAATCAGAACCTTTCTGCCGTTCTAAAACGATGCTTATCCTACTTTGTTTTTTCTGGACAATGCCACTGTTTTTCATTTTGTATTTAAAGCAAAAATTGGCCTCGTTTCGTTTTTTTTGTTTTCGGTCTGAAAGGGAAAATGGATTATATTTTATTGAGTTGAGTATTGGCACTGTATAAAAACTGTTTAAAAAACTGTAGGAAATAAAAAAAAGTTTGCAAAAATAAAGTTTGATTCTATTGATCTGGGTTTTAACCTCGGCTTTAGTTGCTACTGGAATTCAGAGATGTGGACTTGAGACACTGTCTCCATGACTTGCGACTTCCATTGACTGATAATAAATAACTTTAGACTCGACTTAAAGACCTGACCTAAGACATGATGACTTGAATGTCTTTATATTTTGTTTTAAAATCAAAATCATAAAAAATGAAAAATGAGAAATGTTGTCAACGTTGACAGGACAAAGAAAGAAAAACCAGGCAGGGCTGTAGCTATATACCACTGGGTGCACTGCGGTCCTGTGATTTTTCTGTGAAACTCTGATACAGTTGTAATTCTGCAAATAAAAAGTTTTATAGGCTGATTCTAGACTCATTATATTTAAATTTGACTACATTTAAGTCAAAAGATATAGATGAAATAGATTATAGATAGATAGATTAAATCCATTAAATGCATAAACCCAAAACAGAAGTAATAAGTGATTAGTATTACAAGACGTCACCCAACAAAAACCCAAAACAGAACATCAGAAAATAAAGATAACAACAAAAAATACAGTAAAAAACACAATCAAGACAAATACTATTAATGGTCCAGAAAACCAAGTTTTTTTTCCAAATGTAACTGAACAGTTAATAGTTAATAATTAAAGCATATAGAAAGTCTGAAAAGCCCAAAAGGTTTTTTTAAGACCTGGAGGCAGTTGAATGCACTGAGGAAACTCTTGAAATACTCAAGCATCTGTACAATTCTGGCTATGGTTCTCATTACATAGCATTAAAACCAGACTGCTACAGTAAAACTCAGAATCAACAGTCCCAATAGTTTTATCACATTAAAGGATGCACCGATATCAGTCAACATGGCAAATATCAGCCGATACCGATATCAGCCAATATTGTTGACTTATATTTGCAAATATGATACCATTCACCGATGTCAGCGGCTGATTTTTATCTGTTGTGTCGCATGAATTTCTAGCTGGTTAAATGTTGTGTTGGTTATTTCCAACTCTGATACTGGAGAAATAATCTCAGTTTTCCAGCACTGGCACAAATTGCATGCAAGTACCGATGTGCTCCGTACAGCAGCACGGACAGTGAGCGGCTGTTCAGCTCTGACTGAGCTGCACCGAGGCAGAGATGCTTACCTTTGTAGATTAATTTGTTTCGCTGGAACAATTGGGTGAATGACAAATGACAAAAAAAAGAGTCAGTTTTGGCATCGGCCATCAGTCTTATTGTTATTCTAAACATCGGTATCAGCCCAGAATTTCCTGATCGGTGCATCCCTGCTTTTAATACAGTTTAAAAACTCTTTTAGAATCAGCCTTTTGCAAATACTAGGTAAACCTTTTGCATGTGGTATCCTTGAGGTAATGGTATGATAAAATTAAATAATGTAACAAAAATCCAGAAAAGAGACCCCCAAATGCAATTTATCTCTAATCTGGTTCAGAAAGTAGAGTGACAGACTTACGCATGGCAGTGCAGTAGGCAACAGTGAACAGCAGCAGGAGTCCCACTGCAAAGCTGAGAGTCTTCATGCTGTTTTCAGTGTAGAACTGACGTGTCTGAAGTGATCTGCTGTGATGCATCTGACAGCTGCTTCCACCTTCTCATGTTCATATATGTGAGAAGCAATTCTAAGAAAACCACTAGGGTGGGTGGGTGAGAAGAGAGAGAAGTTTAAATAATGTGCCACGCAACATGCTGCAGCTCTTCTTGATCTGTTTGATCTATTTGACTTAGCAGATAACATACCTTCAACTTATAACCAACTTTAGACTGAATTCTGTTGAAAAAGACAAGCGGTATGAGAGAGGCAAGGACAGTGTGTTCACAAATGCTGCCATCATTATGCCCCAAACAAACAGTTCCTGAAAGCCCCATCCCCCTTTTATTTGTGTTTATTTACTGTAAGTCACAGCTAATTACATTTAAAGTGTCAAGATTCCAACAACTCATTATTTCTTCTAATGAAATTATGTTTCATAGAACTTTGTAATAAATTGAGTTCATAAAACTCCATGAAAGTGCTTTAACCCTGCAGCGACAGAAACAGTTTTATTTTATGATCAGGACTTTATTTGGTTTTTAAACAGAAACAACCGACAGCAACAGTTGGATAGTGGCAGTGATGCTTCTTTAGGGTCAGTTGTGCCTGGAGTCCCCAGGAATTTTACTTATGATGTTTAAGGTTAAGATTTGCAAAGGCATTAAGTAAATGAGGGTATAGAGCATATATAAGTATAGAGAGACAAATATGTGTGTGTGTTTGTGTGAAAATAAATCACTACAGGTTGCATGCTACGCTACACTAATCTGATAAAAATTCACAGTAAAATGTCAGGTCAGGGAGGTATTGCTGACTACAGAAAATGAAGCTACATATTGCACTGCTAAGATGTGCAAATAAAGTCACACATTGCACCACAGACCAGCAGTATCTCCTGATCTGCATACACAAAGGTTTAGTTGATGTTGGTAGATTAACGTTAGGTGTGGTCACCAAGAAACAGGAAGAAGAGATTGTGTAAGATCAACACATCAACCTACGTGTTCAGTAAAAGGTTCAAGTCACATTAAAACCCCTCACTGATCTTATCACCACTAGAACGCAGCTTGTGTATTTTTTGCACAGGCAGAATGGTTGCAGATCATTTCATTGTTTCGTTCAAGTACTCATTACAACACACAAAAGTGTAAACTGTGCACATTGTGCATTCACAAATTTCTGTTGTTAAAAAAACAAAAACAAAATATATATATACAAATTTACAAGTGATGATGCAAATATCAATATCACTGTTGTAAGCTCTCTGTTGTAAACAACCTCACAGTACAACCTTCTTTTTTTTTTCAGACCCAGCTTAAACTGCAGCTTTCACACCGACATGAAGTCCAACATATAGACACAATCCACTCAACGTTCTTCACTCTATTAAAACTGAAAGCCATTAGCATTAGTAAGTGATGAGTTGGTGAAAGAAATCGTGAATGGTGATTCAGAGGTCTGGAACCAGGTTACACAATGACAGGTTGTTGGCATTAAAGGATTTAGTGGGATCTAGAAAAGTTTCATATTACAACTAACTGAACACCGCTGGTGTCTGTATTTGATGATCTGGGAATGAGAATGGACTGTTAAGTTTGTAGAGGAAACTATGGTGGCCGTGAAACTCACGAAAAAGTCCCTATCTACAACTAGTGTTTGGTTTGTATCCGTTCTGGGCCACTGAAGAAACATGGTGGTTAGGGTTAGAGACTTCATGGAAGGCAACTGTAGATAATATATAACAGCTCATTCTATGGGAACAATAACACAACGATTCTTATTTTACACACTTGTGAAAAAATACCTCTGAATATTTATTCAGTTTCTGCCAATAGATCCTCCTAAATGTTACACACATAATATCATTGTAGACCGGTTCTTAACTGTAATGTTATAAAAGTAGTGTCCAGTACATTGCTATTGTAATGGCTGTGTGAAATGAAAAATAGTGGATGTTTCTGGTAGATTCTGATATTTAAATTATGAACTACTAAAGTAGTGATTAACACACTGTTGGTAGCTTTCATCAACCTGCAGAGCCAGAGAGCTGCCATAGTTCTAGACACAGCAGTTCCCAAAACAGGAGCCACACTGAAATGATTCATTTTAATAATTATTATAAATTCTGCTCCTTTGTAAATTGACTGAATGTGGGCCACACTGCACACATGAAAAGCAAAATGTACAATTGTTTTATTTATTGAAAATGTGAATATGCAATTAAAAAAACTTTTTTTAGACGGTATGCGCTTGGTGAAAGGAAGAGATGGTGAAAGGAAAGCACAGCCATTTAAACTCTTTTTCATCCAGATGTAACAGTGAATTAATGAAATATTTACCACTACATCAGAGATATTGATAAAACTCATAAAGTCATGCTGAAGCTAACTGGCTACTTCACATTATAGCTGGGTGTTACAAAGAATAGGCTGACGACGTTATTCACTGAAGGTAAGCTAATGTTAGTTAATAGCATTAAGTTAAAGGTCCAGTGTGTGAGAACACTGAACAGGATTTGTTGGCAGAAATGGAATATAATATTCAGAAGTATGTTTTCATTGGTGTATAATATAAGAATCAGTGTGTTTTTGTTACCTTAGAATGAGCTGTTTTTATCTACAGAAGAAGCGGCTCCTCTTCTACGGAGGCCGCCATGTTAACCGCCATGTTTCTACAGTGTGCCACAACAGACAAACCGAACACTGGGAAGGCGTGGGGGAGAGACCTGTAATCTGTAACTACAACTGCTAGATTTAACCCTGGGTTGTTGAAAATCAAATAAATCATCATCAAATGTATTTAAGAAATGGCAACTGTTTTTATCTACAGACGCAGGTCGCCTTCCATAGAGTCCGCCATGTTGGACCACATTCTAGAGTAGCCCAGAACGGATAATCCAAACACTAATTTAAGATTTTCGTGTGTTTTGCAGCAAACGTAATTACACTGCTGCAATTACGGTGCTAGATGCCACCTAATCCTAAACACTGGACCTTTACCTATTTTAAGTTTGTATTACTGACTTTACTTATTTACTTTACTGATTTCTATTTCAAGCTCCTCTTCCCCTTTCTGTTTAATATGAAGAGTGTTTTCTTGTTTCATACTAGATACTGCTCTGTAAAGATTGGATATTGGTCTCCCTGTGTGATTTTGATTAGATAGAAATAACAGAACGCTGAAAGGTGGATGTTGCAACTGCGTCGTCACATCTGACACAACTAGACGCAGACAGAGATGCATGTCTTATGTGATGTAATTCTGTGGTTTATTAGTACAATTACTATCTACAGTTATATATGTTGATGAACTTGTACTGACACACACACAGAATTGAAAGCCAAATCTGCAGCTCTGTGGAGCTTTTAGCTCATTGTTTGTTTCAAGTGCTTGGATTAACCCACAGAGCACTAGACAAAGGCAGGCATAAGATCATGTTCACCACCATTTTAGTGTGTTTAGTATGATAGGGATGTATAAGAAAGGATGACCTGCCACAGCTATCCGAGTAGGGAACTAAATTTGACAAATGATTTAATGTCATGACATGAGATTTGTTGTCTCACTCTTATCAACACACACTCTACTCAGAAAATACAAACAAACATAGCAATATAGATCATTACATCAATTAAATTGTTTTATTAAAATATATTTTTGAATCAAAAGATATGAACACGTCTTCACACCTTTTGACATGCAAAACCAGGCATTGATTTATCCCAGTAATAATCCTCAATCAATAATACATCTTCAGTGCTGCAGACCGCTGCCCTCAGTGTTGTGGAGCTTATTGTAGACATCCAGAGCCCACTGGAAGGTTTCACTGTAGCAGATCTGTTTTCCTTTAAGAGTCTGGACCCTGCAAATCATACAGAAAGAGCAAAACAGTCAACACTTGTGATAATTCATTTCAATTGAAGTTCATTCATTGGCTCATGCTTTAAATCTCCACTTCATTGAAACAGGACTGTATTTGGTAAACTACAGCATAATTATACATCTAATGAAGTTATTACACAGTAACACAGCAAGAAGGCCTTGTGTGAAGTTTGCATACCCTCCCTGTTTTTGCGTGGGGCTCCGCCGGGTGCTCTGGTTTACTCCCACCATGAAAGACAGGGTTTATTCTTCCATCTGAGTAATTCTTCTATTACCAGAACCACTGGGGGATAATGAAGTTGTAAGCTCATCAAGATGTGCACCCACCTTGGGTCTCGATTCCGAGCTGCTCCAACCACATCGTGAATCTAAACGGCCCTCCTTTAGCCCTCACCTCGAGCCCATATCATACAACCAAACACGACCCTTATCTTATCCTTCACCAATTGAAATAAACTAATTCTATAACCGCACAATGGTGTGGTCTTTGTTAATGAAGTTACAGAAAGCAAAAATAGTGCTAATAATGCTTTGATCACAACGGCTCTAAGCAAGTGAAACTCAGTGTATCCACCTGGTTTTGCTCATGTTTTTTTGTGATAAGCCTGCCTGGAAATCATTGGCCGTCTATCTATGTATCACTCCATTATGAGAGGAAAATAGTAGAAGAATAAAGCACAAACTCACACGAATGCCTGCTTTTGACAGAAGCTGTGGGTCTTGGTGATGTCGGACACGAGCTTTAATGGTAAAGGCCGCTTGGAAAAGCTGAAGCAGCAGATTGCGGGTGCTGTGCTGGCCTTCAGACCTTTAGCTGTGAGGAAGGTAAATGGATAAAGTCATTATAAATATGTCAGTGAGAGGCCGTCAAACAGACACAGTGAGGCACTAACAGAGATCACTCACGTGTGGCGTTGCAGCAGCAGGCGGCGAGCAGCAGCAGCCCCAGAGTCAAGCAGAGAGTCCTCATGATGCTGTCAGTCAAATGATGGGGGTGATGGTGATGGTGGAGTGTCAGCACTGCGTCCTGTATAAATCCTCTGAACGATTTTTTTTCTAAATTGATCCAGTGATGAGACATTAGGGGCAGAATTTCTCCACGCTTCTTCTTTCCACCACTCAGACATCTGCTGCTGTCTAGTTCGTGGAAGGAAGTTACTGAAAAGGGACAGGCCACAGTTTAGTATCACCTCCCTTGCCACAGAAAACAGAAGAGTCTTCTCAGTATTTATCTTATCTGCATCTCGGTGCATTTTTAGTCTGTGAAAGGTTCATTAGAACATTAAGTTCTTTATACACTTTTAGAAGTGTTAAACAGTATAGAAAAAAAAGTTGAAGACATTTTGATCTCAGTGTTCTCATTAAATCATCTTCCTCTTTCAAATTTGCATGTTTCACCTTTTACATTTTCAGAAGCAAATAGATAGCAACATAAATTCAAATAAAATATGTTAACTTTAAAGGACCAGTCGTGATTTATTTTCAAATAAAAGTTTACATGAAACCGAAATCAGAGTGCTATTTGCTTCCACATATTTCTGTATGTTCTGTAAAAACAGGGCCATGGTAGCCAATAGCACTAAATGTGTGTTACGTCCCGCAGTCATGCAGCAGAAGTGGACCCAGAATGGGACTGACCCCAGTCAGCTGACATTGGTTACTGTTACTGGACGGGGGTTGTGTTCACTGGAAGGCTGCAAAGTCTGGTTCCGTTACACGTTGCATTAACTTTGGAGTTGAGGCAGAGCAGCCAGAGGATGTCAGAGGAAAACCGGACAATATTTTCACACATAAAATATGATCCAGTTCACCCAAATCACTGATAAAGTTATGTTTTTCTACAGTAATCAGTGCAGCCCAAACCCAGGAAACACTCTGCTCCGGTAGAGAGCTACTGCTATCTAACTAATGAATCTTCACTCTGTGTCTCTATAGGTTGAAGATTGATTGACAGGTGGATGATGACAAAAAATTATTTGTATAAAATTACCTACTGCAGCTTTAAAGAAAGTTAAAAGTTCAAGAAATAAATCAGAATTGGAAATACTTTATTGAACCCCGGGGAAAAATTTATCAATTTATACTTTATTACAGCTGCTGAAGTTGCTCACAAGACAATAAAGAATAAAAAAATAATAATTATAGACATAGAAATAATGATAATAATAATAATAATAATAATAATAATAATAATAATAATATAGAAGGTTAAAATTCTGTATTACATTACAATATCTAGCACTATATATATAGTAAAAAATTAAATATATATACGCAAATGTACATATATGTATACACATGCATACAAATACACACATATATACACATATAAATACATACATAAAAAAATATATATAAATATGTACATTGTAATACAATATATGACTATGAATATGAATATTGAGAATTAGTGACAGAATACACCAGAGTAAATAAAAATAATAATATAAAATATAATAAAAATACCAACCACCAAGAAAACCCATTTAGCTTTCGGCCTCCTCCAGGGTAAATTACATTTAAATTTTACCATGAGTCAGTTCCCCCTTCTATGCAAATGTTTGTGGTGCAGACCGAAGTGATGGAGATACTGTATCATGATGTTCACAAGATCTTATCGCAGTTTTCAGACGGGTTTAGCATTGCATCTGTGACCTATTTTCGCCTCTGCATGCTTTTGCAACACCATCAGTTTCCTCATGATCATCATCTGATATTATTTTGCATATATCGTGAGTGGGACGCTAATGTAATGCTCTGAGCTTTTTACATCCTATTGATTGATTGATTTTATTTATGTATTATCAGACACTGGAAAAAACCTGGTCCCAAGATGTTAGAAAACAGGATAAAACACAAAGATGCACAAGAAATTCAACATAAAAACGAAACAACACAACCCTGAAATCAAAAAGTACATCTCCACAAATTAAGAAATATATTCATTCATTATAAATATGTTACCCTATTCCACAAAATGTCCTAACCTGACTTGTTTAAGTCCCTCATATTTATTATTTACTCATATTTAAATATTTGATGTGCAACGGAATGCTTTTGTGGTAGATAAAGTATTAGGAGGGATCGTAAAACAGTATTAGAAGGGGTAGCAAATGTATATGGTCCTGGTCAGGGGGTTGTGTTTTATGGTAGGAAGTGACCGGTCAGCCCTCGGTCACAGACTAAGGTCAAGAGTGGGTCATAGCTCTCAAGACCATTCATGGGAGAGACCTGGACTTTTTCATTAATAACATAAACAAGACAAACAAGGGTGTTCACTGTTTTACGATGTACTGAGATGTATATAAGGGAGAGCCTTTTGGAAGTCTAGAGAGAATACTCATGATGTGGTCTTCTCTCCATGCTGCATGTATTAAAGTGTCTTGATTATCACACCAGCTTGAAAGTTCTTAAGAGAATTAGCACCTCTCAATTTTGGGAAGAATTTCCACGACACTTTTACTCATCATAGCACCAGTGTAAAAAGAGGAACTAATAACCATTGTTATCTGAGAATGCAAGTTGATAAGTTGATAATATTGTACAGTAAAGAGGCAGATGCAGCTTTTGTAACCAAGGGGTTATTTGTCTCACAGCATAGTAAAACGCAGAACAGACTTGTATTCATAGATGTGGTTGAAAAGCAACATCCACCATGTTGTGACCTCTGTGATACATTAGATTAACATCAGAGTCACACAAAAGACTACTAGAATATTTTAACACAGTTGCTGATATTTTATGTCAGATGAAGAAATATTATTGGCATCTGTTACATCTGAAATGTCTAGGCGTTGTAGGGAGTAACACAATAAAAAACAATTACATTTACCCGGGGAGAAAGAACCCAAAGAAAGGTTGCACCACTTCAAACAAGGATTTTTATTACCAGTTAACAAAAACAATACTTACAATACATAGAAAGAAACTGAAAACTAGTCTCAAAACAGATCTCGCCTCAGACACACACACACACACACACACACACACACACACACACACACACACACACACACACACACACACACACACACACACACACACACATAACATACATACATACATACATACATACATACATACATACATAGGTGCACAGGAGAGAGAGCAGCATAACACCACAACAACTCACAGCTCTATGGTCGTAACAGCATCACAATATATAGTTCTTACACAAAACTAAAACCATTGACTCCGATAAAATGTTCAGAAGACACAAGCAGACTAACAGCCACTTATTTACAATTACTGGAACATGTTTAGATCTTCTACTTAAGTTCAATTTGTTCACAAAAGTAGCAATACAGCAATGTAAAAAAAATAAGTTATTTCAGTTATTACATTACTTTGTGAGTAAAAGTCCAACATTAGTTCTAATTTTTACTCAATGGTCCAGTGTGAAACATTTAGGAGGATCTATTTTCAGAAATGGAATATAATATTCATAGGTATGTTTTAATTAGTGTATAATCACCTGGATATAAGAATCATAATGTTATTGTTAGCTTAGAATGAGACGTGTTTATCTACTGATGCCATTCCATTGCAATCTGAAACTACATTGCTAGATGCCACTTAATCCTACACACAGGTCCTTTAAGGACATAATATATCAAATTATGATCTCTGATATTTGATTCCTACCCTATATATCAGGCTAAATATTTGTGAAATTATTGTCACTCACAACAAGGTTGTAGAATGAAATTTAAATATAGTTCCTGTTAAATTGCAAGTCTCATCACTGCCACTCCTCTCTAAACCACCCCCCCAGGATAATAAAGCTCCACCCTTCAGATCTGAATTCCCTCTTTTCCCTCCAAACCACACAGAGAAGAACAGAGAGAACCTGCTAAAGTTTTCCTTTTTGTTAAGAAGAAAAAAGAAAAAAGACCAGATTGTGGATATATTAATAATAGAAAATCACCACCATCCACCAAACACCTGTGAAAACCAGAACCTACCCACCAACTGAAATGAACTGTTAGAATGGATTTCTAGATCCTGTGTTTAAATGTGAACACCACATAGGATCTTCAGTGAGCCAACGCCACCAACGCAATAGCTTTTCCAGTTCCCTTTATGCTACCTCCCAAAAAAAACCTCCAAAAACAAATTTAAAAAATGGTTGAGTCATAAAAAATAAAATGATGACGATTATTCATTTGCATAATGAATCGTTGAGGAAGAATTAAACAGCCTCACTGCCTGAGGGAAGAAGCTGTCTATAAGTCTGGAGGTACAGCAGTGAAAGCCTCTGTACCTCTTCCCAGGGTGCAGCAGGCTGTGGCTGGGTGGGTACTGTCTCTAGGTATCCTCTGGGCTCTGTTCAGGCTCCTCACCTCACCAATATCATTAATGCTGGGCAGCTGAGTACCAATGATCTTCATTATATTTAAAAATGATGCACATATAAAATATTGGATAGAATAGTTCCATTTGATGTCATGGTTCAGCTATGAAACGCATGTTTTCTTGAGTTTGAATATGTGAGGCTCATCATTTGCCTCTGTGATACATGGAGACTGTCACTGGTCTTTTTCATCACATAACCTAACAATGCAGAACAGAGGAATATCAGACAACTGCTTGCATATAAATAGCAGCTCAAGAAGGAAGTTCTGTTGTTAGTATTAGCAGATTAAAACTAAACAATGTGTTCAGCAACGTAAGAATAAATATCTGTCCAAAATGCTTCTTAAAACACATAGCTCCTAAAGGAATATCCCACATCCTACATGTATGGCTGCATGAAGTCAAACGTTTCGAGCTTCCTGAGGTTTGGGAAGACTATGGAATCCCATTTCTGTGACTCATTATAATGACTTACAGAATCGTTATTTTCCCCGTCACACTGACGGGAATGGGCTTTCATAGGAGACACTACAGGTGAAAAGTAAATATCACCATGAATGTCCCCAGTCCCCATATGTTATGGAAGCAAAATATGTCAAAATTCCCAAATGGACCAGTGCATGAAAGAAACGTATTAGTGCTTTAAGTGACCGTAAACCATTATTAAACCATTACTATAGCTCATATTGCCTCGAAGACAACACACACTGTCCATGCATTCATTAAGGCTTACATTTAATTGGTTCAATTAGTTTGATATTGCTTCAAAGATCGCTTCAATTTTCCATGAACGGCGGGGGGCGCTATATCCTAACGTTATCACGTCTACAGTTTCTTCCACTTGCACTTCCGGGTTCTAATGTTTACAACTGGGAGCAGCGTTGAGAACACCGAGCTGTTTTCCAAACCCATCTTTTATGTTAAAAACAACATGTGCTCGGAGCGCTAGGATCGATACAGTGTGACGGTAGGTGACGCCACGGGGCCTGCTGTCGCCATGACGATAACGGTAGCCTTCTGACACACGAGCTAACAAACGGAGCAGGCTCACTCGGGCTAACCCGCTAACGCTAGCTAGTGGGAATCATCTGAACAGGAATGTGTCGACACGTAAGAGTGACTGTGTGTTAGTGGTACTGGGAATGAAAGGAAAAGCAGGGTGACTGTACATACAGGCAACGACGGTAATGTGAAAATAATGTGTTCAGTTTATTTACTAAGTTAGCCTTTGATTGCTAACAGTTACATATCTCTGCTCGGGGTTTGAATTGAACTGCAACTACTAACGTTCATTGTTTGTGTTATTGTCTTCATAACGTTGTGTAACAGAGATTAAACTGAACTGCTTTATCACTGTGCACATATATTCAACAAAGGAAAGGGAATAAGGTTAGACCAAATAGTGTTTTATGTAAATAAATACAACTGGTAATTTCATGTTTAAAGCTGCAGTAGGTCATTTTCATAAATTAATAATAATAATTTTTCATTTTGTCAAATCTACTGAAACTTTGGTTCCCGTTATATCACTGCAGTAACTCATTAGACAGATAATCTGGTATCTCCAGGAGTCCACCGGGCCTGGTGACCCATATACTGCAGCGGCACTGGTTCGAATCCGACCTGCAGCCCTTTGCTGCGCCCTCTCTCTCTACCCAGCATTCCTGTCTGTCTTCAGCTGTCTCTCGAAATAAAGGCATAAAGGCCAAAAAAGATAATAACTTAAAAAAACAACCATTCAGAGCCAAGAAAGATAGTTGATAGATAAGTCTTATTGTCAGTCAAATACATTTGCTTTGAGACTCTGGGAATGAGATTCAACAATCAACCGTCTTCAGGCCTCCAGCCCAAAGCATCTTTCTATCTTTCTCAGCTCTGATTGGTTGTTTTCGTTCAGGCCGGTGGATTCTTAAAAAATGTCATTAGGATCTCTAGGAGGAGCCAGAGGAACCTGATTGTTTTGGCAGATTTTTTTCCTCATTCTGTCAGGATATAGTGGAAATTTCATTAATAATGACAAAAAGTTATTTCTACCTACTAAAGATTTAACTAAATAGCAACATGGAGAGCACGCAAGTGGGTTTACTCTACAATTTTAAGATAATAAATTGTTTCAATCATTTTTTACTATATAAATATATAATATAGAGACTAAGATAAACTCATTATAACCTATTTGAAATGAGACTGAGAGTTCACTTATCTATTTTCAGATGACCTGTATAAATCAATGAGGGAAGGTAAGGTCCTCTGTATTTACCACCACCCCCCTGGTTGTAAATCTCTACAGTGGCACAGGCAGCAGAGCTCCATCATCGGGATCAGCTGCTGGGAGTGTAGAATAAACTATGAAGAAGAAAAACAGACGTCCAAGGTCCAGCAGGACACAGGCAACAGTGAGTGTCAGTGAGGAGAAGAGGCCGCCTGGAAACAGAGGGAGACCTCGGAAGACTGTCCCTGTGACTGCAGACAGTTTCTACCATGACAGCACTGCAAACAGCAAGACTGCTAACTTAGACTTCAGCGTGCCAGCAGTTGACGACATACAGATACACCCAGAGACCAAGTCCAAATCTTCAGGTGGGTGGCTCCAGTACCAGCTCTATTGTGTTGTCTCCTGTCTTGTAAAGATAAGAAGTCACACCAGACCCCATTTCAAAAATTGGCTTTCACACAAAATAGTTAAAGTCTTTCAACGTCTGTTCCCTTGTAATGTCTACAATATTCTGTAATAACAATGTTATTTTTAACAAAGTTCTGCTTGTTGGATCTAGAGCTGCAAATATTAGTTGATTAGTTGTCTGCTATTAATCACCAACTGTTTTGATCAGTACATTTTTTTTTAATGAAAACATTTCCAAATAGTCCAAATGATTTCAGCTTCTCAATGTGAATATTTTTTGTTGTTGTCTATGACAGTAAACTGAATATCTTCAGGTGGTGGACAAAACATTTGAGGATGTGGCCTTAGGAACCTGTGATCAACATTTTTTACTATTTTCTGACATTTTATGGCCCAAACAACTAATTGATTAATCAATAAAATGACTGACAGATTAATTGATAATGAAAATAATCGTTAGTTACAGCCCTAGTTTAATCAGATGTTTGCTAATTTGAAGACTGTCTTAACCGTGAATTAAAAGTGTCCAATTTGCATATTTTTGAATGGAGTTTGGTATGATGTTCATTTTGTTACGATAACATACTAGATACTAGAATACTAGAAGGTTCCCTACTTAACTCATTTTCCTTTGGAGACTCATCAGAAATAGCCTCCACTTGCAGTTTGGGTCTACACTGGCAGTTTGAAAAAACACTGATCTGTTAAATCTCCCAGCAGGTAGACTGTCCACTGCTGTCTGTCGGCTCTGCCACGGGAAGTTCTCTCCACGCAGCCTGCGACACGCCTTCGACAAGTGGCCTCAGGGTTCCATTGATATTGTTGACGACGAGTCAGACACTGCGGTCCAGTCACCCCTTTTATTCCACACAGACTTCCAGCGACTGGTCGGGGTCCAGTTGGACCGTGACCCGCGGTTATCTGAGTTCATCTGCAAGAAATGCCATGCCAAGTTCTACAAGTGTCACAGCATCCTGATCAGGTTTCTGCAGAGAGTTAACCTCCCACCAGTTGGGAAAGAGAACCTGAAAAGCCGGTGAGTTCAAGTGTGACTTTAAAAATATATATTTATTGCAGGGCTTTCACTTGACCCTTCCTAAGTCCCCTTTTTGCTGTGCTCCAATGACAGATGAGCAAGCCTCTGTCAAAACTTCAGTTAACTTCCCCCTCTCCTATACCTAGATATGCTATGTGTTAGGCTAATCTATGTTGAAAAGACATCCACATTTTGAAGATGGTTAAAAGACAAAAGCGACATATAAGTTATCTAACGTTAGCAAAACGCTACCTAACTAGCTAGCTAATCTACATAATTGACAGTGTATATATATATAGTGGACAGAGCTTCCGGGTCTGTGAAGTATAGCCAATGCGGAAGTGTCTTAAACCTGCATTCTGTATAATGGCCAGCAGAGGGCAGCTCCAGTGGCTGCAATACAAACTGATTCCATGGAGTCTTATGGAGAAATTACTCGACTTTTGACTTGATTTATTAGCTCAGTAAACAGTTTCCTAATGAGTTTATGGTCTCAATTGCTAGTTTCATGATGTTCATTCAGTAAATGATGGTCCCATTTAGAGTAAAATAGACGATAAAGCAGGGTATGCTTTAGGGCGGGGCTACCTTGTGATTGATGATCTACATCTACAGCAATCGTTAGCTGGCTAGCTAATTAACTTAAGTAATTGATCTAACTAAATCTAAATACAGAAAAAATGTTGACGAGGTTTCCAAAAGGCATGCTAAGCTCCATGCCTTTTGGAAACCTCGTCAAGTTTTTAGAAGTCAATGGTCAATTGTTCTGGAAATATAAGCAACTGTTTGTTTCTTTTTCAGGAAGAATGCAATCTTTCCAGAGTCCTCAGTAAACCATGGCTCAATAAGTAAAGAAACACTTCCTCTTCTTTACTTTTCCTTCTGTTTACAGAAATTACCTAGAACAGTTAATTGATTGCATTACTCCGTTGAAACATACTGCTGTTTTCTTCCAGCTCCGCCATCCTTTACCTCAGACCCTAAGTGCCTCCATAGCCTGGTGTCCTGGGCTCACCACCACGGAGAGGCCTGCCGGTCCTGCCCCGACCTGAAGGAGGTTCTGGAGGACCAGTGCTGGGGATCTGTCAAAGCTGTTTGGGGTTGCGTTGATGGTCACAGCTACATCATGGACACTCAGTGCACAGCCACTACCAACCCGGAGTACATGGTGAACTTTAGCAGTGCAGCATTAGGGGGTGGCAATGGTGATGGAATGATGTCAGAGGAGGAGGAACAGTACCAGGAGGAAGATGAAGAAGAGCAACCCAGCAGTAATGGAAGGACCCCAGCAAGAAGTATAAGCACTCTGATTCAACACAGTCCACCTGCAGTCACAGCTCAGACTCTGGATCACTGGGGCAGGAACGATGAAGGTGAGATCCCCAGGAGACACAATTAATTCTGCCTTTTCTCCCTTTTGAGGATCTATGAGGGTTGTTTTTATGTCTCTGAAGGGACACACCAAACACTGGCTACAGATAGGGGTGTTCACATTTTTTGTGTGACCACCATAGGTTGTTCTTCATACTTGGAAGGGGAGGTTGAAGTTATGCAGTTGCAATCTGCAACTACAGTAATTCTACAAACTGGATCTTTAATATATTGGGCGGCCTGCCCAAGAGAGGCTTCACATCTAAAAATGGCAGAAAATGAAAGCACCACACTGAAGAGAATAGAATCAACTTTACTCAGAGCCAAGTACAAGAACCTGACCTGTCTGGGGTCCTAAGCAAAATTGTGCTAAGGGGCCCTCCATCCTCGGCCATGTAAACCATTTGACCTTGCCACACAGTCACACCAGTGCTCCCACTACAGTCCTCCCTCCTTTAAAACACTTTGCTCCTTCTGTAGGTCTAAGAATTAGTAGACCTGACTTTACTATTGTTACATATACAATCTTGCACAGTGCAATTTATAGTGAAATTAGTCCTTTGACTTTAACCCATCCTAAGTACTAGGAACAGTGGCCAGCCACTGTGCAGCGCCTGGGTACGAACTCCAGATCTAAGCCAGTGTCTTGGTCAAGGACACTGACTGGAGAAATTCCTACCATTCTAAAGACCATTTGTTTAACGATTTATGCATACCAGCCCTGCTTCATTCATGGAAAGTCAGTTGCAGGATATCAAAGGTTCATGCATACAAACTGTAGCACAGATATAACAATACCCTGTTCCTCTACTGCAGATGCTGACACAGATGTTAAGAACTATGCATCCTCCTTACCGTTTGGCGTATCTGAGTCCTTGACTCACACGCGGTTGTGGTTTCCCCTCCGTTAGATTTTACAGGTCAGGAGGAGGCGCTGTCTCCTGTTCCGGCCCAGCTGGAGGACAGGGCTGCTGACAGTGATCTGTCTGACAGGTCAGTCACGGCTGTTTGTCTTTCCCCTTGTCTTACAACCAACAATTTTGTGTGTGTGTGTGGGGGGGGGGGCCTCAATCCCCCTAGCTTTTGTGGGTGCTTTTCAGCCTCTAAAGTGATGAGATTGAGATAGATAAAAGGCCATAACATCTACAGGAACTGTAACTCTGTGTGTGTGTGTGTGTGTGTGTGTGTGTGTGTGTGTGTGTGTGTGTGTGTGTGTGTGTGTGTGTGTGTGTGCGCGCGTGTGCAGGGTTATCTCCGAGGATGACTTTGAGGAGGGGAGGAAAGGAGGGTTATTGGACGACGAGCTGTTTGAGCCGTATTCTGACAAGAGGTGAGACGAGATCAGCAACAGTTGTTGTACCTTCTAAAACTGAGTGACTGCTGACAGAAATCAGCTACTGTGTTTAATTCTCTCCCCCTCCCAGAGGTCGCAGGGTGACCGTCCCCAGCAAGAGAAGACGAAGCCCGAAGCCGACGGAGGAGCCCAAAATCAAAAAGAAACCTGGACCCAAACCCGGCTGGAAGAACAAGTTCAAACCTAAAGGGTACAACTCCGGTCCTACATTTCCTTCAATACACAACTTCATTCAGCATTAGCAGATGGGTTTAGTTCATCGTTTACAGTACATGTGCATTAACACATTACTGTTTTATTTTCAGAGAGGAGCTGCCCAACATCTACAAGTGTCCGTATCAGGGCTGTACCGCCGTCTATAGAGCTCCCGATGGTCTGAAGGTCAGAATTCACGGAACAACAATGTTTCACTGTTATTTAAGTGGTAAACTGTTGGAAATGATTCAGTACTATAGTAGTATAGCAGAGTGTATAAAGAGTTCGGTCTGGACCTGCTCTATTTGAAAAGTTTCCTGAGATAACTTCTGTTATGAATTGGCGCTATACAAATAAAATTGAATTGAATTGAGTGCTGCAGGAATGAGTCCCAAAACCCGAAAATTAGTTAGCATTTAAGTACTTCCGGTTCCCTCTCCTTGAAGTCAATGGATGTTTAGTTAGATGCCTGAAATGAGGTCTGTGGGTTTGATGTTTTGTTCTGCAAGATAAAATAAGTCATTAATGTAAATTTTGTAGCTTTTATGTATCTTAAAAAAAGGTGTTTGCTAACTTCCAGGTTGGACTACAAAAACAATCCCTGCAGCGCTCTATTGGGTGTCCATCCTACAGCAAGCTAATTTACCTTCAGATTCTACAGTAAAAGAATATCTCCTATGGTGCATAGAAAATGAAGTATATCAGTTTTACCAGAATGAGAGTGGGTTCAGACAGACTTTTCTCATGTCTCTTTCTGAAACCTACTGTGGTTATGTGAGACTCATGAAAAAGTGGTCTGATTGCTTTATCGTACATTGCTCCCATTTGGAATTATACACAACTGAGTGAGTCAGTAACAATGAACAGTCAGACAGTTTCAGCATGCTCTGCCTTTGACTGTATGTATTTTCTCATCGGGTGGGTTTTTAGAAGCACATCAAGGAGCATCATGAGGAGGTGAGAGAGCGCCCCTGCCCTCACCCTGGCTGCAACAAGGTTTTCATGATCGACCGCTACCTGCAGCGACACGTCAAGCTCATCCACACAGGTGAGGCCCACAAAGATTTTATAGACGGTGTTTTACATGTGCTGTTCTTACCATCTGAGGCCTGGATCACAAAACGTTCAGGTGAGTGTGGCTCTCTTTGGGTTGCTGCAATGGCTCTTGGGGAATTGAAAACTATATAAAAATATATATAAGTCTCACTACATCCCTTAAGTTTGTTGCGTGACCAGAAAGTATCAACAAAGTTGGAGTCTATAGCTAATGTTGATTTCTTTTAATCGCTCATTTTTAAAGAATTTGTCTAATTTGTAGATACCTAAAGAAATCAGTGTCTGGGAGACCAAACTCCTGTTTAATCTGGGTAAATAATGGAATGTTGTTTGAGTCTATTAGGTGGTGTTTAATTGGGCGCCCCAGAAATATAGTTTTAGGTTCGTGCTAATTCAAAGAGTTGTAGAGTTTTGAGCCGTTTGAGGACTGACTTTCTAACTATTTGTGATGTCACAAATCATGCTGGTAGGCCCCGCCCCTTACAATCAGCTTTTCAACGAGCACAGAGAAACTTTCCACTTTGAGCAGATGAATGTGAAAACATCCTTCTAGAGTCAAACTCTGCACAGACAGTTTTCTGTACAGTGAAGATTTGTGACTGGAGGGGACTTTAAGGTTGTCATCTGTGTGTTTCCAGAGGAGAGGAACTACATTTGTGACCAGTGTGGCCAAACCTTCAAACAGAGGAAACACCTGTCAGTTCACCAGATGAGACATTCAGGGGCCAAGCCACTACAGTAAGTACTGATGATGTCATTTGCCACGTTGAAACTTCAGGGTTCCCACTCTTTTTAACAAAAGGTTTTCCAGGACATTTTCCAGGATCTTTACTTGACAATACAGGACAGCACTTGCTTACAAACAGTCAAATAAGTTGTGGTTTCAGGCAAATTGACTAAAATAATTTTGCTTCAGCCCATATGTAACAGTTCAAATCAAACAGAATTCATTTTATTTTACACAAAAATGTAAATTGTAATGTATTTTAATCATTAACAGCTGTATGCATGGACTATAAGAAAAAGATCACTGCAGGTCAGTTCCACTTTGCATCTGGTAAACCTGTTTTGAATTGTCACACAGTATATCATCGGATTCAAACTAAAAATGCACCTGGGAGACAAACATTTCCAGGACAACATAGATTATTTCCAGAATATTTGGTAATTTTAATCGATTTCCAGGTGTTTCCATGACTGGAAAACTAGTCTCTAAATTTCCAGGTTTTCCAGGATGTGAGAAACCCGTTCTGTTCCTCATGAACATGACATAATTTTGGTGCATAATTTAGAATCCAGAAGTTTGTTTTCCAGTTTAAAAATCAGAAGCAAAACAGGAGACATGCGCAATAAATGCTATCCGTTTTTTCCCCTTTAGATGTGAGGTGTGTGGCTTCCAGTGTCGGCAGCGAGCGTCACTAAAATACCACATGACCAAGCACAAGGCAGAGGCCGACTTGGACTTTGCGTGCCTGATGTGCGGCAAACGTTTCGAGAAGGCCCACAACCTGAACGTCCACATGTCCATGGTCCACCCGCTGACTCAGACCGAGGTTCAGAGAGGCAGCAGTCAGCAGCAGCCGCTGTACTCCGACCTGCACACCATCACTCTGACCGGGGAGGTGGTTCACCAAGACCAGGACAGATGACGGCAGGGAGTCCAGATCCAGGTCTGCTGCAGGGGCACATAAACTGTGGGACAGGGACCAGTTCCGACCACCTGTACTGTAGTTTCGCTTTCAGGTCAAAGACTTTGCATTCAAAATAGATGCTTAGCTCAGCTTGTGTGTCATATCAAACTGTCGTCTTCAACATAAAAGAACATTTTAGTGGATACTGACCAACCTGTTGATAATTACTGTCTTATAGACAGCTCTTTAGAGTTTTCAAGAACCACTTCTTATTTCAAAATGAATCCATTTTATTGTCAGGACATCTTCTGACCAAGTATACCACAAGTTTAGGGTTTAGCTTGTTTTGGGGGTAGGCAGCGGTCTTTCCTTCACGTGTAACAATGACAAACACTGCAGTGCAACCTGACCTCTGCTCTTCTACAGTTTGTATCATTACTTTGTTTTAAGGTTGTAATCTAAAGTTTTTTTAGTTTGGTTTGAGTTGGCGATACCTGTGGTTACCGTGGTAATAACAGGAGCTTCTGCTGTATCTGCGGCTGCTCCTGACTTTCCTTACTCAGACATTTTTTAAATTGATCTGCAGTCCACAATAGTTTTGTTTTGTAGATGCATTTTGACAAACGATCACGGTTCGGCCCTCACGGTCTAACCTCAGTGACAAATGCATTGCTTTAAAGTTCCAGTGTGTAATATTTGGAAGGATCTATTGGCAGAAATGGAATATAACATTCATAGGTATGCTTTCATACTATGTACAATCACCTGAACATAGGAATTTCATGTGTTGTGGTTTCCTTAGACTCAGCTGTTTTTATCTACAGACTCCCAAGTTGCCTTCTATTGAGCCCCCTTCTACAGTGTAAACTGTAAACACTGGCTCTGTATAGGGGCATATCTGTTTTTGGCACATTTTGCAGCCACTGTAATTTTTCATTTGCGCTTGGAAGAGGAGGGTGAAGCGAGGGAGTTGCAAAAACAATGTAGCAAGATAGTAAGCAGAGGTAAAATTGAATGGTTCATAAACCCTGCAATTGTGGCTCCAAACAGGAACTATTAGGAAGAGAAGTGCAGATCAGGAGTACCCCTTTTCTACCAAATCAGCTCTGGTTCTTGAACCAGGTTCAAGATTCAATAACAGCCAACAATAAATGTTATTAGGAATAAACCTGCCTTCTGAGTGAACTGTAGCTGGGTACGTGTAGAGCCTAATATTTAGTTGTTTGAAGAACACTGCTTTATGCAGTAGGAACCTTTCTTACAGTTTGACAGTAAACAGTGTGAGTGATGTCAGAGAGATCAAATTACAAACAGAAACACTGGATTACACACTGCATCGTTTCCTGTCTATCCCACATTCATAGCTGTGCAAATAAAATCCAGCACAGGAATGGTGGACTCCGCCACAATAAGGAACAATATTTAAAGAGATAATCATAGAATGTAATGTAAATATATTGTCTATTGCTAAAACAATGGCAACCATAAATAGTATCAAAATCTGGTTTAATTTCATGAAAATCTTAAGGATTATAACAACCTCTCCTGGTGCCTCTGTTAAGAGGGATTTGACACTGCCTGTAGAGTATATGCATCTATACAGACAGTTTTATTAGATAGCTGAAGTAACCTACATAAATGCAGTTGTAAGTCATATAATTCAATATCCTTGTTACATACAATATATGTAAAGCACTGTGTAACCTCACAGTGCAAATGGTTGTGCAGAATGATTTCTAAGAACATTCACTTCAGTTTTATTAGGTCACTGTTTTTTATTAAGTTATTACAATGTTAAGTATTCTTTTTAAGAATGTGTCTCTATGTTGTAAACATTGAAAAGGGCTTCAGGTGTATAATAAAGTCCTGTGTGGATTATGTACAAAAAGACATGTAAATAAAATGTAGACTTTTTTTAACCCAGAGTGTCAGTTTTTTTTTAAACTTGTCAAATCTGAACAGTGAGAGAATTCTGATGAATATCAGAAATAACAGGAACTTGTTAGAAGCTGGATTACATCAGAACAAATAAAGTACCAGCTGTACAAAGTGGGTCTCACACTTCACTTTATCTGAGTTTCTGTGCCTGAACGTCAGCTCAGTCTGCAGCTGTTTACAGGAAGTCCATCTCTGGGCTGAGGCTGTGAGGGTCGAGGTGCACAGAGAGAGCCGCTGCCACCTCTGGGTCCAGGTCTGCACACTGGGACTCCAGCTGGACCAGGAAACCCACCAACCGAGAGAGCAGACAGGTGAGGAAGATGATAGAGATGAGTGAATGTTGCCAGTAGAAGCTCTTACCCATGTGTACTACATGTGTTTGGTTACCTGTCTGATCTGGCTGGAGGACAGAGCAGCTGGAGACGTCTGTGAGATCGCTCTCAGAAGAAACTGCTTGGCGTGGCTCAGAACCTGGGAAGGCTCCATCTGACAATACAATTCATAGATATAATGTCAGAGCAATGTCACAGGTTTGAGTGACATTGTCGTCACCCGGATATAAACCGTCGTCTGAGGCTCAGTCACCTGATTGTCAGAGTGTCCAGTGGTTGGTGTGGGTGTGTGTCCTTCCAGGAAGAGCTGCAGGAGACTGATGTAGCAGAGGACAGCAGTATGGAGGAACCCTGGACAACACACAGCTCTCTGCAGCAGCTCAGCACTCAGCTGGAGCAGCAGGCTACACACACACACACACACACACACACACACACACACACACATTGATGGCCCTTTGATGGCCTAACTGCAAGTAGTATCTACAGTGACTCTAAAATGCGATGCTCTTAAAAACACTAATTGAAAAACTAACCTGTAAAAGGCCCAAGGCATCAGTCGGGTAAACTCATTTGATGTCACCATGGTAATCGCCTGGTAAACACCTTGCTCTAGAGTTGGGGGGGGGATACAGCACACTAATTTAACAATGCATAAGTATACCCGCGAGGTCAAATCCTTTAAAGGTTATATATGAGAGACATTAATGTAGCAGCAAACAACTATTCTCTCTGTGAAGATACAGTGGAGTCATGGTGTCACGCTCCCTCTGTCTGTGTTGCTATCGCAGCCTCTCTGTGGTTTGTTTGAGTCTGTAGGGATCCTTTCCATAATGTTGTTAGAATAACAATCTGAGCCCGTCAGTGACAAAAACAACTTTTAGTAGACGGTACTTTAACAGGCACATTTGTCCCCAAGGATTAAGTTAGCTTACGCTGCAGCCATTGCGTTGGTGAATTAAGGATTTATTTCAATTAAACCAGCGTTTGTTGGAAAGACTAACAAAGTCAGTTTTGGTTAAGTTTTATTTTTTCTGATCTCATTGTTTTGGTCTGAGATGTTGGTGCTCTAGTGCGACATTCAGTGGCCAGTGAATTCTAGAAATAATTCTATTAAATTGTATATATATATATATATATATATATATAACATTTATTGTCAATGCTAACATTATTTTCCTCTGCTGAATAATGACTAAATGCTATGCTAAACTGACAACAAAACTGATATACTACCAGCTGAGTGTTGAGCATGGGCAACAGGGCTGTGTATTGGCAAAAAAGTTAACTTTTTTATGCAACCAGAACAGTGGGATCTGTATTTGTATCTATCACAGTCGCTGTAACATCCACACCCCTAATGTGGAGTGAACTGAGAATGTGATTTTAGAAGATCAACTCTGTACCGTTTGATTTGAAGATGAGCAGCCAGTCAGCAGAGTCCACCAACACAGCCAGGAGGTCTGTGCATAAAGTCCAGGCTTTCTCGTGGCTCTTCTCCTACAGAAACAATCGCAGGCACAACAGTGTGTGTTTAACTGGCATTGCCAAATAAATTAGGAAAACAAATCACATACCAGAATTTTAATATGGTCTTTATTGTTGCTCTTTAATCTTAGCCCAGCTCTGAATTACTGTTCATTGCTTTCATTTTCAGAGACATATTTCCACATCATATGGTGCACTTGCCAAAAGCAGGTTTCGCGTCATATTGTTTCTGTGCTTGGTTCAAGGCTTAAGCTTTGCAATATGAGTTGAAGTTTGGTGTTAAACATTTGCATTATCTATTTCATATAAAATAATAGTTCATCACTTTGAGAAAAATGCTTATTTGCTTCTTGCTGAGAGTTAGATGAGGAAATTGCTACCACTCTCATTTTACTGAATATGAAGCTTTTTAGCTTAGCATAAAGACTGGAAACAGAGGGAAACAGCTAACCTGGCTGCGTCCAAAGGTCCTCTAAACCTCTAAAGCTCCCAGATGAACACATTATAGCTAAGCTAACTGTCTCCTGGCTATAGCTTTATATTTAATGGAAAGGTGAGAGCAACTTCTCATCCAAAATGTCAAACTATTCCTTTAACAATTAACAACGGTGTCAAGTGTGCAATAAAGAGGTACTACATAAATAAAACTAGTATGTGAGTGTGCATGTTGCTCATTAGCGTTCATCAACCTGAGCTAGGCCTCAAAGACATAGCAGTGATCCCAGCTGCTTTTAAGTTTAGCCCTGAACCTGAACACACCCCTGTCAGTGTGCAGTCAGTTACCGGAGGATACAGCAGTGCTGACAGGTAGTCGTTGACACACAGGAAGAGCAGAAAAACAAGCACCTGGAAGAAGAAATGAGCAGCAGTAGGTCAGTATAACACACCAAAAGCAACCTCTGGCTGTTTACAGAGCAAGTGCAGGTTCAAACTAAATTACACACATCTGAATTGGCATTTTTACAGAGCAGGAGCACTAATGAGGCCTTGAGGCTGACAGTCCCATTTACAAAGGCTCAGTAATATTAATTAGCATGCAGGTGATGATCAGGGATGATGTAATAAAGGACAAACCCACTATTCTTTACAGAGTACAGTTTACCCACTGGCTGACATTGGGAGTTTAACATTGTTCATCTTGGTGGTATTTAGGGGTGTAAGAAAACATTGCTACACTTGACTATCGAGATTTTTTTCGATTCACCAGATTCTTGGAAACATACTGGTTGGTTTTGAGAAGGGATGTCACAAGAAGTGATACTTTGGTACCAAGTCGATGCTGTTAATTTACCATCATCCATTGTGTCCAGTTCCATATTTGTCATGGCCTAATGACTACAAAGCACAATATTTTAACTGTGACAGAAACAGAGGGCAGCGCAACTCCAAACTCAAATGTTTTTAATAAGGAGATAAGGCGGAGGAGGGTACATGGGATTTATTGTTTTTTACCTAGGTATTGAGAATCGTGGAATTTCACTGGTATCAGTATCGACTACTACATTTGTGGTAAAAGAACTTCCTTATTTCAGTTCTTAACTCACCTGTTGGTACTGTATGCCCCTCTCTGGTCGCAGCATATTCAGGGCGGTACAGAAGCCCTGGTTGTTGCACCCACAGTCTCGCCAGGCACGATGCAGGCTAGCAGCCAGGAGCAGAGCTGCAGCTGCAGGCGCTGGTGACGACAGGCCCTTCTCTACACTGAGACAGAATCAGAAACCACTCTAACATGAGCCAAGGGGACACAAAAACACAGGAAAGGCAAAACTGACAAGGCAGAGCCGAGGACACATGGAAGCCAAAGGAGATTCTTTTCCCCTCACACTAACAGTGGACGATGTGGATCAGAGATTCAGAGACGATGGTTTATGAGGTTGTACCTGCAGGCCCACTTCTGACAGTCAGTGAGGAGCTGCAGCTGCTCTGGTAGAGGTTCTCCATCACATAGACGATGCCACAGTGACAACAGCACTGGAGACAGACGCTCCCACCAGTGCTATACACACACACACACACACACACACACACACACACACACACACACACACACACACAATAATGTAAATCACACCTGAGCACACACAACAAAAACATTTATGAGTTTCCGAAGAAGTTTGATACCCATTACAATCCAGTCCTCCAGTGGCTCTATTTGTACATGTATTTAAAGTATTATCCCCTCTTCTTTTCTTATCATCTTTTTTTAACTTATTTCAGTGCACATTATTTGCACTAAACCCTTTTACTAACCTCATTGTAACTAATAAAAGAATGTGAATGTGACTTTGAGCATCAATTACTGACAGAAATAAGAAAAAGACACCATTACAGGTTTCTGCAGGTTAGGTTTAAGACCTTTGAAGACCATTATGAATGGACAAGACTTTTTGTTAAAGGAGCAGCATGTAGGGTTTAGTGGCATCTAGCAATGAGGTTGAATAATGTAGTTCAATGAGTAATGTTATAGCTTTAGTTTTAATAACTTTACCATTGGTTTTTATATTATTTTTTACCCCTGGTGTTTATGTTATTTTTGTATTCTACTGACTTTTATTTAATTATTTTTTAACATTTTATTGTTCTATTGCATACATTTTTAGTCTTTTATTCTTGTCTGTATTGTTTCAGTTTTGCTATGTAAGGGCACTCTGGGCTGCCTGTTTGTATGAAAGGTGCCATATAATTAAAGCTGAGTTGAGTTACTGAAGTTCATTAGCTGTAAGGAGAACAAACTGTACCACTGTAGAGACCAGGAGCAGAGGACAGTGTCGACTGATCTGAGTCCAGGCTTTGTTGACTTCCTCTGCTGAGCGTCCCCCGCAGCGTACACTGGCACATAACACGCCCTGGAGCAAGAACAGCAGACTTGTGGACATACGGTAAGAAACGTATCTTAGCTTTGACTTCTCTTTAATAAAGTGGTTCTCACTCTCAGGAGGTGCGCGGTCAGATGGCAGGACAGCAAGCCGGCTGGAGAACACGCCTTCCTCTGTCGCATGAACAGGAGAGGAGAGGCACTATTGAGTTTACTAAAAAAGTACATGTCTCACGCACAATCACTGCACTTTTCCAAACAGCTGATCTGACTGCATTCAAATCTGAATCACCTGATGCTGGTTGACATGCTCTATCAGCTTGTTGCACTCCAGACTCGTCCTCCCTCCTTCAGTCTTTACTTGAATGAATAACGTTGCTGGGAGAGCCAGCAGCACCCTGTGACACACACACCGTTTTCAGTGGCTGTAAATGAAATGAGAGATGATCTGCGTAACATATTTGTGTACGCACCTGTTCCATGTGTTCAGAGTGTGCTGCAGGCTGAGCTCGCCGCTGATGCTCAGTGAAGCCGAGCTCGTTGCGGAGGAGGAAGAGAAGCATCTCTCAGACACCAAATCAAACAGGAAGTCACACAAATCAGCTCTGCTTCTATGGCTGCCGGAGAGGTCGGTCAATTCCATCTCATAGACGAGCTCCTACATGCACGCACACACACACACGCACACACACACACACACACACACACGCACGCACACACACGCACGCACGCACCACACACACACACACACACACACACACACACACACACACACACACACACACACACACACAGATTCTGATTAAACATCACCTTCCTGAAGAGAGGATTTTGCTTTTTCACTATGAATGTTAAGACCACGACATCCCACTATAATAAGCAGTTTTCACTGGTGTCACACACTCACACACTCACATATGGAGTATACACACCTGGACTATGGACAGGATGTCTGGCAGACAGGTCCCTGTTCCTGACACTCTGTGATCCAGCATTTCAAGGGTCTGGACACTGGACAGAAAAAACACAAAAGAGTTTTGACTAAAGGTGAAAATAACAATGTACATTTACTTTAAACAAAGGACGGGACAGGCTCTACTTGTTGCCTTTGTATTAAATCTCTTACAGTCCTTTAGGGTGCTACAGTATGACAGAGTCCAGTATGGTCCAGCATGCAATTTATACAAGACCTTTTGTGAGCAGGTACTACCTTAAGTGCTGGTCCATGATGGCATTAAGCAGATGAGAGCAGAGGTTCTTCATGTCACCTCCACAGCCTCCCTGCTCCACCGGACGAGACAGGTACAGCTCCAAGCAGGCCCACTGCTGGTACTCCTGACTACACACACACACACACACACAGTTAACAGCTGCACCAACTTTATTTCTAGTGTGTCTAATGGCACCTGTTAGAGTGTGTGTGTGTGTGTGTGTGTGTGTGTGTGTGTGTGTGTTTCCTGCCTTACCGTTCTGGGTCTGACAGGGCGTCCTCACTTCTCTGTACTCTGAGCTCATTAGCCAGCCATTCTGAGAACAACAACTTGACAAACATAACAAAGGTTGATTTTTTATTGTCAATAAGACCAATCTGTTATTCAATCTCATTTAACACACAAATTAAAGTAACACAGCTACCGACCTCTGCATAATATTCTACACTTCTACCCGCACTTGTTCCTAAACCGTCATATCATTTACTGGTAGGCCTAGTATTGGCTGTTCTGACCCCAGCCGAAGTATTGGTTCCAATTAAGATCTGTGCATGTATCTAACAACAACAATATTTGATCATTAACAGGCTCTAGATATGAACATTTATAGCATATACAATGGGCTTCTCAGCGAATTCTGCTTATAGCTCCAAAAAAGAAAATAGACTGGACACTGGTGATACCGTGCAGCATCCTGAAAACAGTGTTTCAAACAAAATAAGCACCCAGGCTTACGTTCCAGGCAAGAAGTTAAAATACTATTCAAAATTTCCAGGACAACATAAATTATTTTCAAGATTTTTGGTGAACCCTGCCAGTGAACCTGTGTTACCTGATACTGTGGTGTGTGTTGTAGCTGACAGAAAGCAGGGTGCCTCCACAGGTGCCAAGCAGTCTTCCTCCAGGTGCTGCTGGTGTCTGTGGCACTGCTCCACAGGCTGGGCAGGTTCTCCTCCTGGTATTCACTGACTGGACCGCTAGCAGTGATGGGAGTTCTCCTGGCTTCAGGCAACAGTCTTGGGATGATGTACAGAAGCTGAATGTACACAGAGTCAGATGTAGAGGTTAAGTACTAAAATATTATTATAATAAAATAAGAAACTTGCAAACATGTGTGTTCATGTTATAAAGGCAGGAGGTGTTTGTCCCTCTCCTCCCTCACAATGCATCATTTTGATTTCAGCGGTTAGTGCTTAACTGGAGTTCTAGCTGTGCATCTAACTTAGCAGTGTGCTGCTCCAGACCGCCAGGAGGAGGAGGTCAGCGTGTACAGCCCGAATATTTTCACATCTACATCGATGAATTAAGGATTTATTTTGACCAAAGCTGGTGATTGCTGGAACAATGGAAAGACTAACAAAGACGGTTTGGTGAAATTTGAATTCAGAAGGTTGTATTTTTCTGTTTGATAAGGAAAATATGCGGAAAAACATTTCCTTTCTTGACATTTTGTGGGTTTATTTTGTTTATTTATTAGTTCAAAAAGGCTAAAAGAGCATGTGTAACCTAGCAAACTCACTGCTCTCACACATCTCCCAGCTGAAACTATGGGGGGAGAGGGCTGAGCTGTACTCTGACTATCGCCTCTTGAGGTACAAAGTGGTATTACGAGACAGGACGGGCCGGGGCAAACTGGTTAGTATGCTAATTACAGTAGATCTGCAACACAAGATATACACGTTATTTCTTCACATTCTTTTGATAATTTTATTTTCATCTTTATGTTTATCTTATATTCCACCTTTAACAATAACACATTGCCATTTTCTACTGTTGCTCTATCAAGGCTTTAATTTCTTTACAAGTAAAGGCTGTGAATATTTCCTTTTCATGACATGCAAATCACAGAGAAAGATACCTTCTTATAGAGGCTGTTGGGGATGTAGTCCTGCTGTTGTTGCTGAGGCAGTGAATCCCCTCTGCAGATCCCATAGCACACAGCCGCCACACACAACCTGGACAGCGAAGAGAGGAATGAGGTGGCAGCTAGGTCCAGCAGCCAGTATCACCGATATTTACTACAGGAAGGCTGTAAAGCTACAGTTTGTAACCTCACCTGACGCAGAAGAGCATGTTGGTGTGAGTGCTGCAGACCAGCGCCAAGCTGAGAGCTTCTCCGACCGGTACCGGCTTAGGCAGGATGGGTGGGACCAGCTGAACTAAAGGACCGTGGGACATGGTGGCGTGGAGGTGGACCGCAAACGCTGCCAGGCCGAGTAAGTGAGCGGCGCTCAGTGATGACCCCTTTTTGACAGGAGAGGTTTGTAAAGAGTTAATGTACAGATTTGAGTGACATGAAGGAATAAAGAGGTTAATTTTTATCTGGTATAAAAATTTTAAAACAAAATATTTGGCAATTAATTTAAGAAAAAAAAAGTAAAAATTCTCTGATTTCAGCTTCTCAAATGTGAATATTTTCTGCTTTCTTCAGTCTTCTGAATATCTTTGGGTTGTGGACAAAACAAGACCAAACAACTAATCGATTAATTGAGATATTATGGATATAGATAATATGACTGATAATAAAAATAATCGTTAGTTGGAGGCCTAAACACAATCCAGGTAAGAAGTGAAACAGAGAGAGTTAGCAGACACAAGGGGAAAGACTGAGAGAGAAGTGTATATCGGGGATTTGTGGCTCATAAAGAAGAGCGGGTCGTCCCCTAATCGGAAGTTTGTTGGTTCGATCCCCGGCTCCTCCCGCCACGTGTCTAAGCATCCTTGAGCAGGATACTGAACAAAATGCTGTGCATCGGTGTGTGAATGTGTATGAATGCATTAGTTTCTGTTCGATGGACTTTGCCATCACTGAGTGAATGTGTGTGAAAGGGTGAATGTGGCACATAGTGTAAAAGCGCTTTGAGGGGTTGGAAGACTAGAAAGCCGCTATACAAGTACAGCTCCATTTACCATTTACCATTTAAATGAATATGGACTTTTTTATGTACCTGGTTATGAAATAGGTCCCAGAGTCTGTGTATGAGGCTGGAGAGGAGCTGTGTGTTACCGAGCAGCACACTGACAAACCTGGAGGCCCACAGGCTTTGTCTGGAGAGACAAAAAAAACACACAAAACACAAAGTGAATCGGTTTATTTCCACACCTGTGCACTGAAAACTTCACTATATCAGCTGCCATATTGCTGTGGCAAATTTCTACCCTCTAAAATCAGTATCGGTCTCAAAGATGTGTGTATGGCCACTGAAGGCCACTGAATGCCACTCCATTTGTTCCATTTTTTCAACTTTTCAGTCCCTAAATCCCGATTGATAATCCAAAAGATTTATTATTTGCAAGACTTTGAAAAGAGTTGTTCTACTCACTTATTAGGAGGGTTAGCTCGGGAAGCGTCTAACGTGCACTGGCAGAAGTTTCTCAGGATCATGTTGACAACCTGGGGATACGAAGGAGAGATTCTTTAAAGACTACATAGAATAGATCTTTATCACAGCAGCCATTTGGACATGAAATAGTAGAGTAATCACATTAAATCTGAATTATAGTGGTGCATACTTTGATGTGGAGCTCAGGGGACAGAGGAGTGTTTATGTGGAGTTCGATGACTGTCTGTCCAATCGGCTCATCGGGACAGCCAGGAAAGATGACACTCAGAGTGTGTGAGATTCTGGACAGCTGGGCTGACATCTCTGAGGATACATGAACAACATCACAGGTATGTAAATAAGGGATTTAAAGAGACTGTGTCACAGTGTTAGGAAGTCTTTCAGAGATTAGGGATGATTCACAGATTCTTTGTATGCTGCATTTTAAGGCTCCAAACAAAGTTGTTGACCAGCTGAAAACAGATTTGGAGAACTCACATTTAAACAGTTGAACACACACAATGTACCAGCAGCTGTTTCGGAAACTTCCAGAGAATGTACTAAAAGAAAACACACGTCACTGATAACTAGATGAAGGAAACACATCTTTGACGACCAGCTTGATATGAATATATGATATCTTTAATAATTTAAGGACTACTAGCTGAGGAAGTAAACACTTAACATTTAGATTTGGATACACATATTGCTGAAATTTCAATATCACATATCCCCAAAACAACCAAACTAAACAAAAAAAAAAAAAAGACAAACTCTTGCTTAAACACAGAACCAAAGAACACCTGTAGCATTTCTCTTCCAACTCTTCTTTTCGCTCTTTATAAACTCATCATTGCCAGTGTCTGTTCACTGAATTTGACAGTCACAAAGACCAGAGGTTGCGTAACATCAAATCATACAGTCTTTTCCTGATGACTGCAGAATACTGCCTGCAGAAGCATGAGTGTGTGCTGTTAGAGGTGTGTGTGTGTGTGTGTGTGTGTGTGTGTGTGTGTGTGTGTGTGTGTGTGTGAGATCTCCTTTCTCTATATCTGCCTACCTCCTTCATTTCCTTCAACAAGCAGCTCTGTGAACTCCTGCAGCTGAATCTTCAGGACATCCAGAGGGTCATCATTGGTGTCCAAACACACTGCACCAGCTGAAAACACATTCCATCTATCTTTGTCAGCGTTAGGAGATTTTTATATTTAAGATGAAACATTCACTAATTTGCATCATAATATTGTCATCTCTACATTATGTAACCTTCTGTGTCGCAAAAAAAAGCATCACAGGGGGGTCGCAAGGCTTTCTTGATTTTAAGGGGCACAAGAAAACTTAAAACATATACACAGTAGGTTTATATCTCAGCAGTCTGTTCAGTCCTGTGAAGAAAACTACATTAAATTGTTACTTTTAGATTATTATCTAAGATCTGAACTTTGAGCTGAGAGTCAAGAAAACACTGAATTTGTCACAAAAGAAGCCTATTGAGTATGTAAGATTGTTAAATATTTAAAAAATACGTAACACTCATCTCTAGTGCAACATTCAACGAAAATAATCTGATCAAAATTCATTCAAATACAATCCAATGTTTTACACAGTTTGGAGTTATTCACTTTAGTTTATCACTTGTTCTCTACTGTTGTTGTTATGCATTAAATATAATATGAAATATCCATAAAATATGTCACAGAGTCAGTTTACTCAATGATAGAAAAAGGGGTCCCTTAAAGAAAAAGGTTGGGTATCCCTGATCTAAGTGATCCTGAGAATTATTAGTGTTAGGAAGAATACCCACAATCCTGCTGCCTCTGTTTCTGGCAGGCCTCCACATAAGATGAATACTGTGCAGCAGGGATCTTATCCGCTCTGAATACAGACAAACAGCAGTCATAACAGCGAAAATACACAAAATGATCACAGAACCATTATTATTATTAAGTATATTAAGTATTAAGTATAACATTAAAGCTGCAGTGGGTAACTTTTATAAAAAAATAACCATTTGTAATTATTGCTGAAACTTTCATTATGACAGTGAATATGACAAAGAAAACTGTTTTATAAAAATGGCCTACTGCAGCTTTCACAGTCTGATTGTTATTTCTTCTAATCCTACAAACACAAATAAAACAAGTATAGATAGTTATGCTAAACTGAAATTAGTTAAAAGAATACATGTTGAGAGACAATAAATACATGACAGGATAAAATACATAAATTCCAGTCGGTAAAGTTGATGTGGAGAGACGTGATTATAGCTAACACTGAACTGGAAGAGCTACAATGCACACATTTTACAAGCTTCTGTTAATAACTCACTTTCTCAGAGCTTCTATGAAACTCATCCGAGTATCGGCTTTCACAGGAAGCTGGAATTAAAAGAAATGCATGGGATGTGAAGGTTAGTGACAAAATAACAAAAAGATCAACAAACAACAATAGTAACAGTGAAGGTGCTCACCACTCTCTGTGTCAGCAGAGCAGGGAGGAATCGTGTCAGGAAATATGGCCTCCGGAAAATACTGTCAGAGGAGAGAGGTGTCAATGATCTGTCTCCGTCTCTACATGAAACCCAGATTTTCAAAAGGACGCTCATAAACTGTGATGTATCTGATAATGTGACTGAATACCTGGCCTCCATGACTGTGGCAGAGATTCTTCCTGTGCTCTCAAACAAAGACACTGCCTTCTCCACATCCTGGGAAGCCTGGCACTGGGGTGGCACACACACAAATATTATACCATCATACTGTTAAGATACTAAAAATATAGCTTAAAATGCAATTAGTCACACTTTGTTCAATAAAAATGAAGGTGCTATAACTAGGGCTAGGTATAAAACACTAGCTTCGTTTGGTAATGACTGAAAGGTGTCTCTACCATCTAGTTTCAAAAACTGCTCAAATCTCTGGCAATTTTATTTAGGCTAAGTTCTTGTGCCAGTGTTTGCTTTGTCCGTTCTGGGCTACTGTAGACAACAACAGTTTAACATGGCAGACTCCGTAGCGGAGGACTAGGGTTGGGCGATTAGACGAATATAGCGGCTATATTGGCAATGGTCCATCCATTGCCAATCATCCAGTCGTTGATTTGAGTGAGTTTTTGGCCAACTTTTGTAATTTCACTTTGCTAATTTAATAGAAACACAGAGCTGGTAAAAAACATGTAACATGTTTGATCACATCTGCAAGGGAGGTGGGTTGGTAGTTGATTAATATAATTTACTGCATCAAATCTTTTTCTTTCCTAAGAGCTTTATCAAAATAAGTGTACTGACATCTCATCACAATTCATCAACAGCTATCATTACACAAACAAACCACTGGGTGTCACTGTTACCTGCGCTGATGCTCCACCTGTACCAGAAACATCTTCATATAATCCCATGTCCTCCACTGACTCCTGCATGTACACACAGACAGACACACAGACAGACACACAGACATACAGACACAGACACAGACCTTCATGGATAAAACATCACAAAACATTTGGGAAGACTGTCTGGGACTGGAATTTAAGCAATGTGCTCCCATGGACGCGTTGAGGACCTTGAACTTTTACCCCTGCTCTTACCTTGAGGTCAGCCAGTCTGGTCTTGGCCAGAGAGACATACTCCATCAGGAGGCTGCGGTGTTTCACAGGTATGTATGGAGGGTGCAGGATGTGAACCTGCCAGGTGAAAATGGCAGAGAGGTGTTAAAAATCACAGCTGGTTCATTTCTCTGTGTATCTACTGTTTTCTTTCAGCTACTGATTTGGTGGCAGTTTTGAGCCCAGCACAGACTGAAGACCAGCAGTGGAAGAAGTACTCAGATATTTTACTTACTTAAAGTACACATTACACACACACATTACATAGTAGAATGTCCCCTGTGACTGATATATTATGACATTATTAGATTGTTAATACTGATGTAACAATTTGTAAGCAGCATTTGACTCATGTAGCTGCTCAAGGCAGAGCTACATGAGCTTTTACTTTATATATGGATAAGTACTTTAGTCCAGTGGTTTACAAAGTAGGGGTTGGGCCCCTCCAAAGTCTTTAGAGGTTCTTATTCAAAATTTTGTGAAATATTGAATAATTTGAATAGCCAATTTTAATGATAACCATTAAAATCATATAACATGAAACCATCTGAGAAGTTTAGAAGCATGACAAGAGGCTCCAAGTAGACAGCCTTTGTAGAAGAAGTCATAAGCTGAAAAGGGTCAAAAGCACTGGTTTGATTTTATATCATGTTTTGGGGGTTTTTCTGAAAAGTGATGTGTACCTACAGCTGTCAGATAAATGTAGTGCAGTAAAAAGTACAATATTTCAAATGCAGTGGGGTAGAAGTATAAAGCAGCATAAAATGGATATACTCAAGTAAAGTACAACTACTGTACCTCAAATTTGAACATACAGTACTTGAGTAAATATACTTACTTTTCACCACGGCTGCAGACTGTATAATACGTATGAAGTCATATACTTTTCTGCAAGCTTTTTCAAGTAATGATTGTATATTATACTTCATAGCCCACTAATAGTATAAACGTGTATGTTTTTCCATTCATCTATATGTTAACATGTCTTCTTCTGAATCCTGTTAATATTTGCTGTTAAAGTATCCAGTATGCCCATGGGGAACATTAATATAAAAGACACCATGTATCTCATGTCTAGTGAAATGAGGTTATCAGTAATGTTTCAGAGTCAGACATATACGCAGGATGTCACCTTCAGGTACTGTGGGGGTTCATAGGGCACCAGGTCAGAAAGGAACTTCAGCAGAAACACCAGAGATTTCTTACTGGTTGCATGGTAACCACTGCCTCCACCGAAGGACATCTGAAAAGGCAGGAAGGAATTATTCTACTAGTAACAACAATAAACAGCCAAAACTGTCAAACCTACAATCCCAACATCTTGTTGCAACATAGGTTTGACGAACATTACTATCAAACCACACAGGCACACAATCCACCTTTGTTAATCTCTCTCCAAAAGCAAAAAACATACTTATTGCACATTTGAATGGATAATTATTAAAGAACAGCATACAGCATTTCATGTTACAGACTAAAACTGATCAGAATTATGTTTAAAAATGAATTACATCTGGTGCCATCCAGTGCAAGTCACCTCTGATACAGTGTGTAACACCCTATTTATACTTGGTATTAAAATGTGATCTCTATCCGGACATGTTATCCGGCTGATAAATCACTGTCTTCCAGAGCAAAACCTGTGCGAGTAATTTGAGTGGCAGTGAATCAGCTCCAGACTCCCTTAAAAATCAGTTGCTGAGTTAGGGGGAACTTTATAAACTGTGTATGACAGATACTAATTATTTGTCCCCTCCTGTAAAAATGTAATGTTATTCCTTTCTTTGGATAAAAGATTGTGTCAGTTTGCGCCAGTGTGTTGCAGCACCAGCTTCTCTGTGTCTATATAAATTATATGCCTTATTGACAGCAAATCAGCCACACAGATTGTCACACGCAGCAATTTCTTAGTGTATATCATTCATTTTCAACCGTATTGCTTTCATTTTCCATGCAGTTCTGTTGAATAACTCATCTTTTGGTGCTTTCATAGTTCAGAATAGGTGTATAATCAGTTATTAGAGGTCTCTTTTTGCCTTCTCACTTGCTCACTTAGCACGTTGTGCAGATTCTGTCGACACCTACCTAAGATCCACACACAATGTGAGCCAGACTACCTCCAGATGTGGTCAGGCAGATCTGATCACATTCCGATCAGGACAGCATTTTTTTTTTTTTTAGATAACGGTCTGGATATAGATTGCATTTTGCAGGTGTAAATGGGATTTATGATAATGTGTTGAGTGTTTATTAAGCAAGTGACAATTATTCTGCATTACACTAGGTCCTTGAGACTTGAGAAGTACTGTTGTTTAGTTTCAGAAAAGGCCTATTATTTGTAGTCTACTCTAAATGGGACCATAATTTACTAAATGAACATCATGCTGTATGGAAAAAGACTGAAACTAGAGATTGAGACCATAAACTCATCAGGAAACTGTTTACTGAGCTAATAAATCAAGTCAGAAGTAGGCTAATTTCCTGTAAGGTCAGTTCTATCAGACTTCTTTTTTGAACCAAAGGGGGTTCCCCTTTTTTTATTAAGAATGCAGGTTTAGGTGCTTCCACATTAGTTTCTCTTTACAGACCCACTGTCCACTAATTATATGCCATCAGTGGTCTGACCCTATTTAAAGGCTTCTTCATCGAGATTAGAATTAAATCCGTCACATACATAGGTTATTTGGTGAACACACTGACAAAATGTGATGGTGATTACTATGCAACTAATTCAAACACAAATATAAATGCTGGTGTTGAAAAGCACATATGAAACCTTGAACCAGTCGCTGTAGGAGGGGAAGATGCCAGGCCCCTCCAGCGCACCCTGTCGAGCCAACAGAAAGGCAGTTATCATGTTCTCCAGGTCATAGCCTTCAAATGCAGAACTCAGCAGTCTGGACAGCAGCTCTGAAACAACAGACAACAGATTTCTATTGATTTATGTTTCCCTTTGTGTATATACTGGTCTGCTATATTAGTGTGTAGGAAATTAAGCTTTTATTAAATACTTCACTAATCTATGAGAATTTGCAAAATGCAAATGTTTGTAATAGTTTAACAGCAGATGATACATTTCAATATTTGTTTTTTCTTTAAAATGGTCAAATTTATTCTCAGCACTTGGCAAGTTTAAATGCATAATAACAGTTATTGGTTAGTTTACCTCTTAGGCTTAGCTGGGCACAGGGGCTGTAAACCAGCAGAGTGGAGAGGAAACACAGGACGTGTTTCCAGTTAACCTCATGGGTTTCCAAAACCTGCTGCAGGTGACACAGTAGCTGCTCCACACTGAAGATCACAGCCAGCTTTTACAAAAAAATACAGAAGAGCTTTAAATCTTTACAGGTAATCATCTATAAACAGCAGTCATTATTGAAACCAGAACTTTCTCCTCTGGAGAAGGAAATTAATAGGAATTGTAAAAGCAGGGGTTTCATTTCCTTGATGTATAAGGAGGTTCCTCAGAGTCAACACCTGAGTTTTCGAAGGAGGACCTAGATGTAGAAATATCAACTGAGGAATGGGGTGAGGGCTAAAAAACCCAACAAACAGCCAATACTACAGGATTAAACTCTTTTTAAGACATTGTTTTCCAAGACATTTTCCAGTTTTTCTTGAAAATAATGGGCATCACTTGTTCACAAACGGTGATCAGCCATAAGTGGTCATCATTTATAGGATGCTAGGCGATGTTTCTGCTTTCTGAACTGACAAAAGGTTTCCTCTAACTGTAACATTAATGTGTCCACAGCACAGGCTAAAACACAATAAAGGATTTTCAGGATTAATCATTAATTCTAGTGTGGGGGCTTGGATAAAGAGTATGGGTCAATATTTGTAGATACATATATACTCATAGGTAAACTGAATTTGTATTGGGGGCTGACCTTTCATACATTTTGTTATGTTATGTTGTTCTGTTTGTTATTATACAGTTTCTCTGACCTTGTGAAATACCTTTTGGATTTACTGCAGGCACTTTTTCCTTTTTCTTTATTCTTTTTTATTCTGTTTTCCTTTTTTTCATTGTTCAAATACATGTTTATTATATTTATATACATAGATACACCTATCAGCCATAACATTGAGAGCACTGACGGGTGAAGTGAATAACACTGATTATCTGGTTATCATGTCTCCTGTCAGTGGGTGGGATATATTAGGCAGTAAGTGAACATTTTGTCCTCCAGTTGATGTGTTAGAAGCAGGAAAAATGGGCAGCGTGAGGATCTGAGCCACTTTGACAAGGGCCACATTGTGATGGCTAGACGACTGGGTCAGAGCATCTCCAAACCTGCAGCTCTTGTGGGGTGTTCCCGGTCTGCAGTGGTCAGTACCTATCAAAAGTGCTCCAAGGAAGGAAAAGAACCAGAGACAGGGTCATGGGGGGCCAAGGCTCATTGATGCACGTGGGGAGTGAAGGCTGGCCCCTGTGGTCCGATCCAACAGACGAGCTACTGTAGCTCAAACTGCTGAAACAGTTAATGCTGGTTCTGATAGAAAGGGGTCAGAACACACAGTGCAGCAGAGTCTGTTGGTATGGGGCTGCAGAACATTCTGACCACCAGGGTGCCCAGGTGCTCATGATGTTATGGCTGATCGGTGTATAAATGTACGTGTTACAAGAGATTGGGGATTGTATGCATTAAATGTGAAAACAATAAGTGCATAAAAAGAATGCAGAAGAGTTACAGCTGTTTGTTGCAGCTAAGAACATCATAATAGATAAATCAATACTCTCAATACGGTATTGCTGTGGGCTGAAGGCTGTACACCTGAAGCGGTTTGCCTGCTGTCTACAGTTTAAAATAAAGGAATGACACTGTATAAGCAGCAGAGGAGTGAGGCTTGTAACTGCTGACATGATGTGCAGTTTCACTTAATTATAATGTTATAAAAAATAACATAACAACACAACACAAAAACACCAGTAAGCAGTTTGCTGTCCTTCAGAAATCTGAAAAGCTGAATAGGCTACATGAAACATTTACCTTACGGAAAAGAGAGGTCACCAATCGACTGGCTTTTGCGAAGGTCCACTCGTTTTGCAGAGTGACGGCATCTGATACTGAGGATGTATATTGTTACAGAAATTATTCTTGTTATCATTATGAAAGCAGTATGTACTGTACATCTTATTTCAAAATGTTCTCAAACCTTAATTTTCTGACCCAGTTTGAGGTTCGAGTGTAGGCGTTGTGTTTAAAGCTAAATTTAAGTATTAACAAACAAAAACAGCATTAAGCTGTTAAAACGGTCTGTAATTTGTCTTTACCTGTTAGTCGAGGCTTGTAAGTGAGAGTCTGTGTGAGGGAGTGTGTGAAGAAACGCTGAAGGGCGTCTGCTGACGCTGAAACTCCACACAACGATGCATCAAATATCTGAATCCTGTCCAAAAACACAGGGCAGAGAGTAAGAAACAGATATATCTAATATCTGTTCTCAGTGCTGAGCCAGTGGTCACAAATGACCCATTGTTTGCTCACTAATCTAGAATATAACTTTCAATAATGTTGAAAAAGCTTTTTTAGCATTTTAGTTTTACATATATGACTCACACTGAGAAGAGGTGTGCAGTGTTGTACTATGAGTGAGTGCTTTCTTAGACTACCTCTATGTTTCAATGAACAGCTTTCTGCTACAGACTGTCAGGTGGTTGTGAGTCAGTGTGTGAAGCATGCAGACTGAGCAGAGAGTTACAGTTACAATGGTTTAAGCATACACAGCCTGATCAAAGAATTTACTAAGAGGAACAGGGCGTCCTGTAGGATCATATTGTTCAACAGTGTGTACTGCACACAAAATCTTGTGAGGGGCCACCATCTTTTGAAGTGTGAACAGATGATTCTAAAGCGGGTAAAAGCTTAAAACTGGACAGCGGGACAGTGTAGGAACATCAGCTAAACCCACTGGTTCCTGTTGTTAAATAATAGAAACTGTTACTGTGACCCAATACAAGGGTCATACATCCTTACATATTTTTATATAATCAGTTGGATAACGTTCAGGTGATCTTCATCAACTCATAAAAACAAGGAATACTGCATCAACATGTTGTATTTAAGTTATTTGCTTTAAGTCAGTCATCAGTCGCTGATACTGGCAGGCAGGTCCAGTGTGTGGCATCTACAGTGGAGTTGCAAAATTTAACCCCCCCTTTCCCCCCCCCCCTTTTTGGGGGAAAGGAAAAAAAAAGGGTGTGAAAAAACCCCAAAAAAAAAAAAAACCCCCTATAAAAAGCCAGTTTTTTGTTTTTTTTTTTTGTGCAATATAAAAAAAAAGGGGGTCAAAAACAGAACCCTCCCAAAAAAAACCCCCCCCCCCCCAAAAAAAAAAAAAAAAAAATATTAAAAACCCCCCCCAAAAAAAAAAATTTTTTTAAATAATAAAAAATATAATTTTCGCTCCCCCCCCCCCAAAAGAGGGCGGGGGGGTGGGGGGGTTAAAAAAATAATTTTAAAAAAGGGGAGAAAAAGAAAAAAAAAAAAAAAAACCCCAGCCCGCCGCCGAGAAAACGTACCCAAAAAATAAAAAAAAAAAACCCCCCCCCCCCCCCCCCCCCCCCCCCCCCCCCCCCCCCCCCCCCCAACAAAAAAAAAAAAAAAAAAAAAAAAACAAAAAAAAAATAAAAAAACATAAACCCCACCCCCTCTTTTGGTTTTTTTTTTGTTTTTTTGTGGGGGGTTGAAAAAAAAAAACCCCACAAAAGCCTGCTTAAATTTTTGTACGGTTTTTTTTGAATACCTTTGAAAGGAAATAAATTTAAAAAAAAAAAGCTATAAAAGGAGTTATTTATTTATAGGGAGAAAAACAAAAAAAAAAAAAAAAAAAAAAAAAAAAAAAAAAAAAAAAAAAAAATAAAAAAAAAAAAAAAAAAAAAAAAAAAAAAAAAAAAAAAAAAAAAAAAAAAAAAATAAAAAAAAAAAAAAAAAAAAAAAAAAAAAAAAAAAAAAAAAAAAAAAAAAAAAAAAAAAAAAAAAAAAAATATTTTATTTTTTTTTTTTTTTAAAAAAAAAAAAAAAAAAAAAAAAAATTTTAAATAAAAAAAATAAAAAAAAAAAAATTTAAAAATAAAAAAAAAAAAAAAAAAAAAAAAAAAAAAAAAAAAAAAAAAAAAAAAAAAAAAAAAAAAAAAAAAAAAAAAAAAAAAAAAAAAAAAAAAAAAAAAAAAAAAAAAAAAAAAAAAAAAAAAAAAAAAAAAAAAAAAAAAAAAAAAAAAAAAAAAAAAAAAAAAAAAAAAAAAAAAAAAAAAATAAAAAAAAAAAAAAAAAAAAAAAAAAAAAAAAAAAAAAAAAAAAAAAAAAAAAAAAAAAAAAAAAAAAAAAAAAAAAAAAAAAAAAAAAAAAAAAAAAAAAAAAAATATTAAAAAAAAATAAAAAAAAAAAAAATAAAAAAAAAAAAAAAAAAAAAAAAAAAAAAAAAAAAAAAAAAAAAAAAAAAAAAAAAAAAAAAAAAAAAAAAAAAAAAAAAAAAAAAAAAAAAAAAAAAAAAAATTTATATAAATAACGCTTGTACTCAGTTCTCTTGTTTTAGACTTGACTCTCGAAAAGACTGACTCACATCAGGCTAATAAAGGTTAATAAGACAAATAAAAGACAAAGAACCATAGCTCGGCTCCTGCTCCAGCATTCTCTGGCGTCTGACTCTCTTCCACGGTGTCCAGAAGCCCTGAAGAAGACAGAAATACGGCAAAATGATAGCAAGACAAAAAAAAGTGCTGAAATGATACTTCGACATATTGGCCGTTAAAAGAAGTAGAAAATAGCTTTGAGGGTCCAGAGGTGTGACTCAAAGTGCTTTTCTAAATATTTCATCAGCAGACGTGGGGAAGTGGGACAGGGCATTGTAGACTCACAGAAGAGCATTTCGTCCAGCACTGAGCAGCACAGCAACGAGATCCTCCTGTCTGCAGCTGCCAGCTCATGGCTCAGCTCAAAGCCAGTTCCCACCAAGACCCCAACCACAGCTAAAACACAGGAGATCTGGTGTTAGCATTACCCTTAACAGCAGCATGTGCCATTTGGTGAACACACTCATGGTATTAAGAACACAGGATATGTTCCTGATACCATGAGTGAGTTAGAACACTGAGCAATGGAAGCGAGTAAGGGCCTGGGGCTGATACAATAGAATTTTAGCTACAGTTTAGAGTTTGGTTTTTGGTACGTATACAGCTACCAGGGTTCCCGCTCTTTGTTTTCCAGGACCTTTCCAAGACATTTTCCAGGAATTTTTCTTGACAAAAAAAAATGGTGGTCAACCATTGGTGATTATTGATTTGAGGGACGTGTTAGCTCACGCTTGGCTAGCAGATTGTTCCGCTTTCTGAATTGACTTCAGATTTCCTCATTAATTTACCCACCACACAGTCTAAAATACAATTACAATTTTCCAGAAGATCATAGATTATTTCCAGGATATTTGGTCATTTCCAGGTGTTTCCATGACTGGAAAACTAGTCTCTAAATTTCCAGGTTTTCCAGGACATGTGGGAACCCTGGGCAACATTCAGTGTCCTGACAAGCTGATCGGGAACAGTTCAGCCAAAACTAAAGCACCTTTTGTGTGTAGGGTCTAGATGATAAACAGCTTTAAGTACTGTAATGAGAAGTTTGTCGACGTCTTCCATAAAGTACAACTAGACAACTGAAAAACATCCTCACTTGACAGAACTTTCTGTTGAACTTCGTTGGTCTCCCCTTCTCCTTGTGGAGGTGACCAGCTGCACAGAGCCTTCAACTGAGACACCAACCACAACCGGACTCCTTCATCACTGAAAGGAGAAAAAGCAAGAAGAGGGCAGAACTGAGTGAGCAGTTAAGGATCGTTTCCTGTAACAGCAATGATAAGAAATTAGTATTAATACTTCTGGCAGCAAGTAAAAAGGCTATCATGAGGAAGTGGCCAAAAATCAGAGCCACCCACAGCCAGAGAGCAGAAAAAGATAATACATGAAATACATGTTATGGAAACATATTTTTTTTAGATTTGGACTGAGTGGACTGAGTATATAAAATCTAGAAGGCCAATTAATGAAATAAGGAATTAATTAAGGAATGAATGAGTGGAAAGCATGCCAGCAGATTACTGCATAATCTGATGAATGTGAGATGAATGCTTCTCCAAAAAAAATAAAAAAATAAAAATAAAAGATCACTGCAAAGAGGTGTAGGTGTCAGCTATGCTTCCAACTTTCACTATACTCAATACTTGAGTGACTTGGTGAACTGAAGTCAGTGTACAATTTAAACATGGCTCTCACTACATCCACAGAGGGGCACTGTAACAACACTGACAGCCAAGTGACAGAGTTCAGCCCTTTGTGGAATATGTAGTATATTGATGATATTACTGTACTTTAAAGGCCGTCTTTATGAATTTCTGTTCATACCAGACCAGAAGCACATTTCTCCACGCCACTGAACAAGCAATAATGCTCCTCTGTTCTTTTCTAATCAGCCGTAGTAGCTGATCTTTCTAATAAATCTTTTTAATAATAATTGTCCTCTCTGTTTAGACCAGAGCTAGGCAGCCTGTGGCTCTGAAACCACATCCAGCTCCTCAGCAACTCTCCGGTCAGTTTTTTTTACATTTTCATTTATCATTGTTGTTTTAGTGTATTGTGATTCTTACATTCTGCAATTGTAAAAAGTGTAGCTTTTACACACCAAATAAAAAATAAAAAAGTTTTAATACTTAGCTAAAATATGGGCCAAACAATTTGTTTGCTTTCCCCAGCATGGCTGATCAGAAATTAGCATTCTACGGCTCCAAAATGTCTCTTTTGATAGTAAAGGTTGCTGATCCTGACAACTATATGGACAGCCCAATTGTTTAACATGGGCGCCAAAAGGAAGCGGGCAGTGCTCCGCAGCACATCTGCCTCCTGTGTGTTCCCAAAGTGAATTCAGTTTTAATTTAACCAATCCAATTTAAGAAACCTAACTTTTTGACTTGGCTTGATCATTTGTTGAATTTTAGCAACTCTTTTTAAATATTATATACAAGATTATACACATGCTTTATCAAAAATCTGAATATGTGACCCCTAAAAGCTATTAATCATGTCTTTGAAATTGAACAACTTGTAACTCAAACATAAATTCAGAGTAAAATATTTCAATGCTATCAATTTAGTTGTTTATACATTTCAGCAGTTAGGGTTCAAAAGTGGTTAAATTTCACAATTATGTATTCAATTGCTTATATGATTCAAGTATGTAGAAGTAAAAGTACTTAGTTCTGCATATTTGGTGTATTGTTAACATCTGCATATTAATCCCTGTACTAGCCCCACAGCAGCTAGCAAACAATTTGCTCAAAATATAAAAAAAAGAATAAAAATAACCCCAATATTTCTTACCTCTCTAAAATGTACTTCAGAGTGAGGATGTTGTAAAAGTGAAGATGGTACACCACCTCCAGCTGGGGTAGCCTCTGTAAAAACACCATGTTAAATATTTCACTACATCCAGTCTATCATGTAAGAAAGCCAAGCTTTTTCTATTGTGGCAGTTTAGATGAATTGTAAAGAGATAAATAAAAGGAAAACTTGGCCAAACTTTCAGTTTTCTGTTTTTTTCTCTATTATACTATATAAAATGAAGTTGTGATTTTACTTCGCCTTGCCTGTATAGAACTCAGACTGAAACTCCTAAACAAATACATTTTAAAGCAATTTAATGGAATTACAAACTATGCAACCAAATACCTTTGTTAGCCCTCACATACAGCATTAACTCTCACACACACGCACACACGCACACACACACACACACACACACACACACACACACACACACACACACACACACACACACACACACACACACACCTGATCTCTTCTGTACTCCTGCCAGAGCAGTTTAGGGCAGAAGGCTCCCTGGGACAGCAGTTGTTTGCTGGACTCCAGCAGGACACACAGCTGGACCTAGAGAGGATAGGGATAGGATATATTTGACATGCTTTCTGTGCTTTGAACAAGAAACCTTGCAGTAATGATAGACAAACTCAGGGTGGAGACTTCTGTGGCTGCAACTGTAGCTGAACAATGTTAAACCACAGGAGTAACAATCTGCCAACACATCTGCAGCACAGATGTGACGCAGCAACTATTCTCAATATGCAGTAGAGTTGTGTTGCCAGAGAAGCCCGACGAGTTTCTATCACCGAAATCAGTATCGTATCGGTATCAGGGCTGCCATTCTTTTAAAGAAATCATTTCTTGACATATATATACAGGACAGAAGTTGCTCACAGACAGTCGTATCATTTGCCGGTAGGTAGTCAATGTTTATGGGACAATACACTTTGGCTTGTTTTTGTGGCGCTCTTGGCTGTTCTCACCACAGCAGATATTTCCACTGCGGTCTCCAAACAGTTTCCCTCAAATGGTAACATCAATGACTCGAGAGCAAAAAAAAATCACTACAAGTGACGGGCTGAAATACAATTAAACTTTACCAGGACAACACAGATTGTTTCCAGGATAATTGCTCATTTTAATCAATTACCAGGTGTTTCCATGACTGATGAAAAACTAGTCTCTAATTTTCCCTCATTTTTCTATGCACAGTGTCAGTGTGTTGTTATCTGATGTGCCGATATGAAAACTGGTATAATGCAAAAAAAAAAAAAGAAGGAGTTCATGGACTAAACTATGATCCTCTCCCAGTCCTGTTTCTTGCATGTACCCAGCTTCAACATCTGCATCGGCAGTCTATATTTCAAAATAGCGATACCAGGAAGCTGCCTTTGGTTTGTGTCCATTTGTTTGAGAGAGAGAGAAAGAGAGAGAGAGAGAGAGAGAGAGAGAGAGAGAGAGAGAGAGAGAGAGAGAGAGAGAGAGAGACAGACAGCTACGTAGAAGGTAAATGAGAGAGAGAGAGAGCAGTGGTAGGGAGAAAACAGGTGAATCAGAGAAATAAAACGTTATTTTCTGATTGTTTAACAACAGTTATGTCCTATAGCACAATTAAAGACACCCACATCCCCGTTACCGCCCCTGCTAATCGCTGAGACCCCTGATTTGATCAGAATGAGAGAGAAGAAGCAGCTCTCGGCAAAATGATTTAGCACGTTAAAGAATATTTAACTGAAATATTCTTTACTAAAGTAATTTGTTTTTAGAAAGCAGTCTTCTGACTACCTTTGCAGAGACATATCAGTGCACATGCTACATATAAAAGGTCTATTGTGCCATACGCACAGTGACTTATCATTATCATATCACGCAAACACAATGACACACTGTCAAAACACTAAAAGACACACATACTGTACATCACACTGATCTAATGCCCGCCTTGGATTGTTCCACAGAGAAATATAAGGTCAACTCCTACTGTCAGACACTTACTCGCTGAGAGAAAGAGAGCAGCCCTCTCCTTTCGTCCCCATCTTCCATCACTTCCTTGGATCCAGTGATCTCCATCAGCCTCTCCAGCACCATCTTCACCGCCAGCACTGCCGCAGGGACACCCAGCTGCGAGGCCTGACGCCGCAGCTCACACACTGTCCACAGACAATACAACACATCCTGTAGTTCACAGCGTTTACTTTGTGTCAAAGTTAAGTAATGTAGGGGCCATTTCCATAAGTCTGCTGTGTGGTGTGTAAAAGCAAGCAAGCCACGTCTGAAAACTAATGCCAGGAGGTAAACAAAGGACAAAGATGGATGTCATGAAATGGTTATCTGAGAGTCCTAACACACATCAAACACTGAGAATGTCTGCAGTGTCACATTTTTCTTTCTGCATGGTTTTAAAGCTTCATTTTGTATGAATGTGCACAGCAGCAGGTGTCTCTGGGCCACAGTGGGTCACATGACCTTCTCCACTTTGGCAAAACTGATGTAGAGCACAGAGGCTATTTCTGAGACCTTGTGTCAAACACTCACCCAGCAGTGAACCCGCACCGGCAGACGAGATGCCTTCCTGGTCTGCCTGTTTCTGCTCTCCATTCTGAGTGCGGAAAAGGTTGCACAGGTCTGGATTCTACCAACAAATACAGTAAAGATACATTAATAGCGTATAGTGAAAGGTGTGATAGGGATAAGAATTGATAAGATTCTATTGATACCAATGCCAAATTATCGATTCTGCTCACCGGTCAGATTCTTTACTGATTACCTACACAGGCTGTTAGTGTCAACCCAACTCGTTCGATTCCCATCCTTATGCAGTGTGTCACACATGTACGTATGATTCACCCTGAAGTATTTATTCCAATAAAATTGCTGGTTGTATGCTATAAAGCAACCTTCCTTTGCACGAATATATTCTACCAAAGCCAATCACATGGCACACGGGATAAATGCTGTAAAATGGTCAGAAGAAGCTGCAAATCTTTCCATACAGTCTCGTATAACATTACATTTCCTTTTTATCCATTGAGGCACTTTTGACTAATGACTGACTACTCTACTCTACTCTACTCTACTCTACTACTCTACATTCACTCAATTCTGGTTTATTGCTCGGATTTGTTTTGTTTGGCTGTTCATGTGATTTTTTAAATGTGGCCCATATCGGATTCCAGTGTGAACAGGTCACAGTCCTGAAGTGACCCACATGCTGAATGTCAGACTAGAGTGAAGTCTGTGACTGTTCACACTGAGGTCAGACTAAAAGAAATTAGACCTTGTCTAAAGAGGGGCCCAAATCAGAATTGAAAAGATCATGTGATTTGTGCTGTTCATACTGTCATGAAAAAAACAGATCTGAGTCACATATCAGCAAAAAAAACCTGATTTGGGCCGCTTGTGCCTGCAGTGTGAACGCAGCCATGATGTCACATGTTACATGCCTCTTTCTCAGTCCACAGATAAGTACAACAGTCAGAGTTATGACAATTTAATGTTTGTTGGTTGGCTTTGCAGCCCATTAGGTTCAGTCCACACACTCACCCCGACCTCCCTGAGCAGACTGCAGAGGTTCTGCTGCTGCTCCAACAGCTGGATCGCCGCCTCCTGCAGCCGCTGACCGTCTTCCTGCTTCGGCCTCTTCACCACACGACCAGCTGGGAATTCAGCAGCAGGAAGAACACATAATGCTTCGAAGTTCATACGCCACAGTTTCAGTATTGTCAACCCAGTTTGCCAAACAGAATAGAATTTGTTATTGTACAAAAACTAAGCTGGTTGTTAAATGTTAGCCAACCTAAACCGATGATGCATTTACTTACACAGGGTTGCTTTAAAAATGTAATCTACTACAATTACTAATTGCCTGTTAAAAATGTAGTCAGTATATTAAAGCAATGTAACTTAATTACTTTCATTTACTTTTGGATTACCTCAGCATTAAATATAAAAATAAAAACAAAAGAAAGGAAATGTCAATAAGTCTTGATGCTAAGTATTTTATAAAACAACAGAGTTTAAAGATTTTAAAATTGTAATCCTGCTAAATAGTCCCCATCTTTACTAAATGTAACTGTAATCTGATTACGTCTGTCTCATCACCTTTTATTGTATCCTGACTGCGTAACTCAGTTACATGTAATCCGTTACTCCCCGAGCCTGTAACGTTACATACATATAGCATCTACAGGCTACTAACCTCTATTAGTAACGTTAGCTTATTTTGTTAAAAGAAACGTAAATATGGACGGCTCTCTATAAAGAGCCACCCAGACTTCACTTAGAAAGTTGGCACTTTAATATATCGACGCTAATGGCCGAAGGTGGTTAATTTAACGCCACAATCAATCAGTAAAGTCACAATAGTCAGTCAGTATTTATCGAGACAATACAGACATAATCCTACTGACACAAACAGGGAGAATGGACGGTTGCTTTCTCCTCTCAGACGGTATCTGCTGATAGTCGATCAATATTAACGTTAACTCGTCTGTCGACTCACCGAGGAGGCTCGACAGAGTCCTCTTCTGAGAGACCGAGTCACAGGATGCACTCAGAGACATTTTAATTAAAATTAATACATTTATAATAGTGTTTTCTGAATTGCCCGGTTTGATTTTTCAGGCTGCACTGTTTTGGTTCCTCTTCTCCTCCATGTTTCCCCTCGCGCTCTTCTCTTTCATTGGTCCGTGCTAGAGCCAATCAGGACAGAGTGTTTGATTATCTGTGGGACAAACAAAACATGATCCGGAGTTTAAAGGCCTCAACTGTTGTTTTTGTAGTATTTGTTTTAAAGGTTTATATGATTATACATGAACAGTATTAAATACATTTTAAAAAAGTAAATATATGACAAAAATAATTCAACGCATGTGTTTATGTATTTATGGAAACAAACTTAACCTCACAAAATGTATGAGGGAATTAAACAACAGATCAATCTCCTCACATAGGACAAGGAACAAACGGATCAATAAATGATACAGAAGTCATCTCGCCTTCTTCTTTCATCAGCAAAAAGTTGTTTACCATCCCCACTGACTGACTGCAGGTATACAGGTACAGTCAGTCAGTTAAAGCAGTTGTTCCAAAACTTTTTCATGACTCCTAAACTGACACAGACGAGGACATGGACCCTCTTTTGACAAGATTTTGCCTCTGGGTCCCACATGTGATAGAGTTTTGCTTTTAGTTGTTTTAGTAAAGAAAGTGTATGAAACCCACGACCAAAATATTCATACATTCAGTCATTGTGTTACCTATGAATGGAATTATAGTGAAAATAAATGACACCCTCCAGAACCCTCTCAACAACCCCTGGGGGTCCCCAAACCCCACTTTGAAAAGCACTGACTTAGAGGTACAGTTTGCAACCTTCATTGTGTGTCTGCTGCAGTGATAATCACACTACCAGGCCGTGACCCAGTGGCTTCTCTGCGGCTCTGGTAATTAAAGTGAGTGACAGGTGAACTTGTTGAGCAATATTTTGGGTCTGAAGTGGTTGAGAGAGACGGAACAGGTTTTGAAACCCAATCTGAGCTTTTGTTGTGTAGCCTAGTTCCCTTTCTTGGAGACACAGCTGAAGAGAATAGGAGCATCGGGTTACTGCACCGTGTTATATCATTACAGTTTTTATTATCCTGTAGTGTTTCTGTCTGTTCTACATTATTGTATGTATTCTTCAGTCTAAATGCTAACATGGCGTTACTGTAAAAGAGCATGTGTGCTCTGCTGAACTGTAGCTGTATTTAAAAACCTTAAATAAATACAACTGTTAAGTAAATAAAACTGCTGCTACCTCTATGTAGAATTAAACACACAGCAACAGAGCAGTCACAACACGACCAGTTTGCTTTTTGAAGCCATCTGTCTTTTAACATGTTCAGAATTAGCTTGATCTTTTAAAAAGGGTCTATGAGTTCTAATTAATGACATTATCAATGTTAAATCCATAATAAATCAATAACTTAGCAATAGCTCAAAGAACAACTTAATAGCTTCCAGGTCATAGGCCTGTCACTTTTTAATGAGGAAACAGCAACAGTAAGATAGTCTTCTAAAACAGCAAACGTTAATAAATGAAAGGACCAGTGTGTAGGATTGAGTTGGATCTAGAGGGGAAGTTGCAGATTGCTAACTGAACACCGCTGGCGTCTGTATTCGACTGAATGAGAACGGGCTATGAAGTGTGAAGGAGAAACTACGGTGGCCGCGAAACTTATGAAAAACACAAAGGCCTTGTAGTTCTGTAGTACTACTTTATCTCTGTGGACTTTGGTAGCATCTTACAGCTCTGTGTTTAGCTGTCCAGCCTGCAACTTTCTGTTTCATTCTCACAGCTCACACACTTATTTCTGCCGCAGCAACTGTTTCCTGTGAAAAACCTTTAAAGAGCCACTGTACACTTCCTGCTCAGCACGCAGGTCCAGATTGCTGGTGAACATATAGTGGAGCATTTAGCGGCTAAAGAACCGATATATTTTCATTCAGGACTTGGTGAAGACCAAAAGTAAAAGCTAAAAGTAGAGTGAATGCTGGTCAGGAGGACACCAACACGACTCCAAATGAATGATAATGTCGTTCTGCTAGATGTGTGAACTGTAAGCTAACAAGTTCACTGTATCAAGTTGATATAAATATAAATTTTGGGGCAGAAGGTCAGAGGTCAAACCGTCTGTTGGAGTGGTCTATCTGATGAACTAAAGAGCCAAAAAAAAAAACCCTAACACTATTGGGGTACAGGACCACCAGGTTGGGAACCAGTGCGCTAGATGATTGGCTATTTCTATGTAGTTATTCTTAATACCTGCCATACCACTTTTGTCCACAAGGTCTGCCGGAATTAAGAAAAAATGAAAGCTCTTTGTAGAGTATTTAAAGGTCCATCATTCAGTTTATTACAAACATTCCAAAGAAACACATCTGGAGATACGTGGTTTTCACTGGACACTGGAATGTGAAAAAAAATAATCTGAAAGGAACTCAAGCTGTCAGACAAATGCAGTAAAAAGTACAATAGATGAGATGTATTTGGAGTAGAAGTATGTTGCATAAAATGGAAACACTTAAAAGTAAAATACATCCCTCAAACTGAAGTACTGTTCTTGGGTAAATGTCCTTGGTCACATTCCACCACTGGTTGTGTGTACAGTAAACAGGGCGTTGGGCATGTATGGACAGGCGCGAGACTGCAATGTAAGCTACCCCCCTTTCATAATGGAGGTCTGACCTGGTTTTGAAGGCCTAAAGGACTGTCTTTTGTGCTGTGGGACGCTGCAGCACAGTGTTTTCTCAAGACTTATCAGTGGTAGTTGTGATGTGCAAGATTAAAATCAACGAGATCCACCTATACTTGATCAAATAAGATTTGGTAACACTATCAAGGTCATGTCTATAATGCCTAATAAGCACATTCATAAGACATTATAATGCATTAATAAGGCTTTATAAAACTCTTAATGAATGTTTATAATTACTCATGACTCATAAGAAGGTTTGTAAAGTATTATAAGTGGTGGAAGTAATTATTATATTTATAATTATTAAAGTATTACTTTCATAATGCTTTATTCCTCCATGTCAAAGCCAGGTACTTGTTTGCAACCTTTGCTGACTTTTTACAGTGCTGCTACTTAAAGCTCACAAAGTCAAGGGAGCCCTTTTCTATCATTGAATAAACTGACTATGTGACATATTTTATTTCTAAAAAGGCCTGAATCTTTTAGGTTTTTAAAATAACTTCAACTTTGTGCCATTTCCTCTGACTGGACCAAGTGTCATGTTTCAGGATTTGTAACACAAAATTCAAATTCCTACCCTGCCTTTATTATTTTATTATTATTCATATACTTAGTATATGGTAACTTCAGATAATGTTTGTCTCTTTTGAGGTGACAGGAGTGAAAATTTGTCATTTTTAATATTTGTTGTGCTTTGGTTTTAGAATTATGAAGACAGTTGGAGAACAGTTATGCAGGATGTAGGCTCTACAGGGTGATTTATTTTCCTGGGCAACTATCATGTTTTCCTCAAATGATGTACAGGTTTTTAAAGGAATCTATTATCACAACTGTAAAAAGTATCAATACTGCAGTACACAAAACCTTCCCTATATGTTTAGACTAACCTTTATGCCTCCATGTCAAAGCCAGGTACTTGTTTGCAACCTTTGCTGACTTTTTACAGTGCTGCTACTTAAAGCTCACAAAGTCAAGGGAGCCCTTTTCTATCATTGAATAAACTGACTATGTGACATATTTTATGGATATTTCATTTTATATTCAATGTATAACAATAACAGTACAGATCTGAGAACTGATAAACTGTAAATAGTGAGCACAATAACTGCAGGAAGTTTGTGCAAAAAGAGCACAAAAGAGCAATTTTTAAGGAAACTTATATACAATTCTCATTTTATTCAACCTTTTATTCAATTATAAATACTTGACAAATATAGTGTTTTTTTGGTGCTTTCTTTCCCTGTGAAGCTTGGCCATTGTTCTGTCAGTTCTTTGGTAGTTTTAATGTGTACTTTTCTAAAGCAGGATGAGGCTGTTTATCAGAGAGTGAATATAGTTTGTGTTCAGGTCTTTAGAAGTTAGAAGTTTAGATCTTAGATAATAATCTAAATTTTAAACACACATAAAACATAAATGAAATGCTGAGAAATAGGCCTGCTGTGTATATTTCAAAAGTTGTCTTACACCTTTTAAAATCAAGGGATGTGACAGCAAAGGTTGCAAACAGGTACCTGGCGTTGGCATGGAGGTATAAAGCATTATGAATGCTGAACTTATAATACATTATGTCCATTTATTGAGTTTTATAAAGCCTTTTAAATGCATTATAATGTCTCATGGGTGTACTTACTACTATACTAATGCATTATAGACATGATATTCATAGAAAGAGTTGCCTAAGAGTTTGACTCATCAGGCCAGGCATTGCATAGTGAGGGCCACGCCTTGCCAAACCACACTGAGTGACCCTGACTGTACAGCAAAAGGCTCCATCTTGCCCTTGGTGTGTTGGAGTGAAGATCACTCCTCACAGTGTACAGCGTGCTCCTCTCCCCCTCAGCCACCCATGTTATTTTCTGGACTTCCCAGCTTTATTGCGGCAGGCAGCAGGAAAACCGCCTCACGGGAGCCGGTGAAAGGAACTCATGAAAACTTAATGCAATGTGTCCTCATGAATTTTTAAGAGCCCTCTCTTCCTATTGTGCCACTAATGCGTGGGACAGTAATATAAACAGGGTTTGCTGAGTGCAAACCTACCAGCGAGACAGAGCGTCGTCATCACCTGTCAACCACATGGACAACAATACACAGTGACACCTGAGCACACACACACACACACACACACACACACACGTTTAGTTACAGTGGCAGCTCTTGTCTGAATCACAAGTGAGCTGCTGTCACTGGAGGGAAGCACTTTGATTAAGGACTGACTGGATCTGGACCTCAGCAGGATTTCCTCTGTCTGTGTGTGTGTGTGTGTGTGTGTGTGTGTGTGTGTGTGTGTGTGTGTGTGTGTGTGTGTGTGTGTGTAGATTTTAGAAGCAGGCAGAGGCAATACATGATGTCAACATGATGTCACTGTGATTACATAAAAACTTAATGGTTCTGATAGATCACACATAAAGCTTACTAAATATGAA